TGACCACCAACTGATATTGTGGCGGTTAGACTTGTTGTGTGCAGTTAATTTGACCGAAGCTATCTCATAGATATCGAGATAAACTCAACAGATGGGCCCACGCTCCCGCTGTGGTTGCGATCTGTGACACAGATAATGATAGTTTACAGTCTCCTGCCAGCATTAAATGTGTCCAACCATAAAGGTAACATGCTAAATAACGACGCTGAAGGGCTGCTACCGCTACGAAATTATACAAAATATATTTTCTTAATTTAGTTACAAAACAATCATTATCTTAGTTTAATTCGTGTTTACTAGTTTCTACTCGCGTTATATGAATATAGTTCCAAATTTATAATAAAAAAATGATGTTTTTTTTGACAGGGTCTTCAGTTGTCATATAGCTATTATAAACTAATCCTAATTGTTTGCATTAAAACTAAATAAAATATTTCTACCTGCATCAATATTAAAATATGTATAATCCTAAGTTTTTAAGTTAATTACTACCATTTTGTTTTAATCTAAATATGTTATAGTAGCTCTACCGTCTTGATACAGTTGCTGTGGTGATAATATTTTTTTGTCACCACCATGGAGTAAGAATGAAGGAGCGGTGCAGGGATGCTCACGCGAACTCGTGTGATAGACGTCGTAGTAGGTGACGTATATCGTGTACGAACCCCGTTATAGTTATGGCTTCAATGTGGGAAAAGTGTGAAATATTGATAGTTTGCGGTGAGATAGCATTGTTGAGCACTGCCGGACTGTTGCGTCAACATGTAGCGTGCGACAGATTCCACGGCTCCCCGTTAGCAAAGCAACTCTGAATACGTAACTAACTGAGCACAATGTAGTTCGTTCACGTTTTTCTACATGTGATTGGAATAATAATTTTCGTTAACAGATGTATATACTCACGATTGTAACTCCAGTTACGGCAGTCCGATCTAATTTCGAATTGCACTTCTATTATAACTCACTCAACTCGCCTGCATTGCGGGGTGTTGTGGTCGAATCTGTGTGTTCCATGTTAATAGAGGACCAATTTGTGAAATGGATGCATTTCATGTTATAATCAAATCATAAAGCCACATCGTTAAAATAGTTTGCCCAACCAATTATTTTTACATCTTTATCTTAGAATATGTAAACAAATATTAATATAATCATTTAAACAATTAAAATAATCGTTGAATTATGACAAGGCGAAATCTGTCTGTTTGTCGGTTTTTGTGTCAAGCTTTTATGTAAAAAAGAGTAATTACAATGAAATTTTCACAAAAAGTATTGACAAACATATACCTAGGCTAAAAAGAGTTGAGATATATACCTGCGAAAGAACCCACTTTGGTAGGTATTTTTCGTAAATAATTAATTTTGTGTACATTTTAATTACACGACTTATAACTTTATAATTTATATTTAATAAAATAACAGATGGCATTGCAAATATGTTTCGTTTACTGTTATCGTTTTATCACCATGATTAGATGATCTGCAAATTTACGAGTACATACCTACACGCCTACAAATTGCAGTCATCACTAGTAAATAATAATAATATAATTTGAACCAAAATTCAAGAAAATTCGTTTGCTATAATTTCACCACACTTTTATTGCATTATTATTTTCTTTTAAAACAGTTTACTACCACCACTGTGTAAGGCATAATCGACATTTCACTAAATAGATAAATGAAATATCTATAGATGTAATATAATTTTATTTGATGTGCAAGTTTTTTCTTATAATAAATGTATTCCTCTTCCGCTTAACTTATGTTAAGCGGAAGTCTTCTATCAAAGTTAAAATATACATATATATATATATTATACATAAAATATTATATTAATCTCTGTAATGGACCTAATATGTTTACACGTGTATTCAGTGTATTGTTTATCTTCTCTAACATATATTCTTCTTCTTCAATAGTTTTAACTAAGGCATCATAAGACGATAGAGTTTCTGGTTTCCTAATAATATTATAATATTTCTTATAATGGTCAAATTATAAGAGGACACAAACCTATATAGGCGGCACGTTTGCTCGTGCTCTTCCAAATATGGCGCAGAAGTTCGACAGTTGGCTCGCTATCTCCATCACGTACCTACCATTGGCTCCGTTAGCTGTAATTACTGAAATATTCTTTTAACTTACTTGTTATAGTAAGTTAAAAGAATATTAACTTCATGCTCATCGTATCATCCACCACTGGTGCCCTAACCCAGCGCATACCGTTAGCGGTACACCTTACCATTATCATCAATTAAAAAATATATCTACTGTCGTAATGGTATATTACTTTATTATTATAAAATACCTATTCACTAACATTATTTATAATATAATACATTAGCATAATATGACAAGGCCATTTCACCAATAACTTTATAATATACTACAACTATTAATGATTTAATTAATTTTGCTTTGTTTCATCTATAATACTAAAATATTAATTAGGTTAGGTTATGTATTAGTATTATAAATTTTCCAAATTCACTTCATAAATTTGAGCTATTGGAATATTTCAAATAAAGAAAACATTTTTTACATTAGATATATAAATATATTTTTATTATAGAAGTTTTTAGATCTTATGTCTATTATAACAAAAACTACCAGAAAAAGATAAACCTGGTTTAACACTAGTAATGAACCATTGACCAAAGTTTTGATGCCGTGTGAGTTCAAACTACATATATACAGTTCACAAGATCTGATTTGTCTGCCACATAACTTATTTCTTTTTATCAAATCAAAAAACTTAATTAAGTTTGCTCCTAATTTGTGTTCAAATTACTCCAATATATACATGTGTATGCTATAATGATCTAATATTAGGTATCTCTATCTACCATCATATTATGATGACGAATGTCGCAAGTGACCATATAATATGTAGGTAGGTATGCGTATGCCGTATTTTTTTAATGAGTACGATACAATGGAATCTAAAAGTATCTAAAGGTGAAGTGACGAGGCACTGGTAAAAGAGATAAGAACGAGTTTGAAATCATGTCACGAACTATCGTTGTGATAAATTCAGGAATAACCACGATGTCTTCCAGGACGTACCGTTTGAAGATTGTAATGTAGTTACTCTACATTACCTACTTACTAGCTACGGGGATAAAAGTCCTGAATATAATCATCTGACCTAACGATTTTTTTATAAACGTCGGTGCAATAGTAATCCTGCCTGTAACGACTATATACCTACTCGTATGTTGAAATTATAATTTTATATTTGTAAGTAACAAAATTATCTAGCTAATAAAACTAGCAAAGCAACAATATTTAGATTTAAGAGTGAATTGAGAATTAAGAGTCAAATTTAAGATCAATGTTGTGAAAAATTCCTATCTTCCTACGTACGAAAAGAAATAACAACTACGACAACATAAAGAAATGTCATTATGCATTTTGATGACAACTCATTTGTGTATTATGTTTCTTTAGTCAGATTCGTCACTGTCATTATTATTTAGAATCAATTTAATTCCATTAGAAAAGTGGGTTGTATGTTCGTAAAAAATATTGTTAGGTAGGCTACCTTATCTTGTAAGAAACTTTTATTTTTATTCGAAAATTTGAAATATCGTTACGCACGCGCTCGTGACATTTGCACCGCGACTGTTTTAATCAAAATGGCCTTTTTATGTTTTCACAATAGATAATGTGGTCCACCGTCAATTCAGAAACTTACCTATGTAGAGTAGTGGAGTAGTTTAGTGTTGAAACGATGGCAATTAAAAGCAGGCATGTATAAATGTTCAGCTACACGCAAATCTACATTTTTGGCAATTTGCTTGGTACGTGATTTGACATCGTTATTATTGTTGGTACACCTATTTAAATTAATATACAAATATATAGGTAATGATTTAAATTAATGGAATGTTATAGACAGACAGTCAGTTGTTGAATTATTTTACAGTTTTTACACATTTCACAAACTGTGTACATTTCTATGAAGATTCTTCATTTGAGAGAATTTTACAAAACATTCCTATACTTAATTATGATTTATAGCACACTAGCTATTACTCACAACCTCATCTTCTTGTTCAATGATAAAAGGCCTATATCCGTCCTCGTGATACAATCTCTCTTCACGTTTTTAATAGAAATCCGTTCAGGCGTTTAGTCGTGAAAAGGGATACACACACACACTGACAGTCATATACACTTTCGTGGATACGTAAAAATAGTAATAGGTATGAGTTATGTAAACGTACTTAACTCATACCTATTACTAATTTAAATATTTCTATATATTTACGATATAACCAACACTTCAGGTGGTAGTTAGAAATTTCTTGGCAGTAATTTATTATACCATGATTTAACCAATGTCATTGGGCGGTATCACAATAACAAATCGGCAAATGTGCCGATTGGTTAGATAATTGTAAAACCGCTCTTTGTTGATATTTAACACTTTCCATCAGGTACCTACCTAATCAGCACATTTAGCGAAATTCATAATAAAACACATCATGAAATTTATATATACGTAAGTAATATCAATCTATAGAGGGGAAAGGGATTGTTAGTAATCTGGACTAAAAACACCTATGACAAGCAATGTATCATGTCGACCACCATTCGGTTCCCATTGGAAGCCATCGAGGTAAATTCCTTGTGAATTTGCCACGATGAGCTAACTGACCTGATCGCATGCTCATCTTATCATCCTCCACTGGTGTCCCGTCACCGAAAAGCGCATGCGGGTGTATCATTCCATTATCATCCATAAAAAAATCAGTATATACTTTCATACTAATAATTACTTATTATTATCATTAAAAAAAAGATAAATAGCATTAAAAAGAAAATAAATTAGAAAATCTACCTATGTCTGCCGGTTTGTCTATCGACAAACGAGAGTCGACGAAAGCGTTGATAACAGCCAGTATTTAAGTTTATTGAAAAACTACAATACCTGTATGCAATGTTTGTCTTTTCTGAAAAAAACCCATCACCAATACCATCGTGCAACTTACCATCATCGGTGTCAATTTCAGCTATCGGAGATACGGGAGCGACTCGGAAAACAAGTCCAATAATAAATAAATTAGCCCGGCAAAACATTCTAGTGAATTACAACTTTCGCAAATTGACATCTGTTACTTGTAGCTTTCTTTTAGTACATATTAAAGAAATAATTTATACAAGTGCTAATAAAATATTTTGTAACTTTTGTTCGCGCGTGTTTACACTCGCGCAAATATACACACCGAGTCGAGTAAGAGTGCGCTAGCGCAGCTACGGTCTGTAAACGACTGGTTACCGCCACAGTAACATTAACTTAACCAGTGTCAGAACTCAGAACTAGCTGCCCCTCACATAGACACAGTTATATAGTAGCATCAATCCGTAATCGAAGAATTCAATAGTATTAATATGACTCCAAACTCCTTCGATTAAATTTGAATATTTTAATTTTAATAAAATTAGGGTTAATATTAGAATTAACATTTCTTAATCCTTAGGGTACCTATGTCTGTTAATTATTTTATATAAATTAATAATGCATTTTTGTTAAAATCCTTAGAATATTTTTTAAGTTGGTAATTAAGAAAGTTTAATTCATTTTAGTTTAGTCATAGTATTATACGATTATATTTTAGTCTATTTATGAATCTATTTACAATCTTCGCGCCACGCCGCCAGTTTATATGAATATCTTTATAAGTTTTTTATGAAAGCTTTGTGGCTTAGTGGTGTAGTTACTACCTAAGTTGGACTTGGACAGAGTCTTGAATTCGAATTTGAATTCAAAATATAATAAAATCTAAAAAAAGGACAGGCATTGATATTTATTCATTTAGTAACTGCTTTTATTTATGTAGTAAGCCATGCTTGGGCTACCGATGATATAACGCATGCGCAGTAGGTAAGTCGAAACCCACCCTAACCTAGAAAGCTATGCATAGAGCACAATCCAAAACATCAAAAATGATTCTCGATAATTAAATTAAATCCGAATGAAAATCTGAACTATAGAATAACAAAATAGTTTTCTATTCACGATGGGTAACCAATTCAAGAACGTAGCTGTTATAGCCTGTCTGAAGACATTTTTGTTTGTTTTCAATATCGTGTTTTGGGTGCGTATCAAAAACCTTCATTATTTAAATGTATTTTCAATACTTCAATAGGAAAAACCCGAATAAATGTAAATATTCACAAATTAGATCGTACAATCTTACTACTTTTAATTATATTTAGATGTATCAAACATGATCATATGTATAAACTTAACAGCTGTGTATAAAATTATTCTAATCACCTGTTGTTTAATTACACTAACTGCAAGAAAAAAACTAGAATATTAACCACCTCGTCACTTGAATAGTTGGCTAATATCAAGATTCTCAATAATATATATCTATAATAAATAATTCAGTTCTCCATAACTACCTATATATATTCTGCCCACAACTCCGTATGCTTACCTATACATGAGGGATGGAAATTGTTAATAATTGGAATTAATGGCCCTAGTATCAAGTCATCTTCCATGTGGTTGATTTTTGAATATCACTTTGAGCATCTTCAACTTGTCTAGTTAACAAAATAAGATACTTAGTTAAATACTTTAAAAAGAAGTTCTATTTACAGATTACGGGTCTTCTCCTTCTAGCGGTGGGGCTCTGGGCGGAATTTGACCTATATAAATACATGGAACTATCTTCAGAATTTTCCGGAACTGCACCGCATGTGATGATTGGCATCGCCAGTCTAATTGTTCTTATCAGCTCTATTGCTTTTTCATGCATTATCAAAGGACAACCTGTCTTACTTTACATTGTAAGTATATCTACCTATCTACTGTGTCCAAAAATTCAGTATAAATTAACTAAGTATGATTAGTATTTTCAAATGAGTTCGTGAAGTTCTTATTTTGACGGCATGTTACAACGGACGTTACTTACGTTACAACGGGAAATCTTCTCCAAAGCTATTTACTTACAAATTTTCTCCATCTTGATTACATGTCCGTTTCCATTTCCGCGAAAACAGCAAAGTAAAAGGAAGACTTATTCATACTTCTTTTCATATGTATTTGAGGAGAGTATACTCTGCGTATGCTATCTGTAACTAATATAGGTATTATTTTTAATGGCTGATTATGGAACGTTGCACCCATCTGTTCCGACGCTATATGCTGGCGGGAACACCAATGCAGGATGATAGAGTGAGCGTGGAGTCAAATAAATTAATAAAATAATAAAAAAATAAAGCAAATCAAATTAACCATTATTCCTGAGAGGACTGCATGGAGGTCGACCTTATATCGTTAATACCAATGGTGGCACTAGACCTAATTACTACCCCCCCCCCCCCTTCTTCATATTTAAATAATAATACTTTCATTAAGTGCTGTGTATAGAAAAACAATTCATTCATACAATTAAATGTTATTAAAATATTAGTATAAGCTCCGATAAAACAACTGACTAATTCTTTCCTCTCAGTACGGTGGATTACTAGCATGCATATTCATGATGGATGCAGGCGTCGGCGCCTCTGTGGCATGCTATCGAGACACATTTGCGAAGGGTCTTTACGATGGACTTACACAAACACTTATTTCACAAAATCCACAAAAAAACAACTTCGATTTGGCACAGTCAACAGTGAGTATCGACTCTATTAATATATACGCAGACATCCGTATCCATAAAAACTATTGTAGTATGTATTTTGTTTCTTTCCTTTGATTACCCTATCTAATAACAGTCGTAACGGTATATACCTACCTCTTTACTTCAAATTAAAAAAATTTAGCTCCAATGAAAAAGACCGCAGTTTAATAACTAAAATAGATTTATTAGTATCTAGCAGAACCTGAGACTTTGTACCGAAATTATTTTGCTTTTTGTTTCTATGCCGCTTAGATTTGGGTGCGGTTTTCACTAATGCATTGTGGTAAGCTTCTTTAACTTTAAATTTAAATAAACATTTAACTTTAAGTGAATTTTTTCACAATAGGTACATTAGTGAAAACCGCACCCAAATCAGTTAAACCGTTGGTTACCTTACCCTGTTCCTGGTTCATGGGCTATTATGTTTTTCTTCCTATGAAGCTGCGAATTGCTTTAATATCAACTTTAACCAACTTTAAAAGTTAGAGGTGTTCCAAATTAATGGTATTCTGTGCAGACTGAATTCGCACCGCTGATGATCTTCACAATGATATTAAACAGAGATCTTGGCTAAGAATCGTACCACATATAAAACCTACATATCGTTACACCTGCCTAATCTAATGGATTTATGGAGATTAAGGAACGCCAAATACTTTGATTCATACATGCTTTCGTTTCCTCTACATTCATCAATTAATTCATAGAAGTTATCTCTTTAGGCCCTTTTCGTCGCCTAATTGGTCGTCGTATGTTCGCCTAGGGCGTCTCCTACCGGCATTTGCCTTAATTCCTATTCGATATAGGTATACTTGTTTATATTCTGACATCCATATTTTCCAAATATCCAAAATCTTTCAATCGATACTTATCTCTTATCACACTGTTTATCATTCTATCTTTTAATGTTTCACCGCTTATACTTCTTAACGCTCTCAATTCTTTGACATTAATCCTGCTTTCATTCTTCCTTGCGATTCCCACAAATCGCATACATTAGAGTGATTTTAGTTCGTTTTATATAAATTTATTAGATAGATAGAATAAGGATTCAATAATCTCTTACCACTCAAATTTGTTGTCAATAACAGCTGCATTGCTGCGGCGTATCAAACTATACGGATTGGGTGAAGCTATCACCACAGAGAGTGATTCCAATCTCCTGTTGTTTGGACCCAAACCACTGCATCACGGCCAATTATAGCGACGTCTATCAAAGGGTATGCTAATTACTGTTTTTACTAATTGAATAGTTGTTAAAACTATAATTTTCATAGGGTTCATATTGATCTAAATGTACTAATTATAAACATATTTCACCGTAAACATTATGGAATCCAATAAATATTTATTATCATAATATATAAAATTTCTTTTTATCAACATAATAGGGCTTAGAATTATTTTATGGTATTTACCTAAACAGCATACATGGTCATTTGGTCATAAGCTTCTTTTACTTTTGTATGTGTATGTATTTCATGTATTATTTATTCTTATTTACAGGGTTGCTATGAAATCATAGTGGAGTATTTGGAGAGTAACATGGATGTATTAATAGGTATTGCAATTGGAACTGCTTTACTACCCCTAATTGGAGCAATTCTATCATGCAGTCTAGCTAGTTATGTTAAGAAATCGAAATATGATGTTATGAATTAACCAATAAGTCAATAACAGATATCTGTCCTGACTTTGTATATATATTCATTTTATAGTTAGATTAATTATAAAGCCTAATGACTTGAGTATGTATAACTCTCACACTTGCCAATTTATTCAATTACAACTTATGAATTTCCTGATACAAATTCATATTCATTGAATGTGATATGATGAACTTGTCTATCATTATTAATTTGTATATATATTTTAAATTTAGCATTAGAAATATTACTTAGAATTAAATGTCAATAAATAAAGCATTATGTGCAAGGGTATTTCATTTATTCTAATTAAAATAAATAAAACATTAGCCATGTCAATATAACTATACTTTCAGTTCCAAATAATTACATACTTACAGTCTTGTATATAATTTTGCAAATGAGAATTTTAAATTCAGAGATTCATAAAATTCTCAATGCACAGGGAAGTAGTACACAGTATCAACATTTGATTTGTACATAAAAACAGTGTTGTAAAAACTGTATACTACATAGAACAAGATATAAATGTCCACTCAGTCACTGTCCGAACTATTCTTTTCGTCCTTTGGTTCAATGGGGACATCTTGTTTATAATGTCTATATTCAGGTTTCAACTCCCACATATTCTTATGTGGATTCTTCAAGTTATAATTGCAGACTTCCTTCAGAATTTCCTTCAAGTATACTATAGGCTGTTTTGTTATCTGAAACAAAAATAGTGTTAAATAATTGTTAAGAAAACATTTAAAAATAATAATATTTAAAATTATTATTATTGCAAGCAATTATAAAGAATAAGTTCACACCTTCTGTAAATCTTTGATATTATAATACTGATGTTTTTCAAATGCAGCAAATAACATGTTGAGTACTGCATCTTTGTCGTCACGAGCTTTCTTGCCTTCAGCCTTTTTCTTCTCTTGATACTCAATCTGTAATACCATTACCTCTGTATTATTAATGTATTAAAATCAAATAAATCTAGAAAATTATTATTAAATACTTTTAATTGAATTAGTTTAATTTTAAATTCTGGTGAATATTCTACTTACATTATGTTTATGGTCAGAGATTGGCTTGAAGTTCTGTACAATTCTATCCAATTGCTGAACCTGCCGCTGAGGCATAGATGCTTTTCTGATAGATTCAGATTTCAATCTATAATATGTGGGATCAGCATATGGTCTACATTCTAATTTTTGTACAATCCTACCCTCCATGTAAAGCTTCTCTGATTCAGGTATAACAGCATCTGTGTTTGATGCTGTAATAATAATGAGTAATATAATAAATTAACTAAATACACTAATAAAATACAACACCATTAGATTCCCTCAAAAAAACAAGAATCATGAATCAAATAATAAAACAGAATACAGTTCTAAATTTAAATATTGCTCTAACATAATATTCATTTTTAATTAACAGATTACATTACTAATATATAAAACATCACTCACGCACAACATGAGAAAATACACCTAAAGATTGTCTTGTTACATTGGACACGTCAAGGCGATGTTCCTTAGGTATATTCTGTTCTCCAGGATCTTTAAGACATAAAACTGCCTCCGACAGTGATAGCTGAACCTGTGCCTTCTGTCCCGGCACGCGAGAAATTTTCAACTTCCCAACTTCGATATTTCCCGAAGCTTTATCCCATTTATTTGCTATGTATTTTGGTACCTTCACTAACCATACACCTCTGCCTGTATTCGACAAATCTAATTCACGATCAATATGAGGCACATTATTAGTATTATTCATGATAATAGAAATTTAATTAAACTAGCTTTAATTACAATCAAAGCGTTACTATTATTATTAAGTTATTGTTATATTTATTGAAATAAAAATAACTATTTTATATACGATATGATATCACAGAAAAAAATTCTAAGACTGACAGTATTATTGAGTCACACTGACAGTGACGTTTTAAATATCAGTTCAAACAGAAATTTGAATTTTAGCTATGAATATGTTATATGCAAAGTCAAAATTCATCTTATGTTGCTGTAATTATTCAAAATATATTATATCGATTTTGTTTCCAAATAATTCTGAATTTCTCTTGATTGCGAATAGTCAAATCTTACAAAAAATGAAAACAAAACTTGAACTTGAATTTAATACTCTGTGAAAACATTTATTCAATCCATATGCACAGAACAATGTTCAAAATGTCAAATATCTAGGTTGTCTTGTCTGACTCTACCTGTAATTGTAACTTAATGTGAAATAATTGTTTAAAGTATATGGGAAATTGTTAATTCTTCATTCTTATTTTAATGGCCATTTCATTTCGTACGATTCCGCCAGCGTACTTCACTTCATTCCTTTATAATTGTGATTCATTCGTCTTGCATAGTTTCGGTCATAGTGTTCAGTGGTTTCATTTCGTTGGTCACTTAAACCGATTGAAATTTATTGTCCCGAAGTTAATCAACTCCCGTTATTTTAAATGATATGTGGGTTTTGTTCGTTTTAGTCTACATGAATTTATTATTAGATATTCAATTCAGTATCTCTTACAACTCCAACTAAGCTATTTTTTATGAAGCAAGGCAACTACATAAACAGTAGTGATGTTCGGTTACAGTAAAGAAGCAGTTAGAGTGAAAGTCAAGGTTTGTATTGTTCTAAATAAAGACTAATACGAAAATGTTTCATCTATTGTATTCTAATTTAAGTTAATGGTTATCTGTCTCTAGATATTATTTTAATTAAATAATAATTAATAATTCTATGGAAATTCCAACTATGAAAATAAATAAGTGGAGGTGACGATTCTCTAGAAAATGTATGTAAAAATGTATAAATGTGATAATATTTATTTTGTTTTCTATAGAAGTGTGAAGGCAAGCTACAGCCAGAACTGAGGAAGTTTTCAGTAGACCCCCAAATAACTTCACTGGAAGTATTGCAAAGTATTTTGGTGAAAGCATTTGATATCAAATCCGATTTCACTCTATCATATAGAAGTGTAGATGACTATGGCCAGGAGATATTTCTACCCCTCCTCTCTGATTGGGATTTGGATGCAGCATTTCTTAAGTGAGTCAATATTTTGTTATCAAATTAAACATAAAATTTCCTTACACTCATAAAGACAGAGTGCAAGCTTTGTGTTTGTAAATATTAATGTAAGACCTGTGCACCTCTTTGTAAATTCCTTAATAATTATGTTATTACAAATGGATGTAGTCTACGTGATACCTAATATGTATCTAGAAGCTATGGAAAAGTGGAGCCTGGCACAAGCAGTATGCTTAAAAGGAGCCTTCAACAATTATATAGAACTTACTAACTAACCTGTTTCACAAATAAAGAATTTTGTATTTATTTGGGTAACAGTTATTTTTATTAATTTTGAATTATTTATTCATGCAATGGCAGTCAGAGTAGTAAAATATTATTTCTTGCACTACATATTCCTATTTAAGAAAAAAATATTAAACATTTTATGGCAATGTGTTCAAGATGTAAATGCTTTATGGTCCGCAAGGACAATATTATGAAATTAATAAAATCAAATCATTAACTTCTCATACTGTCTATATAATTCTACTAGGAAATAATATATAAAAATAGGAATAACTTCATACAAATAAAAATTTGTATGAAGTTATTCCTGAATTTATAATAAATATTTAATTAATAATATACATATAAAATAAATATACGGAATTCTTTTGTATTGTTACCAAGTTGTTTGACATTGCAGGGCACATAACATAGCTCTAACTCAAAGATGTGAACCATGTGTCCAATTAAAAGTCGATATGAAGCCATTTTCAGAAGCTTCAGAGGACTGGGAACCCCCAAATGTGAACCCAACTGTGCCTATGATAAATCAGAACATCAGAGATCAGAATCCGACAGTGGCACCCCCTGTGCAACAACCAGAGAAACAAGATATACAGACTGGCTTTCAAGGCTTAATCATGAACCAGGTTAATTCACTTATTATTTTATTTGTTTATTAAAACTTTAATGCACAAATACACAAATAAAGGTGCATATGGAGGACTTGATACCTTGAGGCATTTTCTCACAGTCAACCATAGGGCAAACAGAGATTCATGTGGGTGGTGCATCATCAATTATATACTTACATATAATACTTAATACTTACACAAATTAATCAATCATTACACATATTATATGTATTATTAATCCTTTAAAATTTATATGTAATAAAATAATTAAATAAATAATTTGCTACTTATAATTGATAAGTAACTTATTATCATCCATTACAAAGTATTTTAAGTGTTTACATACAGCACTTGCTATTGACAGAAAATTAATCCCCACACACTAGAACCTGAGTGATCTTGGACAGTGCAGTTTCAGAGATCTTAGATTGTGGAATGATTTACTTGCCAAGGTTTTCTCTAGATACTACTACATGGGGTTTTTCAATGAGTGTATTAAGATTTCTTAATGGTTGGTAATGTGCATGTGACACCCCTAGTATTTCAGGCTTCCATAGGCTATGGTAACAATTTACCATTAAATGGGCCCTATGCTTGATTCTATACAACATTCTATACAAGACAATATTCTATACATATGAAGGTTCTATACAATCTAATAAAAAATATGTACTTTTTATATACAATAAAGCTGTCATTATTGTATATAAAAAGTACATATTATTTATTAGATTGTATAGAACCTTCATATGAAATTTCATTATTGCTTATCTTAAATAATCAATTGCCAGTTGATTTCCTTTACCAATGTATTTCCCATTTTACCAATGCATGATAGAGCATATACAAAAATGGGCAATATGGTGTACAGTTCATTAATCTGTGGTGGATATAGACTTTGTACAAAGTCCTATGTGTAGATGGATGGTATACCAGCTTGCTTTTTAAATTGTATTTCAGTTCAATTCTGAGATACGGTAGTGAACCTACAAGGCATGCAGACCTCATGCTGGTGTTATGTTGTGCTGTACATGTTTGAAAACGATGGTTATCACTTATAAGGCCAGAATGGCTGTCAGCTTGTTAAACCATTCCAATTACATGAATAAAATTCAGTTAAAAACAAGTGTAATATTTATTCCACTATGAATTCCATATTTTAATGAAATTAGAACAATAATCTAATATATAAAATTCTCGTGTCACAGGTTTCGTATGTATACTCCTCCTAAACGGCTTGACCGATTTTGATGAAATTTTATGTATCTGAGCATAGGTTTATAGAATAGAATAGAATAGAAAATCATTTATTCAAATAAACTTAATTTAAGCACTTTTGAATAGTCATAACAATTTGTTTTTTATCTACCACTCGTTCGGAAAGCTGTCTCATCACAAGAAGAACGAGCAAGAAACTTGTGTGTTGCTCTTTTAAATAATCCTTGTAAGTTTACATTTACAAGTCGAAACGTGTGAATACAAACTACCAACAAGCACAAATTTTTGGGTCAAATACAAATATGTATGTATATGTAATATAATAAAACTTAGTTGTTCACGAACAGTTTGACAGATGGCCGGTATTACCACTATTTGTAATGTCGATTTTTGCAAGTAATACACCACTAAACTGTAACACAAACAACAATCGACACTAATTACACTATTAGATCACTAATAACAATATTGAAATTATAATATTTGTATGATAAACAATTAAAATTTATTTATTATTACGGCCAGCTGAAAATGACAATTGTCGTCGGTGTTGCCAGTCGAAGAAAAAAAAAAAAAAATATAAATAATTTTTCTACCCTTAAGTGTTAGAGTGGCTCACCACAATTTTTTTTTTACTATTATAATTGCATTAAAAAATACATACAACCCTAAATTTTCACTCTTCTATCACCAACTCCTATTTTTTAATAGCGACATTAATTTATATGGCAAAATAACGCCGGGTCAACTAGTAATACTAAATAATATAAAAATTATAGCCACATTTAAAAATGTTGAGTACTAATGCTAATTATAATGTATCTAATATGATAATACTTACTATGTTTAGGTTGAAAAAACATTTAACATGGTATCAAGAGCGCTCAATTTATACGAAGATCCTAATACGCCTCCACGCGCGCCGCTTTGTGACATTGAATTCAGAGCTTTCCTAGATACAGTTGGACAAATAAACAACCCTGCTAAACTCCGCGAGGTCATCTACTGCGGTGGTATAGAACCCAGTCTCAGGTAAATATACAAAAAACAACAATTTCTATATAAATTTTGGTTATTGACTTTTCTCAGGAAGTTTTCAAATATAGTATAAACTGTACATACCATGTTTCAATAAACTGAGTTGAGTTTTAGACTCTCTGGTGTATATAATAATATGTTATATTAAAAAGTATAAACATATTAGATAAAAACAATATTGATTTTAGTCACAATTTTTTTTTTTCTATTCTATGAAATTAACAAAAATAATAGTTATCGATGATAATAAAATTAATCGTTGTGTCAATATTTAAAATGGATTCTATAAGAACACTGAATGGGGGTACCCATTCAGTGTTCATAAGATGAACGATCAAAGTTGTAGTTTACACTGTTCCTAAATTATTGTTATAATATTACTCCAAGATATAGCGTTTTATTATATTAAGCAGGACCATTCAACATTTTCCCTTACACCCACTTGTCTTAATATAATTAAAGTATAATTCTTTTAGAAAAGTTGTCTGGAAACATATTCTTAATGTTTATCCTGATGGCATGACTGGAAAAGAAAGAATGGATTATATAAAAAAGAAAGCCAATGAGTATTACAGTCTTAGAGCTCGCTGGAAAGACTGTATTCAAAAAGGAATGGTAAGCGATATAAAAATTGTAACGTCGTAATATGCTCTTATTATAATTGAAACTTTTTTGCTATTTTTATTATTTATCATGCAATGAAAATACATTCTAAACTTATTATATTGACTGATTATAAAAATATATAACTACTTATATTGGTTTAAGGTAAATGCTGATCTGGCTTATGTAACCGGAATGGTTCGTAAAGATGTTCTACGGACAGATAGACACCACAACTTTTATGCCGGTAGTGATGACAATCAAAATATTGCGTCTCTCTTCAATATACTAACAACGTGAGTATTCTCTTAGTAGCACTGTCTTGTCTTGACAGTGATATTATATTAGCTTTTACTGCATACTGCAATCGTATTTATCGTTTATTTTCAGATATGCATTAAACCATCCCACAGTAAGCTACTGTCAAGGTATGTCAGATCTCGCTTCGCCTTTATTAGTGACAATGGGTGATGAAGCCCACGCATATATTTGTTTATGTGCTCTTATGACTCGTTTGTATCCTAACTTTTTATTGGATGGAGAAGCTATGACTTTAAAATTCACTCATCTAACTGAATCACTTCAAGTGTATGATCCTGACTTCTATAATTATTTAAAATCACAACAAGCGGACGATTTATTGTTTTGCTATAGATGGCTACTATTAGAAATGAAACGTGAATTTGCTTTTGATGACGCACTTAGGATGCTCGAAGTTTTATGGGCTTCGTTACCACAAAAGACTCCTGCTGCCGAACTGTCTCTAAAAGAAAGAGATTTCGATCCTACACTAGACGTCGATGATAATCCTCCGCCCGCTAGTCCATTGATCAAAGCACCACGAGAAAATGCTTATACCAAAGTATGTGCGATAAGACGTCAAAGTTCCAGTTTTAGTTTAGCTAATGTAAAAGCACCGAAACTAGCTACATGCAAACAAATGAACCACAGCCTAGACGAAAATGCAACTCGAAAAATTCTCACAAATTCATCACTTAAACATGCTAAAGAATTCCAGAGTCTAGATGATGCCGCTTTAACAGAAAAATCGAAATTAGATAGATATGAAAATAGTTGCGATAAAAATAAAGAAAACATTGTAGCAAAGGACACTAAACTTCATTTACGTCAATCTATGAAAAGTGTACCTGAAGATGGCAAAGCCCCAGAATCGCAAGAGCTCACCACAATAGACTGTACAAATACAGGTAATTTAACAAATGGCATATCACATGCTAACATTAAAGGTACACCATTAGGAAGCCAAGTAAGATTATTACGAGATAAAATATCTGTTCATAACAATAAATTTTCCTGTTCGTTAGATAAATTAGATGATTCTTCTGATACATCTAATCGCCCAAAAGTAAAAATGATAAAAAACCTGAACGAGTTCCTCAATTTTGCTACTGGAAGCAAACCTATTATTAAAGAAAAGATACACAGAACTCATTCTGCTTTAGAAAATAACTCCTTAGGGCATCCTAAAATAACATTGACGAAAACGTCTTTTGAGGAAAATGACTTATTATCAATGACTGTAAAGGATTTTAAACCAAATATGTTAAATAAAAGTATCTACTGCGACCCAAATGATGGCAGCAGCCCAGATGATTCACAAGAATACTATCCCATGACTACATCGATGACAAGAGAATTAAGACTAGAGTTGGAGCACTTGGATCGTCAAGTATTTGGTCCATTCTATGTTAACCGATGCAGTATGATATATGATTCTCCTTCTGATTCTACTAGCTCAGATGAAAAAAACACCAATGATTACACGGAAGTAAACAAAAGTAAATTAGCAACCGATACTTTGGAAACAAATACCGAACCCACTGAATTAATAGAATCGACAAAAAAATCTCCCTTACTGGAGACAATAAAATCAAATGCCAGAAGTGTGGAAGATATTTATTTATGGGAAAATCCTTTGCATAGGAACACTTCAACAACTCGCACAACAGCAAGTTGTCCACAAACTCCGGATGAACAAGCAGATCTAGAATTTGATGGTGATACTGGTGAAATATTTGAAGAACATTCTGGAAAAAAATCGATAACCCCAATTAGATTACTGAGAAAAAATCAATCATTGGAACCCCAAGATTTATGTAAAGAAACTAAACATTCCAATACGCATTCCAGTGAATCGGATTCTTCTGATAAAACTCTACCAGATACATCTGACAGAGCACTCTCAAAAGTCCAACAAGAAACGGCCAGTTCTTCGAGATCACAGAAGTTCTTTTCAAGTATGTCACAGGAACTGGAAAATGCAAAAAGAAATTGCGAATCTCTACTAAATGCGAAACAATCAAATTTACACAGTGTTGCATCAACAATAAATAATTTCCAAAAGAAATATGAAGCCCTAAAACCACCACAAAAAAATGTCACTGTAAATTCCAGCAATAATGAGAATATACCCAAATTTACGATCAGCAGTCTTCCTCCACCTACAGTATTTGGGGGAGGAAATCCTTTTCTAATGTTTCTTTGTTTAACTGTGCTATTACAACATAGAGATTACATTATGAGGAACCGTATGGACTATAATGAGTTAGCAATGCATTTTGACAAAATGGTTAGAAAGCATAATGTAAACAGGGTACTGAACCAAGCGCGACAGATGTTTGCTATTTACATGAAACAACAAGCTCATAAGACTGGAGATGTGACTACTTGAGTTACTAAGTAATTATATAAGCTGTTGAGATCTCCTATAATAATTTAATTGCTCATAAGACTCTATTTTAATAGGTAGTTAACTATTCAATTTGTGTATAAAACCAGTAGAATAAGTGCATATTACTGTAACAAAAAAAAACTTTTTAAAACATTCTCCCTTTATCAGATGTTGATTGTTCATAAACTTATTAAAACATTCATACCTAATTCTTGAAGCAATACTTTTGATTGAACTCGATTAGCAACTCGTTATTTATATTCTTTAATTGCCTTGAGACGAACGCGCGATAAAGTGCGTAATTACGGGACACAGGAACTCTCTACTTAAACAAAAATGCCAATATGCCGTCTGTTCCATGAGACTTATTGGCATCAAGAAATAGTGACTCCCACTAGACTCTACCTAGTGTTATAACATTCTACTTTAGGCAGTTATAACTGCCCAAAGTAGAATTTGAGGCAAAAATAGTGCACACTAGATCAATTCGGTTGGCTTACTTGTATGATAAATTTAACCACGGCCTTTTTTAAGTATAAGCAGAATTGGAATAAAACATTTTATGTCTACAACTACACAACAACATTGTATGCATAGTCCCAAAAATTTTAATTTAATTAATTAATTCAATATTTTACTCCAAAGAACTGTATTTCTATAACTTATTTGAAATGTGATATTTATTTTATAATTAGATAACTAAAAATAGCTTTATTTTTATAAGAAGTCCTATTTTTCATATTTAGTTATTAATTCAAATCACAACAAATTATGTAGATGCATATAAGGGTTACTGCACGTACTACGTTTTGAAACAAATGGCTAGTTTTAATAATACGAATAATTATTTTATATTAATTAATATAAATAACATGATTTATAAAAAAATATAAATGTATGCTCTTGTGTTTTGACTTAGTAAGACCAGGGGCCAGTAGCAAATTCTTTAAGGAGCCCTTAATTTTGATTCTAGTCTGATTTGACCAATTTGGACTAGTGGCAACTTTGTGTGTGGCAACAGTTTTTGTTAATTCCCAGCGACAAGAGTACATTTTGAAAATAGTTTTATTTCTTCTAGCGAGGGGGCCGTAGAATTTTCTACTACTACTGCTAAACTAATCCATTACAAGGATACAAATTAAATTAACTAAATTCAATTATTATATTATTATTATTATTTGAGTTTAATTAGTAGCGGGAACTGTTCTAAAAATATAGTGACAAGATGGGCTCTAACAGAGAAAGTTGAATAAAAGCTTGTAAAATTTCGTTATGCAATATATTTACTATTATATTAAATTAAACTATACTATTACTATATTATATTATACTACATCGTTCGCATGCTTTACACACTTGTCACAAAAATGCTAAGCGAATAAAGAATGTTTACATTTTTTTTATACAACAATAATTTATACTATTAATAAGGTCGATCTCAAATACATATATTAAAGATATTATTATACATATTTTACAGAGCACTTAAAAATACTTTTTAGTTTTTGAATATGTAACATTCTATCCAATTTACATCACGTCTACCAAATTCTATCATCTCAAGGGATTGCACCGATATGGATTTATACAAAGGATATTTCCAATGGGATATATATTGCAAATATAATCACATACTGTATATGAAGTTGTGAATGGCGTTTTGTGATGTATAAAAAATATATGTTTTTGCAAATCTTCATAAGAGGACAAACGTCCTTAAACATCTTACCATATCTGTGGTTAAATGTATCCACTATGAATAGGCATTTACTTCTGCGTGCAATTCCAATGCGACAAAGTTCTTAGTACACAAAAAATCTGAATTAATAGCCATGCCTAAAATGCCCTCTTATTTTACCAACAATTTGTTGATATTTCATGGGATATGCGAGATATGAGTATACGGTTAGAATAGAAACAGTGGACTACTTACATTAATATTTGATCAATAATTTACGGCATTGAAGTCAAAATTAAAATTTACACTTTAGCAAATAACATATGACTCCATTGCCAACAGTGCAGAGGGTTAAAAGTCGAGTGTCTACGCAATTATACGTGGAAACTATTGTGATTACTTCCTGGTGAATTGATGGAATAACACACTTCATTTCATACTTCACTAACATAAAATTACAGTTGGAATCATCATATTATCATCCCGGTATGGTGAATTTCGAAGTTAATCGAATTCAGCTACAAATATTTCGGCTAACTATAGATAAATAAATTATTTAAAAAAAACATGTGTACTAAGAATCGCGTTGCAGAATATAATATATTAATTTTATAATTATATTTTTCTATCAACTAGAGAATGCAATTATTTAATTAGTTTCCGTCTAGTCCTTTAACTTATTCTTATTGATAAATATACAAAGTTATTATGCGCTAACAATAAGTAAAAGCTTGGCCTATATTGTTCATATAATCATAACGCAATACTTATCTACAACTATATTCAAATCAAGAGTGATTATTAGTTATAAAATGGAATTATTAGGCTGTAAATAAATACAATATTACATAACAGTACATGTCTTTTTATTTTATGCTTATTGTGATTGAAATGACAAATAAGATCGATGGCTCATTAACAATCGTCACTATAAACGTCAATTACTCCTTAAATATTACAATTTCCCGAGCTCCCACACATTTCCATTCTTAAGGGTTATGATGCTAGCTGGTAGCTTCATTATTCAAGGCGTAAGGTGATTGTTAGTAAAGGATCACTGTGGGGCCAGCAGTACCCCACTGCTAGACAATATACCACGTCATATCAGCATCGACTAGTCCCCACTCAGAACAATTCTGGTTAATTTGTTAAGTATATATATATATATATATATATATATATACTTAACAAGTTAACCAGGATTGTTATATATATATGAATGAGCAATAACCTGACTTCGTATTCAATTTACCACCTTGATAACCCCGCCAGCGCATACCTATCGGGGGTTCGAAAGTACTATGCATTTATTTATTTAAAATACACAGGTCGTTTTCAAATGAAACACGAAAATAATCTTGTTAATTTATTAACATCTAAATTTATATTAACAATGAATTTTTGCAAAAAAAAATACTTAACGAAACTTAAAATCTACGCATTAATATCACAAGTCTTACAAATGGGGAAACGACAAGAACCATATTTATGATTTCATTTATCCATGATTTGTTTTATTATCGTTCCAAAAATTCATTACACTAAGGTTTTATTAATTACGGAGCATGTAATATTTGACTAACATTCGAGTTTTTAGTTTATTTCCTTTTATTGCCTCCAGCTCCAGACAGGATCATAGCGATGCGCATAAAAATATTAAGAACGTCTAGATACACCGAAATCGCCCTGTAACAAATAAAATTTGACATAAGTTCTAACAAAGGCAATTTAATGGCCTGAGCCATACAGGTCCATAGTTCTTATAGCTTAAATCTATTAAACATTAACTTAAGATGAATAGAATTACTTTGTAAATTATTGGAATTCACCTACGCGACAGGTTTCGCTCGAAATATAATAATCAATCATATAATCATAATTAATACAATTTTTACCATGTCATCTACAAACTCGAAAATATACATACAACAAAATAAAATTTGATACATATTTCCAATGTACATTTAAATAATAATTTAATCTTGCTCCGGTTAATATATAATCAGACATAACACTGCCTATATATTAACAAAATTATTTTGCCAAAATTAATCGTCTGGAAGAAGTACTTAAGCGCTGTTTTAGTAAGTGTTATTTGACAAAACTTATCTGAAGAATTCACCATATCACACAGCATCGCGTATATAAATGCGTTATAGTGATAGAAACCATGTCTGTCGCATTTAATTGATCTATATATATATATATATATATATATATATATATATATATAATCAGAAATAGGGAAAAAATAAAGTCAATTGTCAAACATAATGAAAATCACTTACGAATTAATTGGATCGTAGGGCTGGAATCCATACATTGGATGCACCTCCGCTCGTTTGATAATCGCTTGTGTGTCGTATAGCAGAAATCCGCTGAATATAATCAGACCTCCATACAAACTTAGAGAATAGAGACCTGAAAAATAACATTGAGATATATATAAGAATAAAATAATGTTGTAATAACTGGGATAGTCAGGTGTACACAAGCAACAGTCGCATTATTAGCATTATGAATAGACCTATTATCACTATTAAAACCTTGGAAACAACTTAGCAAGTTTACAATTTTTATTTCCATTACAACTTTTGTAGAAACGATATTTTAAAAATTATATCATTCTGAAAAAGTCGTTTACTGACCTGCTCCTAGTGCAGATGTGGGTGGTAAAAAAATTCCAGCTAGAGATGCAGCAAACACCGCCCCCAAACCCATGGCGAGAGGCGCTCGCATGTTAAGGAATTCACCTGACGGCGCACAAACGGCAATTGTACTCAAACCACCAACAACACCAGCTGTGTACCTGCAATGTAATTGAATTGATTAAAGTATACGTAAATAAATGACATGTACTTTTTCAGCCACAACCATACGACATTAATAATCAAATGGTAAAGTTGCAAATCTATAGATAATGTCTGCAGCAGTCTATATGGGCTGAATATGAAGACTTATGTTTATCATGATACTCATTCTGTGCAAAATACTTAAAATTAAAAATTACTAGCTCCATGTTTTAAAGTTTGTTTTACTTAAAGTCAATTACAATTAAATACCATAACATTGTATAAATTGAAATTGTTATTCTTTATAGATGTAAGAGTAATCAGTAATAATCTAATGTGTTCAAAATTTCCACAAAGACAATAAACATAACATTTAGCATAACAAATAACAAGGAAAAAAGTGTAAGAATTGACTCACCATGCAGCACGCATAAGTATTGGCCCGCCAAGGAAACATATGGGTGCTATTACAGCTCCCATGATACCTGTGTGAACAATCCATGCTAGTTGCTTAGCTCCAAATCCAGGTTGGTAGTCCATACCACGTACCACCATACCCGAGCCAATCATCAGGCCCATTGTCATTATAATAGACTGCAATTTAGAAAATATTTTTCCTTCTTAACTATTGTTCCACTAACCTATTGATTACACCTATAGCCTTCAGATTACTATTAACCAACCTTCCACTCTACATTTATACAAATTTGTATTGTTTTTAAAATGATGAATTTAAACTTGTTTTTACTCTTTGGTAACTACTCAAAGAAAGCAATAATTGCATAAGTAATGGGCTTGTAAGACCTAATATTGTTGTTAATATAAGAGAAAGTTTTGAAACTAATAATAATGTCCCAAAAGTACAATTAATACCCAAAATTAATTTTAAAAAATATTTTTTGATATTTAGGTATATAGCAATTACTTTATATTATAATTCACTAACCATCCATCCACTGCGCGCCACTAAGTTTAACAGCGCCGGGGTCCTGAAGACAGTCACAGCACTACCAGCGGTAAGTACCAGTGATCCAGCGATGTAGCCATAAGTTGCCTTAATTCTGTCTTTAACATATTGTGGCCACAAACTAAAAAATATAAAACTTAATTATACATGTGTAATTTATTTTATATATTTATACACACAATCACTAACTGAGGCCTTAGGGAAAATGGTCAAATGGGGCTTTTCATTCAGCTAAAAATATCTTATTGGTTCTTAAACTGATTTAACTCATTTTTTAGTAAATTTATTTTTGTTTTTTAATTGAGTGACACTGACTTTTTTTATGAATGTCTCATAAAATGTGTGATGATAGAATAGTAAATCTATAAATCCAACTATGTTAATAGTATTTGATTGCTATAAATGTGAGAGTAATGATTTATTTTCATAACCGTCATTGTTTAAGATATCATCCTAATCTAAATCTTTCTAATCTACACTTTACAAACAAGCAACCATGTTTACATTATTAGCTATCTGTATCACACTGAGTGTATGCATATCAATCATAATACACTATCATAAAATTATTCAATATTTCAACATATTAAACTTTCTTTACACTACCTAAAAAATGTAGATCTATAATATCAGACAAACTTCATTGCATATGGGCAGGCCCATAATACAATGGTAGCCATGACAATGTGTAAACACATGAACCTCATTGGTGTGCGATCATTCTTATCAGGAGATGGTAGCCATAAATAGACTTATTAACTTAATTTATCAAATGCTATTTTTAGAATATTAAATTTCTGGGAAGAAATTATTATCAGAAACTATCTACACAGAACTTAAACTTTTCAAATTATACATGTATTTTTTCTGGCTACTTTTTGCCTTGGAGAGAGAATATGTATATTAATAATGGTCACTTACTGTGCTTCTTGTAATGTGCCAGGTTTGACTCCCGAGCCATAGTAGCACAGAGCTACTAGGCCCACAGCTGAGGCTCCAGCAAGGGCTCCCTTGCCTATGCTGAAAGCTTAAAATAATTAAAAATTAATTAATTATGCAAACCTCAACTTCTATTTGTTAATTAGTCAAATTAAAATACTCTATTATCCATCTAAGTACCAAAATTGATTGATTGTGAATTGTTCAGTATTTTACTTGTATTAATTATTAATACTAAAACATTTAACAAAATTTTGAAACGTAAAATCTTCATAAAGATTTCCAACAAGAACACATATAAATATGTAAACAATGAGGCTTACCATTAGGACCAGCTGGTGCCATTAATTTTTCCCAGACGGTGGGCTGTGTTCTGGAAGCAACTCTAGACCGGGGTTCGCGAGCATAGTTTCTAACAGCGTAATTCCTGGGTACAAATTGCTTTGGAACAGGAGTCTTTAGCGTGTGCGTTACATTGAACGCCGATCGAGCCATACACATTCGGGACAACATGATGCAATCTGGTGAAATTTAGATTTAAGAAAATTGTGAGGATTACAAAAGTTACAAATACGTAGTGCACAAAGAAATGGCAGTTAATATAAAAAGATATTCATTATATTCTATGATATTTTTTTCCGTCGTAGTGAATGATGTCAACCGGTAAAATAAAAAACAATGAATGGTTACCTAGAACAATGATTTATGTATTTACATTAATTGATTATACTACTGTAGTAAAAATATTTCGATTGGAAACACCTGATAGCAACACACAAATATAGATTTTATGAAAATTTCGAGAATAATCGACAAAGTGACGACCAATTACTATACTATTATTGCCAAATTGCCATCACAGATTGTTATTAATTTACAGACCATAAATAATATACTATGCTTGGTACAGACCACAGAATGAGTAACCTAGTAGTTATTCTGAGATAGGCTGTATGGTCTCGTACCTTTGCCTATCCACTTGTGGATAAAATATACCACTACTACTAGTTATTCTGAGATAAATTGATAGTTATTTGACATTGACAGCTTCCTTTCTTTGAATAGGTTATTTATGCGAATGGGTATAAAATCATTAATAAACACGTGCGAACTGCTAATGTAGACAAACAAATTGATTACGATAATTTATTACAAAATATATATACGGAAGTTGAAGAACATATATCCAATAAAAATCGAAATGAAACCTTCAGAATCATCAGGTTAGTGCATATGTCATATATAATAAGTTAAATCGCATTGCTTTCCAATTTAATGTTTAACTATTTTTGTTCGTAGATTCGGAGGAGGATTTAAATCCCCAAACTCACAAGAAATCCTTGGAGAAGTTAAAAAAAATTGATCCTGATTTCTATAACTTTCTTGAAGAAAATGATGAAAACTTGTTGAATTTTGATGTGGATTCCGAAGGGGATGATGAAGACGAGTCGGTGCATGTGCCTGGGCCGTTAACTGGTGATAGCGATGAAAGCGATTTTGAGGTATTAATTCTTTTTTATAAGCAGAAATAGTGTAAAGAGATAATGTTAATTTGAAAAAAAATTATGAAATTATTTGTTCCATGTTATAAAATTTTATAATATAATTTTAAATGTTATTAAATAATAACACAGAATTGTTTGATAATATTGGGACATTGAGCCTGAGCAATACCGGAAGCTCAGTGTATTGTTTGCTAAAACAATACACTGAGCTCCTGTTTTTTTTTATTTGGGGATGTGATGCACACACACACTGTTACTCAAGTGTAAGTGTAGATAAGTTTTGTACCTATATTGTACATTGTTAACTGACCAATGTAGTTGTGTATTTACTTTGCATCTTTTTCAAGCTCTAGTTGATAATGTGAAAATTTAATAATGTCTTATAATATTCCTGTAATATTTACAATTTTTTAAGTGCATTTGTTTCTATAAACATGGAACCAACCTATAGCCTTGTGGACCCAGGCTTGGGTCTTCACATAAGCAACATCTCGAATCACCAGTGATGATAGACAGATAATAAGTTATGTTCTCATTATATGGTAATTACAAAGATTCACATAATTCCAATACAAAGACAACTTATCTCTTGAATATATTTAACTTGAAGAACTTATGTATTTATTTATATATTTCATTTTTTTTATCTAATTAATAAAATATAATGCAGGAAGAAAATTCTAAACCAATTAAAGGTAAAATCACTCTCAAACAAGTAAAACAGTGGCAAACAGAACTCCAAAGTGAGGGTAAAATAAAACAAACAACTTTGACTACTGTTATAAAAGCCTTCAATGCAGCCATGTTGAGGGTTACCAGTGAAGATGGTACATCACAAGGGGAATTTAAAGTTGAAGGTATTATGTTTCTTTTATTTATATTACATTTGTGAATTGGCCTAGACATCTGTCATGGCCAATTCACATAATATAAGAGAGGTGAACTTGATAAAATAAATTTGCCTCCCCCTACATTATATATTTAGTAGACAAATTTATTAAATCCTATCTTGTTTATTTCAGGTTCATCAGTTTTCAATGCTGTTATTCAGATGTGTGTACTCTACTTACCGGCTGCTTTAAAAAAATATTTGGGCTTTGAGCAGTCTGGTAAAGATCCTAGAAATTGTAAACACTTTGTAAAAATCAAAGGCCCTTTAATAGCATATTTGAATGACTTATTACAACTTCTTAGTGGAGTTACTTCTGAGAATATACTGACTGTACTATTAAAACATTTACACCAAATGTGTTTCTATGTTGCTTGTTTTGGAAGGATATCTAAGCAATCACTGAAAAAATTGATCATACTTTGGAGTACTGGTGAAGAAACAGTAAGAGTGTTGGCTTTTCTTTGCATTTTAAGGATTACAAGAAATCAACAAACTGCATTACTTGACCGCGTCCTCAAGGCAATGTATATGACATATGTGAAGAATTGCAAGTTCGTCAGTCCATCCACATGGCCTGGAATCAATTTCATGAGAAGGTCCTTAGTAGAGATGTTCACCTTGGACATAAATGTGTCATATCAACATGTTTTCCTATATATCAGGCAACTTGCAATCCATTTAAGGAATGCCATTGTGGTGCAAAAAGTTGAAAACCGCCAAGCAGTATATAATTGGCAATTTATTAATTCATTACACTTATGGGCTGATCTGTTAGGAGCAACATCTATGAAATCGCAATTACAACCATTGATCTACCCACTTGTGATGGTAATAACAAACACTATAAAATTGGTACCCACACATCAATATTATCCTCTAAGATTCCATTGTGTTGAGATTCTAATGAATTTATCTAAAGATTCCAATACATTTATACCAATATTACCATTTATTGTAGAGGTAAGGGTACTATATATTACATTTATTAATTACCTTTGGACTTCATATTATATATATCAATTATATTATGATATTATTTCAGGTGTTGACTTCATATGACTTCAGTAAGAAGCACAAAAAAGTTTCCATGAAACCTATTGACTTCTCATGTATTCTCAGACTTGCCAAGTCTCAACTAGCAGAGAATGGATTCAAGGATGCCGCCATAGAGAGATTATATGGTTTATTGTTGGAGTACACAGCAAATGAATCACACACTATTGCCTTCCCTGATACCACTCTTCTTGCTGTTATGCAGGTTAATTAAATTTCAAATATAATTATTTATAGATAAGATTTCAATGGTTGCCAGAATTTAAATTATCAAGCTATCAATTACATTAAACACTGTTAACAATTTTTAGACACCTTAACTAACCTAACTTATAGACACGAAAGGTCAAATCTAAACAACAGACATTTTTTAAAATTGTTATTTTATATTCTCACAGACCATGACAACGAGAGTTGACAACACCTCTGACTATCCCATCTTTTATGAAAGTATATAGGCTGTTGTTATGATGTGTACTACTGTGGTAATGTTAGAACACAACCCCCATAATTATCCTATATATTTATGTAATAGAAAAAGATACAATGACCTGATAATGGAATGGTGCCATTGACTGCGCTAACGGTTTACGCTAGCGGGTCACAATTAGAAGATAATATGAGTCAGGTCAGGTCATTGAGCCCACCAGTAAACTTATCACGATGGTTTAGCCTGAAACCGCGTGGACATGAACTTGACATGGTACATTGCTAGCAATTAATTAATTAGTCCACTTTACTAACAACGCCATTTTCTCTGCTACTGACTGATATACCTGAAAAACACCACGGACATAAATGCTATCAAGTGACGCCCATGATACAACTCAAGCCATGCCATTCCCCAAATCGGCATTTCTAATGGCATGGCAGTGTAATTAGAGTTAATTACTCCGAATACCGTATCTCACCGTTCAACCAAAACCCAGGTTACTTGATAAGCTGTGGGCTGAAATAGGTGAGACCAAGTTACCCACGCCACGACAACTTTGAGCAGAGTTTACTTCAGTACTAACCTATTGTCGCTTTTATGCCAGTGATGGGACTCAATTGATTACAAACATAACTTGATTTTGTTCCTACACCAATCATATGGGCTAGTCCCACGTAACTACTTCTTAGGCATCTATTTTCATAGTTTTAAACCAAAATTATTATTAAAACTTCGTATATAGCGTAACTATTATTTGCAGATAAAACAATTCTTGAAAAACTGTTCAGTTGCTAATTACACAAAGAAACTAAGACAACTGCTTGAAAAAATAGAAGAAAACGCTAAATTTATTGAGTCTGAAAGGTCAAAAATCAGCTTCTCGTTAAAAGACGAAAAAATGATTGCAGCATGGGAATCTAGTATAAAGACTAAAGGGACACCTTTGTCCATATTCTTTGACAACTGGAATAAGGTAAATAGAATACAAAAACGCAAGAAGATCACTAAAAATGACGAGATAGCTGGAGCTGGAGAGCTGCCAATGATAAAAAGGCCGAAGATTAGTGAAGAAGAAATAACTAATACAAAAATAAAGAAAGGACCATTAGTACTGTTCCCTTCAGATAGTGAGGATGATAAAAACCCGTTGGAAGTAGAAGAAACAAGGAAACAGAAAAAGGTAAAGAAAATTAAGAAGAAAAAGGGTAATAAACAGACATTTGTACAACAAGAAAATAATATAACTGATAATGGCGACATTGTTAACGATTTGAGTGTTAATGATTGGTAAGAAAATATATGAAATATATTTTATACATTGTTTTTTCATTAATAAAATTCCCCTCTTTCTGTTTATGCACACATTTAGATAGATATAAAAATAATAATTCAATCCAATATAATAACATTAATGTATATTAACATATTAAATAGTAACAAAAAAATAACAAGATCAAGGGATTCCTTGAAGAAAATATGTCCAATGAACCTTTGGATCTGCTGGCTCGAAACATTCTATAGTAAGGCACCCAGTTGGTACCTCGGTCCATCCGTACTGTGGTTTCTCGCGCAGATACACGGGAATTTTCAGCTCCTGTCAGGGCAATTATTTTATTTCAATTAATATGTAAAGTATAATATATCTTTTTAAGTGCATGCTACGCAACATCTTCGGAAGTTGTAAACCATTTCAGAGAAGACGTCTAAAGGAATGAGAAAAAGAGATTCTTCCTTTTCTATTCGACCATTTACTATATTGGGATCTGTAGCTTTTAGAACCGTATCTTAAATAAACAGAAATTTTTACTTCTATATCGGTCTCATACTATTTTTAATAAGATTGAAGTCTTTTGGAGTACGTTAATTATTTATAACGATTACCTTTTTCCCTTTTATCGGTTCGTACAACGTCTTTACGTAAAACTCCTCCCGATCTACATATATCTTGAAAATTCTGTTGTCTTCAAACACATTCCTGAATTTAATAATCGAGTACCCGCCTGCCTTTATTTCATGTGGACCTTGAGGTTTAGGCATGGTGGATTTCCCTTTTATTTCAAATCTAATTGTAAAATAGCAAATATATTAATATAATGACAATTTATTTCGTAATAAATTGTCATAATTTATTACGACAAAACTGTAACATTTCTTGTAAGTTTCTACTACAGTAATACACCTTAATATTGTAATTTGAGCTATATATGTATCATCCTCTATTTCATAAAGTCATCCCCGAATACAATCCCAAAGAACAGTCCGTCAGGGGCGTTTAACTAACTTGAATTCTAAAAATACAGGAAAACTCACATAAATTCTCCAGCTACTGCAGAGTTAAATGACAATTTACAGTTCTGCACTCCAAGCACCGTGGGTTCAAACCAAACCAAAAACTTTCCCTTCTCGAGCGGTCCCAACGTGTATTCTTTTTCAGCTTGTATTGATGGGTGAGAAATCTATTGCAAAAATTTAATCTAAAATATACAGCAAGTTAAATACAGTGAACAGTTAAACACACAAAATTCAGTAACCATATTTAAATGGTTTCTATATTAACTGCTACCATATTTGTTTACAGACGAAACAAGATTGTAGTCTGATTATAATTTTAATTTAAACAAAACAGTTTTTCACTGTATGTAATGCTGTACCCCTTGACTTTTGACGATTAATAGAAGATAGTTGATCAATAAAATTTTGTATATATGTAGTATATATTATGATACATTCGATTATTCATTTTATATAATAGAGCCAAAATGTAGTCTGCCACACAAACGCCATAATCTATATTAGTTACAAAAAAAATATAGATCACTGACGACTGTAGGTTTAATTCCAGCTTTGATTCTTTATCCTTAGTTTTATTTCGATGTCATTAGGGTTAGTGGATTGTGCTCCAGATATTTGATCTAATTCGTAAAAACAATGGTTTCATTAGGGCGAACATTTTACTGGTTTAATTAGATGAGAAATTTCATTAGGCACACGGCGGATTGCAACTTACCGAACTTATGAAGTCGGCTTTTACGTCTGTGTTGTTTTGTACTCTGAGCCTAAGTGGAATGCATGTACCGAGCGCAGTTGAGTACTCTAAGTTCTTTTCCTTAGCCGGCAGACACTTTAGCAGAATTTTATATATATACGACCCCACAAGCTGGTTGTACACAACCAAATAATCGCGAGTCTCACCAACCACTAGCGGCGAATATATTAGTGGCAACGTGGCCTGAAAGACAAATATGTGTTCATTAAAAGCTGCAGATGTAATAAACAATGAAATCCTTAAGTAGGTATATAGAAGAAAAATATAAAATATTAAAAGTTCGTTTTACAAAAAAAATTGCTAAAAGATCTCGCTCGTAGCGGTAGTAGATGCAGGGAAGTATAGGTTTAGCATAACGTCCTGAACGAATAGATATTTAGAAGCCAATACCTGTACATCTTTATTTTAAAACTAGCAGTTATCATCTATCTTTGGAAATAAAACATAGCCTATGCCGGTCATTGTGGTACAATTTACGTCCACTTGTTTGACTATGAGCACAGATAATATAATATTACATACTATGAGGTAATTTCAACCGTGATCCATTTAGTCGGGAAACGGCAACAGACACTAGACAGACACATTTATAAGTAATATTCGTACGGACGTCTAATACATTTAGCATATTTGTTGGTAGTCGAAGTATTATTATATATTATATAAAATTATTAAATATTCAATATATTGTTTACCTCTGAATTTCGACTAATCGCCAAAAATTCGGGACAGAGTAATTTGTCGCATTTTATAGAGAAGTCAACGTCTTGACCCAGAGGATTGGAAACCACCAATTCCATTTGAGTCATCTCACGTGCTCGAGACACGAATGTGAGTGTATCCACGACTTTGCTGGCCGTCACTGTGGCCACGATGTTGTAGAACTGATACTCTTTAGTTACCTCATTTATGAAAAACACCTAAAAACTCAATGAAATTTATTAATGTACCTACTAGCTGACCCCGCATATGTTGTTTTGCCATATAAATTAAAATCGTTTCAAAATTTAGGGCTATATGTATTTTTTAATGCCTCATAATAAAAAAAAATATTATGTCGAAAAAATGAAAAAAACATGTTTGAGGCGAGTCACTATAGCCATAAGGATGTTATGGGTATAAAAATTAGTTATAAATCCTTAGACACACTGAATATACATATAAAATATCATCAAAATCGGTCAAGGTGTTTCGGAGGTGTATAAACACGAAACTTGTGACATGGGAATTTTTTATATTAGACACATTTGTGGATGTAGTTGACAAATTGTCGTTAACTATTATATGTATGAAAAGAAACTAACTTTGAAATGCAATTCACATTCATCGTAGCATACAAAAGTCCACCTGCATGTGCCAGCAGCCTCTCCCCACACCTTAATACTATCGGGGTATTTTATTTCGTAGTAGCCTTCGAATTTATCCGGAATTATCTTAACTACCTCTGTTGTCACAGTATATGTCTCTGGAAACTAAGAATATAGCTGTATTGGATAATCCCCCAAACAATTATTTAAACACCTATAGACGTATTTGCATCTGAGTAAAACCACCATTTACGCATTCGTATCACCCCGTGTAATCATTTCCTGTCCTTCAAACGGGGATCGAAGTTATGACGGCCTGAACTGACCTACGAACTTCTAGTGCTGCCCTCAGACTAAAGTCCTATCCGTCAGAATTTGTCCTTTAACCGCTGCATTTTCCTTCCACGGTTTTGGAGTACCTTCTGCACTGACTCTCACATCGTTCGGTGAAGCTGTATTAGACCAGTTGCTGTCAGGCCAATAGCATTAGAATTAAAAAAAGGATTTTATTATACAAATATACTCCAAGCACAAATCAATACCAGCAACTTTCTTGGGTTCACTTGTCACAATGAATATTGCTAACGATTAAAGTGGGCCCATATAATACATAGGTACCTTCTATAGGTACCTATGTATTATATGGGCAATATATACCTACCTATCTCCATATAAAATATATTACCTAAAAAAGAAAACGATATGTATATATTGATTACATATTGCTTTTATATACCTACTACTAATGTATTAAGTTTTACATGGAAAGTGACAATTTTCAAACTAAAGTTTAACATACCTCCGTAATATTATACACAGGTAAATTTTCAGTATGTAAATCTTTCGCGGGCACACTGAGAGTAATATTCCCTGTTGGGTTTGGATGCGAAGCTAGTGCAACTAACGTTATGAATAGTGCACTCTCACCCAACGGCGAAAACAATACCTGACCCTGTAGTAATAGCAATTAAGGAATTTAAAGCAATATGGACTGCTTTCAATGCTTATTTCACATGACTTGTGCAGAAATTTACCTTAAATTATTTGATCACGCTTACGTGCTACCTCTAATTATGCAGGCATCCAAAGATTATGACATCGATTTACCGTTCGGGTAACGGTCTTCATAACTACAGTGACAGTCTTCCTGTTCATCACTGTAGGTATGAAGACCGTTCAGTCATTTCACAAACCAAAGGGTTCAGTCATTTCAATTGTATGACAACTGGTTCCAAAATGTAGGAACAATACCACATTCTTGGATGAAAACCTAACCTTGGAGTGGGGTAATCGGTGACAGTGTTAACTGTTGATAACGTAGTAAACGCAACACTTGACATGCCCATATTCTGCAATTCTCATTTGAATCCAACGTGACCTATCTCGACTTTATCTCGGATTAATGTTTGTTTAATATCGGTGTTTCCTTCACTGAAGACTCAATCTGTTGCATTTTGTGTCGACCTGATTTGAACTTACAACCCCTTGAGTATAAGTACGGCATCCTCTCGAAAAAGGTAATGTAACAATAATAATAAAAATAAATTTATCTAGGTTAGGTATCTTTAACTATACTAAATCTTCTCATAATTATGACATTCCCCAACATGTACATATAGTATTATACCTATAATACGATAGCGACTGAAAGGTTAGAATATTTATATTCTGTATTATTTTCGTTATTACCTCATGTCTGCCTATAGACTTCGGTTTAAAATGAACGGGTATATCAAATACCGAATTAGGTTCTACATTGAATTCTCTTAATGTTTCAAATGGTCCACCAGATACTTCGCTTAAAACCAGCCACATGTCATCAGAACTGTAAAATATTTAAAACAACTGAAAGTAATCTAAATTTAAGTAAGTTCAAATTAATAATAATGACGAATTTCTTACGGATTTGTGACCGATACATATTCTGTTTGAACTTCTCTTACTGGACATTCCAGGTATAGTGTTTTATTCTGAATGGTTCCTATATCCACGCAGGTTGCATACATAGCTAATTCCAGAGGAGCGTAGTTTTCAATATTGCAACTAGCCTATATTAACGTAATATTATATGTATCATAAACGAACAGAAACTAGGGGGTTAATAATGTAATGCTGTTAGTAACAATTCGGATAACAGTTTGTATCTGTATGTATGTATTCTATGAATCATGCGAGAGTTGTAGGTAAAAGCTAAATTTTAAGAATCGCAACTGCAACTTTATAGTGGTCACTACATAATAGCAAAAATCAATTTTTATATGTTTGAGATCAGAAAGTTAGTAAGAACGTTACACAATTAAGGGTTACATTTTCCGCCATTTTGTCCGAAATAAAAACTTAAGTACCTACTGAACAATACTCACCCATACTTTTATAAATGTATTATATTTAACTGGTCGAAATGTTATAGTAAAGGTCACATTTGTATGAGCTGCTATGTTACCCTGCATTGGAGATATTATAAATTCGTCAGATGTAAGAGGTTGCCACCAAAATCTGAAAAGAGTAGCTCCGTTGATTTAACCATTAATAAAGTCATATATTATTTATGCCGACAAGGATTTGTTTTGACTGTTAAGATATATATAGATACGACACCCGCGAAGGTAAATATTCCAAACATTCTTAAACCACGTGGCCTACGCAGTAGCAATTTTACATGTATCATGGACTGTGCAAGTATTTTTATAAGTGAGTGTGCACGTATTTATTCAATCTATTTCCCGATATATTTAGGTACTGTATCAAATCACTTAATAAATAGTAATACCTTGTACCAAAATCTCCTTTGTTTAACAACATCACTTTCAGTATCTTACAACCGCGTTTCCGTACACGACCAAACTGTAGTGATTGTTGACTGAAACATAGACACATTCCCGTAGCGCTCCCGCTCAAACGTACCAAAGGCCTTTCGAACTCGAACACTTTCATGTTTAACTAAAAACAATATTATGTTTCAACTTTATATTAAATTTTATACTAATACATATTCACAGTACCTAAGTATTATGTAGTCTCCGCAATGTCTCACCTCGCACCGCAAAAAGACTTACGGATAAAATCGAAACAATTTTATCCGTATTATTTAATAATATATATATACCAAACCTTTGGTATAAATAATAAACTGGAAGTCATGTTTTGACACGGTTGCCAATCAGCTTGCTTTGTAAACTATGTTCCTATTGTAGCGTGCGATTAAATTACAGAATAAGAAGCTATAGTTTATTACTAGATTGCAATTCCAATTACATAAAATTAAAAAGAAAATGAAGCAAAAACTTTAAATTTGGCAAGTTGCTTATACACCTATTTAAACGTTACTATATATTTTTACAGCAATAAACCAATACATATTTTACTATATTACATACAATTTTATGTAATCCCTGTTACTTTACAATGTCTTATGTTTTGATGAATACCTACTACTTGGAATAAATATTGTTCCATACTTATATGAATATGTATAGGTATAGAACGTAGCACCGTTTATTATTAGAAATTGTATACATAGACCCAAACTTACCTGAACGTTCAATGTGCTTATCATACCAATAGGTTTGAACTGAATCTTCAAAGGAACCTTTCTGTAAGGTTTTATGGTGCACTTGGTGGGAACTACCTTCAGAGAGGATAAAGCATTCTCTACGTCCAAAGAAATTTGGTCTTTAACTTTATTGTCTTTGTAACGTTTTAACAGTCTTACTCTATAAGTACAATAAAAATAAAAACTTTATTAAAATCTTAACTTAAAATAAATATGAAATCTCTTCGTCAAGTAGAATATTTAGTTGATAGACTTCTAAATAGATTTATAATACATATATTGCCATAATACAAGTCGATCACGTCAATTTACAAGAAAAAAAAACGCATCGTATTAACTCCATTACTGGCTGCGGTATAGTGGTGTTGATACTAAGGGCAGACACAAATAGATACGTTAAATTCATTATACATCTTAGTTCGTCGGGCATTAAAAAAACAAATAATAAAAAAAAATGTATTTTTAATCCCCAAAGAATTAAAAAGTTTGTGAAAAAATAATTATCAATACTTTTACCTTTTGGGCCTAAAATAATAAATGTTCCTTAAGAGCAACTGTTATTTTTACGAATCTACAACCTGTTTCACCGATTCGATAAATTACCTCGAGGTCCCAGCATCGGTCGCTTGTGAATGTACCATGTTGGGACTAAGGCATACGCTAGTTCCTTCAGAATTAGTCGTATCATCGACATCAGGGTAAATTTCTCTAAATATGAAACTGGCATCAATAGGCACTTTGCTGTGATTCATCACTTCAATTTGTCTCACTATTTTCTTTCCCACCTTTACCGGTCCTAAATCAAAACTTTTCTGACAGCCCTCATAAAGATCAAAAAGAAGAGGTACACCTGAAATATTCGAGAGTTCTAAATTGAAATAATCATAATAGGTATAGGTATATACCTAGTCATTATCAATGATGAATTTGAATGATTTTGGATAATTTGGATATGGATGAATGATTTATAATATGGATGAATTATTTTAGTACATAAGATTTTAAAATTATGATATATGATATAATGATGATAATATTTTTTTATCGAAATTTTATTTCCGTGCTCTTATCTGACATTTTTTAAAGAAAATTAACAATATCAGAAACGAGAGAAATGAAATAAAATTTTGGTAAAATAATATTTTCATCATAATTTTAAAATCTTATGTACTAAAATAATTCATCCATATTATAAATCATTCATCCATATCCAAATTATCCAAAATCATTCAAATTCATCATTGATAATGACTAGGTATATATCATCATAATTATCATCATAATTTTATTTCTATAATTATATTTTTTTATATGTTTATTTCTCCTATATGTCAGTGTCATATAATACAACTATCTATGCACCACATAAAATAGAATTTTACGAGTCATGATAGTATAAGAATTACTGATAGAAGATTTCTAGAAATGCGCGCGGTAATTGTTTCTGTACAAGCGAAACCACAAGTAAAAGTTGGTTACATTAATTACATCTTAGATTTTACGTACCTTCACCCTTGATAATAATTATTTCTTCACAAAGGGAATTTACCCAAAATTGTAATCTGAATTCGTATTCCCGTACTTGCTTAGGTCTAAAGAAAATGGGAATTTTCACTCGCTTGCCAGGCGGTATCTCCGGAAGCTGACGGTAATCAACAATAAGCTCTGGTAGATTTTCAAAACTCAAATCAATTCTGTAAATAATGATAATTATATAAATTGTTCTTATTCCTCTTTTATTGAAGAAATTTATAATCAAATACGTGAAAAACTTTCATACATGACAGGATCTTGATCATCGTTGATAAATGCTAAATTCTTTTTGTAAGTTAAATCTGGTGCATTTACTATACATTTTCCAAAGTCATAGTTCATACAAGAAAAATGATAAAGTGGCTTTTTTATTTCTGCATAAAGATTTATATTATATTCTGGGCCATCTGAAATCTATGATTTTAAATATTAATTTTACATAATCACTGTACTTAGTTTAATAGATATTGTAACTATTAATTTTGCCGTAAAATTGCCAATCTAGATAAATTTATCTAGAAAAATTTTACAAAAACACAGATACACAATAAAGTAAGATATGGCAACGGATTTTTTTGACACATTGACAGCATCTATAATGACAATTGTCAACAACATATATAACTTAGCTAAAAATATACTATTCGTACAAATTATTTTGAGCATACTTACCGTCAAGGTGACAGGGAAAGCCTGTACTGGAACTTGTTTTAATGTAAAAGATAATACACACTCCACATCGGCCGCCGGTACAACGTGACCACTCTTGGGTTCCACGCTGATCTGTAGGTATTTCTTAACAGAGCTAATATTGTAATGCCATTCAAAGAAGAATGTGGCAGAGCCGTCGTTCTTTATTGTGAAGGGTATTGTTCGCTCATACGTAGATACAGTCTGAATAAAGAACACAGTTTTTGTTATTAAATGAAATCTTAATAAAAACGTTCTTATTAATCGATTTCTCAGTTTACAACAATGGAGTTATATTTTTATAATAAAAAAATATCTATAATTTAATTTCACACAGATTCTCGTTTATTATGGTTCTTCATGTTTCTATAGATACTTTTATAAATAGGTATATGACATTGAAATTCTGCTCGACATTTTAAAGCCGCACTTAAAATAAGACACGAAAAAGTTACTATACATTGAATAATTTGAGTTTGGATATATTATGGCGTCTTCATTATAGGTACTTTTGGTCCTACAAACATAAGATGATGGTACCTGCTATGTGTCCCAAGCGACAATCTACCATCAAGCCTTTCAGCCCGCAATAATATTCTAAAATCATAAATTTATATTTTATATTTAATCGTTATTTAGTACCTGATCTAAATGAATATTTGTAATAGCATCACTGCTCAAAATATGCTCATGGCCTATGAGATAATAAATAACTTTTGGCTTGATCGAGTAACTAAGAGCATTCACACACAACGTCAGTAATTTCGTCATATAAGTAACACTGCAAAATATTTTAAATGACAGCGGTCCATCTTGAATTGGAGTGTAAATTATTCTAGAATCAAAAGTAAACATATTATATTAAAAAGTTTATAATGAAATTGTTTTGTACAATTAAAATTTTCGGATGGAACTATATATTGTAGAAAAGAACGCTTATCTATTTTAATCTTCAAAACAGTAGGTAGATATAATTAATGCAGCGGCTAGTTTTACTGGATTTATATCTCAAGTAGAGGCTCTGGCGATTTTGCAACTCCGGTGGTATATCCTTGCGACGCACTATTAGGAATCCACTTCTAGATTATAATAGTTAAACCGGTTACACTTACTTGATTGACGTTTCAGAGCGCGATTTTAATACACCCTGTTCAGGATCAACGATCACCGGTGTTTTGCCCGACTCGTTGCACAATGAATTGCCTTTGAAATCAAATTTGAGAGGTTCGCTCTCATTGTTTTTTAATTTAATTACGTGTGTCGTAGTGAATCCAACTAATGAATTTCTTATAATCAAAATCGTTGGGACAAACACCACATCTGGTTCTCTTACAAGCCCAACAACGAGTATATTAATAATAAGGTTGTGTAGAGGTATTATGAATTTCCATTGTGATTCGTAAACCTAAATAAATAGTCATTGTGAATAATACTAGTGTGATACTTATTATCACACTAGTATTATTCACAATTATCTACAAATACAATAAATGCATTATCTACATAATAAAATATACTATACGCATAGTTACAGGTAGTTGATGGCCTACCTGACGATAAATAAGTGGCAACTACTGTCTACACCCATACATGAACATCACCACGAACATTATGTGATGCTTGTGGTACTTTTTATATCTTTCCATTCCAGAAGCCTACAGCGTCATGTCGTAGGTATATACTCTATTGTTCACTAATTTTAAACAATACATAGCTTACAAACCAAGCTGTTTAGCTAAAGTAAGCCAAGCATAGGTACCCGCTCCTATGACTTTACATAAAGTTTACGACAGCAACATAATATAATCATCATTAACCTATTACAGATCTCTTAATTTACTTACCCCAGGAGCTGTAGGCGAGAATGTAAATGTAACCATAGTCGATGTGCCGCCCTCTACGTAGCCTTTTAATGTATCACAATGAACAGGTATCAGTTCAGGTTTATCCAATAACAACATCTCGAATATGAATTCGTAAGCTTGGCTTGTGGGGTTTATGACATTAAAAGACCTGGAACATGCTTGTTATTTATATAAATTCAGTTTAGTTTGCACTTGCTTTGGAAGCTTGCTGTTTAAGAGCGAGATATGGCAGTAAAATTACGGTATACGGAGGCATGACATGTTAGTCCTCCGGAACGGCATGGGTGGTACTCACGTGGTGCTATCATGATGTAATGTTAGTTGACAGTTGCCATTTACCATGAGTTGAGCCGTTAAAATCTTTGCCATTCCATTTATATAAAAAAGCATACTTAAGTTCAATGTTAGTTATATAATTCAATGTAATATTAAAATTTTTAACTTACTTTTTATAACAGCCGGAACCTAAAACATTAAATTCCAATACTGTCATATGTTGAGGCAATGTCACTCCAGTCACTTTCCTGCGCCCAGATGTCAAATAGTCACTCTCCGGTATATCCAAATGACAATACGGAATTAATGACTTTGCAGTAATTTTACACATAGCATTTATATCGTAAGGATCGAGATTATCTAAAAATAATTTTTAAAATATTTTATTAACAGTGAATTCAATTATAAAATATTAAATGTTTTGATAAAAGGTCAATTATCACCTATAGAACTCTTTAACCGAACTTTGTAATCAAATGCATCAAGTGGCGAGAAAGAAACTTTGAAGCTTCGAATTTCTTTAGGTTTAATACATTCTTTGGAAGGTTCTATTCGGAACGGCAGATCCATTTCAAACCAGGTATCAACACTCTCTCTTCCCAAACTTCCGCTAAACAACGTGACCTTGCTAGGAGCTAACAGAACAAAACATTATTAAATCGACACCCGATATTTATTAAATTACTATGGCATGAATTATTTTTTTGTCCTAATACCGTTTTCATCTTTGTTTTCTTGTGCAGGATCAGCGGTGTTATCTTCGTCAATGGCGTTGACCTCAGGCTTTTCCGATGTCTAAAGATGTAAACAAATGTTTAAAAAGAATCTTTAACATTATTATTATTACATTATTACTATTCTAGATGTAATTCAGCTATGCCATTTAAGTGTTCTTTTTGAACTTTAACTTTTATGTAAGTACCAGATTTACTTTATTTGAAATTATTGTCTATGATAATCTAAAGACATATAATACTAGTAATTTTGCTATTACTCATAAGTTACAGTTAGTTCAAATATACAGTAGTAGTTAGTGTAATTAGAAATATAAAAGTCTGTATTCGTATAAATTAACAATATAGAGAATCAGATTACTTTGATCTCATCTACCGTAGTTGCAAACTTGTTAATTCTTGTGGGAAATTCGTCATTAATGTGAAAACTCCATGAAATTTTCAGCGGCACCTTGCCTATATTTTCAACGTCGAAACTAAAATCTCGTGTCTAGTTAAAAAAAAGACAAAACATTTATCAATTTTATATAGTACGTTTATTACACATTATTAGGTGTCTATGTCCACATACGGGAGTTTAATCATAGTAGAGAAACTAGTACCTATTTATTTGCACTTAAATAAGGTACAAATACCTAGTCATAAAATTATAAAAGACTAAACTGATAATACTAATCTACTAGGTGCGAACAACCAAGGATTGTGTGACATTGTATACATGAGGTTGGAGGAGTCACAAAGATCATGTAAAAAATCATGAAATCTAGGACCCCGTCAATCTTTCTAGGAAGGTCTTGGTTTTTGTTAAAACACATTTGCATTTTAGTATCAAAACATGAAATTTTAACTATTAAAATTTTACCAACTGTGGCAGGAAGACAGCGGTAAACATTACAAAATATGGGAATTGAATAACGTAATTTATGAATAGCCCAAACCACAGAGATTGGACAGAGATTAAAATTCACAATTACTACTATGTATTAGGGTGTGTACTCGTGTATTGCCATTGCCACAAAATCAGCAATTAATATGTACCTCATATATAAAAGTATCTCTCAAATTCATCTCTTCTTTCAGCGTACACTTGAATTTAGTGTGTTCCGTCATCGCTGAATAAATTATTATCATGTGTATTGTTCCCAGGTAACTGTCAGCATGATGGATATTTTGTTCCGCTGTTATTGTTTCATGTCTTTCATTTAGCCTCACTTCTCTGCAATGAACCATTAATGAATCTTTAAAATAAAATATTTACAATATTCTTCTATATTATAAAAAAATATAGTAAAATTGACATATAACGATGATTGTGACTAATTACCTATTGTGCTCAAATAACGTAACAATTTGCCGATTGTCCCAACTTGCACTCTTTATGTCAAATGTTAAAGAATTATTATTTATCGATGTTAGCGCACACGTAAATATTTCCTGTAAATTAATAATATAATATATATATAATATACCAAAAATAATACTACCTCCTGAGTATATTATCTCAATACCTTTGTATATTTATTTCTTAGAAAAATATTTTAATGTATAAAATCGTATAAGACTAATATAATATTATACATACCTATATTAAGAATATGACAAATTATTACCTTTTTAATTGTAACAGGTTGTATAGAAAAGAATATAATTTCGAGGTCTTTTTCTTCTCCTGGAGCAATATATCCAACAGATGGTTTTATACATATTTGTTCAGGAACGTCCCATATAAACTTATATACTTTGTCAGAATTGTTAGTCATGATAATATTTCGTTTTTGCATTGTAGATAACTCACAACCACCTAAATTATATGTAGAGTTAGATCAATGAGACCGTGTCAATAATATAGTAGAATTTATTGATGACATAGGCGCGCGCCTATCAGGCAGTGATCATGCACTGCCATTATTGGATTTAATTATAGGTACCCGGCGAAATTAATAAATCCTACCCCAACATCGACAGTTAACAATATATCTCTGACTAATCTATCCGAGATGACAGTCGTTAATACATGAAAAATAATTTAATATTTAAAAAGGTTGCATTTATGATATAATTAACAATTATAGATTATTTAACTTGTGGCATTTGAACAGATCTTGATGAAGGATGTGAAGATGGATCGTATCAAGAAGTCGGACCACAGTTAGTATGGTCGGACATAAGCTATATTTAATTTAAAATAAAACAGACAAAATCGGCAACGGCTAATAATATTTTAGTACATATTTTACAAACTAATTATAAATAAGCAGGTACAAATAATGATGTTTGTACCTTAAAGTACACTACGTTATCACTTACCAAAGTCAAGAATATATTTTAACACAGACAGATCTGCACTCGAGGATTCGCTATATTTCATGGAGCCAAGAGATGTTTTTTTGCTCTTCTTCACTTCTATGGTGGTTCGAGATTTTTTCTTATCCAGCGGAGCACTCTTGCTCTTCTTTCTGCTGTCCATTGTAGAGACAGTGGAAGGCGTACTATGTGCAAAATACAAAATGTTAAAATATACATAAATATACCGTTACGGCCATTATTCGAGATAGGATAGTCCCAGATATTGTGAACTGAACCACAACACTTGACACTTGTTATGCACGGGAAATGTAGACATGTCACTACATTTCCCGTGCATAACTGAATCCAACATGGCAACCGTACCGTTGTCTCCATATTATTTTAATATCGGCTAGATTTGAACCAGTGACCTTAAGAGTTAATCATTTTCTCTTAATCAAACATACGCGATCCACGTGCCACAAATATACATATATTTGAGGCACGTGGATCGCGTATGTTTAAATTTAAAAAATATATAATATATATATATAAATATATAGTATAATATGAAAATTTATATTTCCTATTGCTTACTTTTTGAATTGTTAAAACCTACATATACCTAAAAAGATATAACCACCGAGTGAAATTCGGATATAGGTACACTAGGCACATAATGTTAACTCCTCTTACCCATCTGCATCATTTCGATATGCATCTAAATCTATATCCATAGAAAGCATGTCAAGACCCACAAGTATGATATCTTCCATGAAAGCTTCAGCTTCACACAGCACCTGTATATTATTAATTAATAGTTATAACAGTATTTATTTATGATATTACTTAACGTGACGCTAAATTATTAGCTCTCAAACAATATGTTATTCATAGAATAATATAATATAGTACATATTGTTTTTATTTTAAAATATAATATTTTTTAAACCTATACTTATTAATGTTTTAACGAAAGAAACTATAATAATAAAAATACATATTTATACAAAGTAGTTACCGTGAAATATTCATACGGATTCTCAATAATGGTAAGTTTAATGTCACAACTTGTTCTGCCTTTTTTGATTGGATTGTAGTGAACATTGAGTGTAGCTATTTCTTTGGGGTCAATAACTACTGTAATAGTTGTATTATAGTCTGCAAATATATGTCAGTGTGATTAACATTTGCAAATATAATGTACGTTATTTACCTAGTTAAGACGTTCCCTTCCATTTTTAATATTCTCAAGTTAGCTGCACCAACTGGCCCTGTCAGAAGTGGGGAGCATACATATAAACATATGGTTACATTTGGAAGTAAACCTAGCTTTATGTTTTAGCTCTTATTACTTGCTCTTTGTTCTTTTCTTCTGAATACACTTTTACAGAATTGTGTAATATGATCATTTACACTTTAAATTACTTACCGCAGCTGTCTGAAGTAATCACATTTTCGGATATTGTTGAGGATGACAAATTGAACACGGGTCTATTTTCAAAAGGGGACTGTGATATTTCAGCTTTTACCATACTCTTTACGGAACTAATATTTTTAAAACAAATGCACTTATTGCTAACGGAACCCAAACAAGTGACGGGAAATTTCAGTAAAGATATTCCATGTTGGCGTATCGGTGGCGAAACCATACGTATTCGAGGTATGACCCCTTCGCCAATTAGGCAAATTTTGAAAGACTGTTCTTGATTATCTAATAATTTTAATTTTATTTCTAGTACTGCTCGATATTCCTAAAATATAGAAAATGATGTAAATAATTATTAATATACTAAAATAATTCATTATCTACTATTAAAACAAATACCTTAAGTGCTTTTGGGCTAAATATTATGCCTAAATTCTTGTGAAGTAATGGCTCAATATGTGTGTTGTATTTTTCTAAATAGAATATAGTTTGATTAGTGTTGGTCTGATAGTGGAGTTTCATGGTAAGTGCACAAGCCACGAGCCCGTTATTGTAAAGATCGATAGCGGCTGTATAACTGGTATTCACGTTCACGCAGAAGAAATGTAACGTCACTGAATCTTCTACGAAAACACAATGAGGTGAAGACTGTAAAACAATAAGACAGGAATAAGAATCACAGTCTGGAACAGTAAGTAATTAAGGTTTATTAACGTAACTCAAATAATACATAAGGCGATGGCTTTATTCATGATATGTGGCAGCCACCGCCTATAAATTAACAATATGCCTGCTTGTTAAAGATGCCACTGTTAAAGACTGAAGTTGAAGGTGTCATATCTTAGTTATCGTTTTTTCTCTGAATAAGTTAATTATTAATAATAGAATAATTGATAAAATATTGATCTTTTACAACGCTAAGTACCTCTGGAACTTTATATTCATTCAAATTCTTTACAATAAGGTGCTCTCTAAAAGTGGTCTCCAAATTCCAGAGATCTAATGTCGGCATTGCTCCAGTGCCAACAAGCTTGAGGGGCACGCCTTGAGCTTCCGCAGGACAAGTATCACTTATTATAAAATTGATGGTTTCTTCAAATTTTCTAGCAGCTGTCGCTATAAACTGTATTTGTAATGTCCGACTGGTACCAGGAGCGAGAAGGTTATCTTCATTCATTATTCTAAAATTACCACATCTCAAAGGCGGGTTTTTAATTCTGCATATAACAAAATGATAGTTTTTTCATATATTTATATTAATTACATAATTATAAATAGTCAATTTATAAGTTTATAAAATAATTGCACATACTTATTGTCTTTCATTTTTGGAGTTGCGGAGGGAGAATTTGGTTCTAGCTGATACTTAGATGGTAATACTATTTCATAAGTCACCGGACATTTGCTTGTGTTATTTAATATTACATCCCGTATAACTCCACTTCCAACTGGTATTATATGAAAATTTAGTTCTCCCAATGGAAATAATGTAAATCTGAAAAAATACAATAAGTCTGAATACCAACATTTATACTTTCGTGGAATTATTATTTCGTGGAATTCTGTTTAAAATTCCTTTGCTAACAACGCAATAAAGAATTAGTACCTAAATATACAATTAATTATTTTAGAATAGTTTATTTATTTTTCTTAATATTTTATTGTATGTGATGAAGATGCATAGAAAATATTTATCTATTTAAATTTCATTTAATTAATCGTTTATTTTATAATATATGTAATCGGAATAGCAAATAATTGACGGCAAACCTGGTGGTAATTACTAACCATTGCCTATACACATGAACAGCACTATCGACATCATTACCTATCATACCGTCTAACGCCAATGACCATGCGCTGCCATTCCGGCAGATAGATGTCATGTCACTTGTACTGTAATTTCACTGCCTTATGTTACCATTCAACTGAAACACAGCTTACAATGCAAACTTCTTGACTGCTGAAATATAAAATGTAATGAATATAACTAAAAGGAATTATCGTACTTACGTATTGTAGAAAGAAGCAATAGTAACACAAACGGGAAACTTAGCAACCACCACTTGATCTTTACTGCCATCGAGTAAAGAGCACATATAAACAGGAACATTAACTAAATTCATTGAAGTCGTCGGGGTACATTGAAATTCTATTGCAACTAATTTCAAAGTCGACGGAATAATTCCACACTCCGAAGTCACTTCAAATGATCGTAATAACGATGGCTCTGGGAAATTCTTCACCTTCTTTAATCTAAATTTTTATTAATTATTAATACCTATATAACATCATAAATTGTTTTTAGGTGTCGTGAAGCCATTAAATAAAAGAAGAAGATTTTAGTTATATTTTATCTGCCAAAGAGTCGTGTACAATGTTTAGTTTATTAAAGCCTAATAATGGGTAAATCTAGTTTTAATTAATAATTTAACACTATATTCATATCACTGGGGCGCAACCTTTAGTTATTATAATAATTTATTAATACGTGAAACAAAAACTTTAACCCCTTTTTACGTAAATTGCGCTAATAGAGAAGTATATAGTTCCGCTCACTTATACATTATATAGGGAAGCAGTGCAGAGTGCTCATATTTTTTTAATCATGTATAAAACTTACAGAAAACTAATAAAAAACATTACACACATTATCGTATTTTCGATACACACTCGCATACTCTTTTTGATTTGTTTCTTGTTATTGGTTCAAAGATGTTTTTGTATTTTTCATTATGGTCGATTTTCGACCACTGTTACAAATGGAACATGACACAATTATTGCACAATTTAAATAAATGCGATAGCCGTAGTAAGTTATTTATATTTCTTACTTATCGCTGTACGTTGGGCACTTATTTCATTGGATCATTATATATTTTTAGTAATAAAATAAGCCAATACAACGTAATTCTTTTTCACCTCCTTCGCGTCTACATATATATCAGTTCGTAGCACATATAACACTACGAAAATGACGAATACCTATGTTTTATTATTATTTTTTTAATAGACAACAATAAATTAGTAGTAATAGTACAGGTATCTGCGAGCATCAATGTCGAAAGTATTGTATAATAGAGATCGTTATCACCGCATTCACTATACTGCTACGCATGCCACGTTAAAACGTAGATGCAACGTCAAATACCCTTATTGCTGAATTTTGGTGTCAACTTTAGAATCAGAAAAGTAAACCTAATTGAAAACAAAATAATATTGAAATTTAAATAAACAAACCCAATTATGTCATAAATTAAAATCGAAGTACAGTTTACAGAGAAAGTTATTTGATGTTAAGAATAGTGACGTAGAGATACCAACCGACAGACGATTTCATATGAAGTTTGCCTCGTTAATAACTTACTTGTAGAATATATTATATTTGCCACGATTCAAAAGATACATTTCTCTCACTACGGTAGAATTTACTTTGACGTTGCCGTAGTTAAGGAAAGTCTCGTTAGGATCCTCGTATGCACATTCAACCATAACGTCGTAACATTCAGCTGACAGCAGCAGAGTATCATTTACCATAGGATCACCACGACCATCTGCATCATATATCTATTAAAATAAATTAATCTTATTATTATCATAGATATTCGTGAGTGAGTCGTGAGATATTTACCATTTTGATTTCAGTAGTAAGTTATTTAGTTGCACTATCTTAGTAATGGCAAAGATGAGATATATTACGTAGTATAATGGTAATAATATAAGGATAGACGTTTTTATATAATACCTATTGATTCAGGTCGACACCATATAAATTACTGGAAGGAAATGCGTGTCAAACTAGTTGTTATACAAATTAATATTGAAACAGTAAAATAAGTAAAATAGTTGACATACATCGATGATCAATATCTTATTCTGTATGATACCAACTCTACAAGCAATGTACGTCATGGGTACAACTTGGTTATCATAACGTGATACAATTCCCGATGTTTGAGAGATTATAAAATCTTCTACGAAATCTTCGGCATTTCGAATTTTCCACATTATGGGCAAAATTGAATCGTTCTTTACGATAAATCTATCATCCTCTCGACGATAAAGAAGCAACTTTCCATAATCTAAAAATATTACAATCAAATCTTATACTAAAATATATAATTGCAGTTCACTTCACACCCGGTAGAAAATAAAGTAAAATAAAAAGTAAGGACTTTTTATTTTACCTTATTTTTTACTCTTATTCTCAATTCATATATATTATTAGCAATAATATTATTCGTAGTAACTTGCAGCCCGTTAGTAAGAAAGTCCTATTGGCATAAGACAAATTTAAAATATAGGTACATATATTTTATGTAATTAATATTATATGTACAATACTTATTATTACGTTATATATATACATATATGTATACCTAATCATAATATTCACCACTTTGTGTTTATTATCCCATTTGCGACACAACTTTAGCTCTCGTTTACTCGATAATAAAAAAAACGAAATATTTATATATAAAATATTCTTTACTTCAAAGCTTACCGATAATTTTTGTTACTGGCAAAATTTCCACAACTGGTAAAACTCCGCTGCATGCAACATTAATAGTGACAAGCTCGGGATTATCCTTGATACAAAGCAGTAGTACACTATTATAAATACCCACGTCAGCAGGAGCAGCTGATATAGTTAATTTTCCTCGACAACCAGGCTTTGAACGAATATAATATAACTTTAAAAAAATATTCAGCAAACACCCAACAACATAGATATCTTCTAAGTTCAATATACATAGCTTTATATGGTTTTAATAATACATAACAACATTAGGTGTATTGTCTTTTTATGTTAATCGTATTTTTAAATTCAAAATATACAAATGCAAGGAATGAATATGTATAACCCGTAAATACTATGTCAATACTCTTAATTGAGATTTAATATTGATAAAAATATTAAATATTGACAAACACTCATTTCTACACACTGACCTCTAATTTGATAAAAGTTTTATCAATATGAAAAACACTAGTATCTTCTAAAAATGCTATTTCAACATCAGTGGTTATCAGTGAAGAATTTTTTAGATTTATAGTATATTCCTCTTCATATATCCTGAAATTACATTATTTCTAATTAGTTAAGCACTACCTTTCATGTTGGCTATTAACACCAGTAATTTTATACCTGTTAGCACCAACAAATATTGGTCCAAATTCAAACAGCTTCCGATCGTCCAAATATGTATTTTTATAAACATTATCTTCCATTGTTCGCCTTATGAAATTTACGAACATTTTTTTTGGGCGACTGTCTAACCTATAAATAAAATAATATAATAAGCCATATTATTCATCCATATCTTTACAACGTTGAGGCTAATATGGCCTCTTTGAATACTTTAGAACTAACTATTATTAACTATAACTAACTCTATTCGTATTTGTTAAATCAAATACACAGCTTTTATAACAGTCCTTGAAATCTTATAGCTCCTATAAAAAAAAGATAGACAATAGTGTACGTTTCTTTTTAATATTTTTTCTAAAACATCACTGTACGTTTACCATTTACAATTGGATGGGCCATATGCTTGTTTGCCAATATCGTAGTAAAAAAAACAGTAACCCTCTAAAAATAAAGACTTTAATTTTGTTATATTTGATATTTCTTCGATATAATAAAAAAAGGCGCGATTTTAGCTTAGATGTAGCGTCACGTACAAAAATTAACATTGATATTAGAAACTATATTTTTGATAACAAATTTTGGCAGTAATGTTAAAGTATTATAAATAGATAGATACTTCGGTATATCACAAATGCCGATAACATTAATGTGGCATCTTGATTCGGGCCATCCGCTAACTTCCACAAACCGCTTCAGACAAAAATTTCCTTCTGTTTGTGGACTGAATGAATATTTGCATCGCACCAGATCACCAGGTTGCAACACTAAACGACTGCTAGTCACTGCAACGAAACCAAATCTATTCTAATAACGAACACTGTACCTAAACCTTATGACTTGTTAATAATGCAGTTTGAGTTATACGTTACAAACAAAGACCAGCGAGGTATGTTAGAATATGGGTAGGATTAAAAAACAATTCTATAAGAGGCTTAAATATGTTACATGAATAAATACTTTTTCGTTTCAAGCTCAAGTTCGTAAGTAAGCCTTTATTCAGACAGTCAACTTGTTCTGAATTTCTTATTATGTAAATATAATAGGTCACCATATCCCCCGTGGTATTTTTTATCTAATCTGTTTTATTAAATATTATAATAAGTACCTGTCATTGATTTCACACTGCGAAGGGGCAAAGGACATAATGCGTCAGCTTCACTATCTTCTCCAGTCATCTTCTCAAGTGATGTAGATGGAATTCCACTTGTTGACGTTTGAGAAGATGTTACCTATTACAGATTTTCATTGCTTATTTTATAACTTTGATTTAGATATGTGAGATTTGTATAACGGTATGTGAATTTTTTATAGTACCTTCTTACCACATGTGCAATGCCACTTGGATAAAATATTCAAAACGTTGTCCTGTGTCGAATCGTCTAATAAATTAAAGTCTGTAAGTTGATTGCATTCACATTTCTTTATCTAAAATAAACCGAAATAAATAGTAGAAATAGAAATTAAATTTATACATATGTATATACATTTTAACAATTATTATTTCTACCGGAAATTCATCCAGATAACGCCATTGCAAAGGCTCCTCGTGTTGTAAATTAGGAAACGTTTTCGGTAACAATACAGTAAATTCTTTCCTATTAACAGGACATTTCAGAATATCATATTCTTCTTCCTTTTTTAGTGCGTCCTGGACTACTTTTGACTTGCCAAAGATACTTATCAAAGCCTTTTTATAGTTAGGGCAGGGGCACATTACAATTGTAAGTGGGAATCCACGTTCAGTGAAACTAACATCTGAAATCTAAATAAAAAAATGTTACCATTAATCACCTTATTATTAGAATTTATACCTTATTATTATTTAAATCACACCACTGAATGTCTGTTACATCACCTGAATTTGCACTTCAGATTTTTTCTTTGCTTTCTTTTGCGATGCTCCTACCACTTGACCATTGAACCCGTACAGAGGCATACCCATATCACATTCTTCTACAACCCAATTATTTGCAATGTTTATGAGACTTTCAAATGTATTTTTTATATAGTCATTATATTTTGTATTCATTATCAAATATTCGCTGGTCGGCTTAGCTAAAAATAATAAAATTTAATCTTAACTACTACTACCTACTACTACTATTTACTCAAACATTTAATAAAATATTTTATAAGTTTTTATAATCATCTTTGCTATTTTTTTTTATTTTTTAATGTTAGAGTGATAGCATATTAAACATCTTATTCAATCCCATCTTCCGCCGCTCCCTCCGTCCCGCGTTCTTTTCAACAGCTCTTAGTTATTTATTAGCATAATTTTACCTTTTTAGATACACAAATACATTATGTAAATAATAGATACAACTCTTACAATGTAAGGTAAAAATGTTGATCGATAAACAATATATATATATATATATATATATAGTAAGAGAACAACAAATATTTTTATAAAATTATACGCTAATGTATAAATCAAATCAAGAATTTGACACAGAAAATAAAACTGTAACAATAGGGGAAGAACAGGGTTATGCTCGCTTGGTCAACTTTATATGCACATACTACGTGAATGTAAAGTCGACATAACATACAGTAGTACTAGTTAAGATCATGTGACAATCACATCAATCTAGTTATTATTTTACGTTCTGTCTTTCTAACTCCACTCCAAAACAGGACGCAGTCTTTTAAGCATAAAAAATACCTCTGGTATCATCCTTTTTCATTTTTTTCTTTGATTCTGATGCATCGACTGTTAATAACGACTTACTCCGGTCTGTAAATTCAAATACATAGAAGTAAAACTTTCCTGAATATAAAAACATTAGAATTAACATATACAACATTTTAACTCAATTCACAACCTTTCGTTTTATCATTCTTTATAATTTCACTTGTATACCTACAAATATAATAGATTATAAAGTTAGTAATAATATTAAATGGACATGTATATATAGCATGGATAATCTACACATATTAAAATAAAGATATATCTATACCCCTTTTTTTCACAATATTTCTTACGTCTCCTTTCTAATCCATAGGCTATATAAATAGACTTTAGTTCTACAGGTGACTGTTCATATTCCTCGTCATCCATAGTTTCAAAAGACTGCACAATATGCTCTATTTCCGATTCATCGTATACCTTCGACGCATTTCTGCAATTGTAAATGTTTAATCAATTTTATCCATAAATAGAATCCAGCTTATAATGATATATGATATGACATAGAACATAAATATTTGATAACACGAGTATATTATTTTCACCTTCTAGTTCAATAGATTGCAAAATTAGGTATATATATAGACATCTAAGACATACGTTTCTCTCATTGGAGTAGTCGAAGTAAAACGCCAAATGCACCCTTTGAAATTGACATGATTTAATTAAATAAGTAGGTTAAGTACTACTTTACATACTCACATTTTACTTTTTGATAATTCATTTAAAAATATAAAAGCAAATACATTTAATCCAGAATTTCAGATGACTATACTTAGGTATTAAGTAGTCTTTGATGACAAATTAATATAAGAATTCTATTATAATAAAAAAAATAAAGAAATAAATATTAGGTTAACTTACTCGTCTACTACGTCATTTTCTCTATGATTTTCTTCATAGGCTTGTGCCCACTTATAAAAATCTAAATGACATAGAATAAGATGTATGTTCCATATATTGCGTTTACATTTAAGTATCGTAGTCAGTGTTAAAGACGGGTTTTTGAAAACAATACTTGTTAATGAGTCTACTATGAAACCTCGGGTAAATTTAATATGACTAAAGTAATCTGTAAGAAGCTCCTGAATCAAATCCTGTAACATACAATTAACGATTAAGATTCTTATCAATTTTTTATTTTATATAAAAAGTAAATCGCTTCGATTATTTAAATATCGAAAAAGTAAGACCATATGAAACATTGTTGAAGATCCAATAGCTCCTAAACCGCTGTGTGAATTGACTGATGAAGTAGGCGACCTTTTCTTTTTCTTCTCGCTAACTTTCGAACGTGGTGTTACAACATTCTTATTGTTGGCCAGATATTCCATTTTCTTTAGAATAATGTCAAATTCATCTTCAGTATCCCCAAAAAGTTCTATAATTAAATAAATTTGACCTGATAATTTTTTTGTTGCAAATTATTATTCTTATCTTATGAAATCGTTATTATTATTAACTTCATTATTTATGTTATATGCATACCTTCACTATCTACTTCATTTTCATCAGAATCTGTTTTATTGACTGGTTTTCTTGACGTATCATACATATCATTAATCGCACTCAACAGTGTCATTTTCGCAGGACAATTACTTGCACACAGTGCCTCCACAATACATAAATCTATATTAATTACAAGAATTCCTAGCTTTTTGCCAATGGAATATGCAATTTCTTGACACTGTATTTCTGTAATTCAATTGATGTGTAGGAAATTTAAAAATACCTACATAATTACAAATTTAATAATAAAATATTTAAGCACCTTCACTAGGAGATCCATGTACAAATACCAGTAAGCCCTTTAAATGTTTATCAATATCTGTTTCAGTTGATATATGATCAAACAAATGTAAGCACTCTTTCAAAGGATCAGCTTGATTTTCTTTCATAGTATTCATTTGGTCTGTAATTTAGAAATCATAACCAGTTTATTCGATTATAATGTAATTAAAATACATAACATTTATATATAGCTCTAGGTGCTGTCCCGATACAGAAACAGTAATTTAATATGAACTAGAGTAGAGAAACATACTTATTCAATTTATTATTTAATAAATTATTAATCAATATTTAGGAATGACTAACCTACAAATATTTCTGCTTCTGTCCGAAATTTTTTAGGTGAACTGGCAACGGTAGACTTTGTAATATTTTTTGGGCTCCTCGATTTTCTGTAAGATACAATATGTACTCGTATTAAATCTGAAACATAACGTGTAAATGTAATAAAACTGATGTAAACAGTCATACTTAGCTGTGGCTGCAGACCGAGCATTCGTCGCTTTCATTGCCGCTGATTCCTCATCCAAGGCCCTAAAATGTTATGGAATTGGCATTTTATAAATACAAAAGTTGGTATTGGTATAAATATTACATAGTGGTACTAAACATTTGTTTCATTGTTTCATACAAACGCTTTATTTAAAATTTGACGTTGCCGTTGTTGCTTAACTTACTTTTTAACACATTCTGTGAATTGTCTGTAGAAATTCATAATTTCATGTGGTAGTCCAGCACCTGGTCGAATAGCAGGAACTAACATTTCTTCTGGTTTATTGTAATATTTAAATAATAATTGATACACCTCGTCTTCTTCTTTCCATTTTCTGCAAGCCGTCAGGGAATCATGAACAAGGAAAGACATTGAATAATATGTACTACATTCTTTTTACTGTATATTTTAATTATATTTGAATTTTTATAAATTTTTTATATGCAAATACAGGTAAAATACTTTAACAACAATCCCTGCACTTATACGCATATTTTTTTTAACTTGTACTACCCATATTACCATAGATCTTCAATAAGTACGTTTTACATTTTTTTGTGTAATATTCTTTCCATTTATGCTTGATGAAGTTAAAGAAGATAATAAAAAAGAAAACGTTAAAGTGGCATTCAATTTATGATTTCTAAATTTACATATTATCTAACATATACATGTATATCTCTCTTAGATCACTAAAATCAATTATGTTATCTGTGCTACAATAGACCATTATATGTTTTATTTTTCTTTAGAACCATATTATAATTTAACTTACTCATCACTATGCGCAAATACTAGTTCAATCGGAAACGGACAGGGGTTCGTCAGACCAAAGTAAATGTCTGCAGTTTCTGCCCAAGGTAGTGTCGGAGGAAAATATACATTCGGCCCAATTATATGTACTTGGGGCAAAATGCCTTGTCCATATACAGGTATCGTCATTCTATTGGGATTCATGTGAAATCTAAATATCAAAAGACCTTCATACATCATCTGTAATGTTGGAAACGGTAGTGAGTCCAGTAGTATATGTAGTTGAAACTAAAATGGGTATTTAAAGTTCTCAACATTATCTATTTATAGTTGAAAAAAAATTAATAGACTAAATAGCATATACCTAAATACAAAGCTATGAAGAATCGTAACTTCTCTGACTATATTCAAGAGCTTATTCTTTCATGTGTAGTGCTATCAGAATCGCTCACATTTCCATAAATAAATTCAATATCATCAAAATAAACATTTTTCACTAACCTCCATGGTAGGTTTAAAAGCAATACTTAGCCAACCTCCTTCTCCAGGTTCATACTTTCCTGAATTATCTAACACCATCATTGGATTGGTCCCAGATACTCCTAGTCGCAATGTAACATACCAAATACATGTTGGTTTTCCCCTAAGATAATTATGTTATTACATTATGCTAAGAGCGACAAAAACAAATTCAAGTATAATATATTGTGAATAGGGGCGCAAGTACGTACCTACTACTCGTTATATTTATTAGTCAAGTGGTGAAGTAAATCTAAAATATCTAGTAATACTTGTCTCTAATAATAATTTGCTGTAGATAATACAGCAACTATATGTATGTCAAAATATTATTATTATTCTTTCATTGTTAGAACTTACGTTTAGAATGTACTTACACATTTTTCAATGGTATTGAACAAATTACTTTATCACCGCACCTCACTGAACCAAAATTTATAATTGATATGTTAGAAACCAAGTATGGTACAGCACATAAAGCTTTAATATGAATCGGTATCGTAACGCCATATGGTACCTATACAAGAATTATAAGACAAAATATTATTCTAACGTAATCAATGATAAGATAATTATCATATTCTCATTTAGTTACCTCCAAATTAAAGCTTGTTTCTACTTTTTGTTCCAAAAGTGCAAAGTCATTAGAAGTTGGAGCAAACACAACATCTAATTTTCCAGTTTCACCAGGACATAGTTTCCCACAGAGTTTAACACTTAGCCATGTAGGAAATTGAGTGCCTTTAGCAAAGTGTAATTTCGTAGGAATTGGTCCGTAATTTATAAGTTCGCATGTACATTGTACCTGTATTACAAGAGTATTTAAAAAAATTATTATTCTTCATTTTGCAGTATTTTTTTCAATATACTTTAAAATATTTAATGTTACCGTGCTGCCGGATATTACTACGCCGTAGTCAATAACGTATGGTGTAGTACAAAATCCTGGTATTGGACCCGTTTTAGAACTTGTTGAATATGCAGTTAATATTTCAGGTTTCAATTTTACGTGATTTATTACTAACATCCTCTCTATTGCTAAATCTATATCCATAACTGATGGAAACCCATCCTATAAATAATAATAAACCTGAGTTACATAATATATTATCTCGATATATACTGCGCCGACCCCATATAATGGGATAAAGGCAAGGCAAGGCAATGATATGATTATATTTTTATCACCAAAGTTATCAAATAGATGGATAGATAGATAATTCTTAAAAAATAAAGAAAGTAACATATAAAAAAACACACCAAACAGTTACAATAATAAATAAACAACTGTACGCAATAAGTGTCAAGTAATGCGTGTGTGTCTCTGAATTCGGTGTGCTGCGGCAGAAATGGATGTAGCTCGTTGTGATTTTGTCCAGGGAGCAAACACTCATTTAGAGAAAAGTTGTATTTATGATAAGATGCAACAATGCAACAAAATAACTGTATAATTATTTATATAATATTTTTAGTAAATTTAAATGCTTTATTACATGTTTATTACATGTGTGTCAAAATTATAATTCAAAAAAATATTTGACAAATAACTAATATTTATTAATTATATTAATAAACAGTAATTTGCCGGCTATGAAAAGGAACTGGATTCTTGGATTATTTGGACCCGTAAATAGCACTGTCTTGCATCTATAGAATGCTAATATAAGAAAGGGTTTTACCGAAGATGAACATATGTGCCAATCTCGATGAAAGTCAGGATCTTCGAAACATTTGTCAGTTTGAGGTGAATTTAAATGTTCAGACGGGCCCTTTATAAACAATTCACTAACTGCTGTCAAATAATCTGTCGTTAGAGTTGGAATTGCTAGATAGCCGTATTCTGGATTGAGCTAAAATTTATATTACTATATGAACGAGTTCATTAGTTTATTTAAGATGTTAAACAATATATGTAGAAAAAATAAAATTATGTAATTAACCTTCGTAATTTCTGGTCGCGGAAGAGACAAGTATATCTGAGGAATTCCACCCCAGCCAAACACTTCAATAGGAATATGAGGCAAATGTCCTATCTCTAGCAAAAATATTCTATTAAAGTATCCCACTATACCAGGTCTCATAATAATTTTCATATCTATTACTTCTTCCGGTTCCAATTTTTTTTCTGCTGGTATTAAATCTGTTATAATACCTTCAAGTTCATTCTCTAATGTTGGTTCATTTAAATAGGTTTTATACTCAAATGGTAACTGTGCTATATTTGTTATAATTAATTGTTCTGATGCAAACTCGTGGAACGATCTAATTTTGAAATTAAGTTTTCTTGTATTCATTTTATACATTAAATCTGAACTTTGCCCAACGAGTGTGACTGTTTCAGAAGGGCCTCCTAAAACATCGCATTCAAGAATTGCTCGAATATGAATGGTTTGTTTCGGTCTGAATATAACATGGATATATTGAATTTCGTTTGGCTTCAATAAACCACAATGAGGAGTTAATTGTAATACATCATTGATACCAATCTTGTGTGGCACATTAATTTTACTAAATTTACATATCCAGTCAAACTCAGATTCATAATCAGCATCTATCATTGGCACTACTTTCTTGATAATTCTTGACATTTTAATATCATAAGAAAAATCGGAGCCTTCTAAAACTAAAGATTCCACGGCAGTAAGACCAGGAACAGGTGATGCCAATTCTGGGAATGGAACTTCATTTACCGCTTTACCAACTGTAGATCCCGCTGGTGTACGACAAGCCAAAATTTCATGCAAATCATTCACTGAAAGTATATGACGAATGATGAAATATAAATTTGTATTTATTTAATGTAATATCAAGTAACTTACCACTGGGCTCATTTTCATTACTTAAGGATTTAAATTCATCAACATTGCTAGTATATTGTATTTTATTTATCTCAGGCTGTTTTTGGAGAGAATAAATAATAATAATAATTAAGTCGTAAGTTAATGTAATATAGTTTTTATTAAATGATAACATCATTTAATCAAAATATACATACCGCAGACGGTATTGAAATTGTAGATTTCTTCCACTGAAATCTATAACACACAAGAAGTGGAGTCATATTTTGGATTTTAATAGTCTTACTCTCGAGACTTCCATTTAAAACACATTGAAAATCTATTCTAGGCGACATAACAAATATATTGGGATAGTTTATTTTCCCTACAAGTTTTATAGCATCCTGAAACAAAATATGTAAATCAAAATCAGTAACAGAAACAGACCTCAAATAACACATTAATGATTGGATATCAAGAGACATTGTTAAAGTATGTGAAAAAATTCACGATCTCAATATACTACACTATACCAGGAGCTTATATTTGTTTTAATATAGTAGATTCAATATCTACTATATTTGTTTGTGATACTACTAACTTTGTTCTTGTGTCCTCTAAACTTAATTCGCATAATATCATAATAAACTTTTGACTTCAAAGACGAATGTTTTGTCGTATCAAACAGTATCTGTATTTTAATTACATCTTGATCTTCTAATTGTTCTTCTACTACATGTGTAAGATTAAAAGCCGTTTTAATTTTATTAATATCTTCAAAAAAATGTAATGGTTCTTTACGTGTAGGTTCTACAGGTTTCAAAGTTAAGTAATCCATAAATATCTTAGATTGATGGGGACCAATTTCATTACGCATAGTAGTTACATTCAAATCACATTCATTGTAACGTATGCAGCAACACATATTTTCTTCCTCTGGTGTTATCTTATAAGTATATTGTTTGTGGACTATAGCAAAAGGTGGTTTAACGCTAATATCCAAATCTAAAGGTAACTTTGAAACGTTCTTTATTGTTACGATATCTGAAATAAATGGAATTTTATTTCAACAAATAGTAATAGTATAGTATTGGTTGGTAGATATAGTTTTAATATATTATTTTTGATGATATAACAAAATACACTTTTATAAAGTAGCAAAATCACCTGTTAATTTATAATATTCACTATATGGACCGTAATTATACTGAAATTCTATGACCGAAGACGAAATTTCTATTTTTGGATCCACGAATTCCGCTACAATCTGACACTCTAACAATAACTCTTTCTTGTTAATGCCCTCCACACTGCCGACTAAATACCACATTTCCTTAACGGTTGTCACTTTGTACGACAAAGCAGTAATAGTTAATTCTATTTTTTCTCCTGCAGCTATTTTGAACGATTTGGGATCCAAATTAAAGAATCCGCTGAAAGCATATTATTATTTTCATCCAACCTCTCTAGGAATTCTACATGTATCTAAAGTAGGATTTCATTATGACCATTTCAACTATTAGGGGGTTTATAATAAATCAATTTACTGTACAAAAAATTTGACACAAAAAGAAGGAGCATTACAATTCGGTAGCAATTTCGTGGGTACACTGTTGCAATATACCTACCTACGATAAGAATTCTAATTCTCTTTGATTTGTGAGATTTTTTTAGATACAGTTAGATACATTATATATAATAATTAAATTACAAACAAATATACATATTCAACATACGCTGTGTGCTGTTTTGTTTTAGGAGCTTTATAGTGATCGCTCCACTCCAAAGCATGCATGCGAGTACCACAATTTTCCATAATCACTTTGCAATGTAGCGGAATTTTTGTAAAATGTCGTCCAAGGAATATCCGATCCCGTAAATCGCCAACTAGAATACTAGTTCCGACGCCCATTGCAGACAACGGCACTAACTGAAAAATGAACTTCTTTTATACTATTCAATGTAAATATATACTTAAGTACTAGTAATAAATAATATATATATATAAGTATTCGTAATAATCTAATAAATCAAAATACTTCATTATATTACAGGATTGAATGAGAAGAGGATCGTGAGAGACTGTATTGCTAACGATGTATCATGTCAGATCGATCTGTCCGCGGTTCTCACTGAAAACCATTATCGTTTGAAATCGGAAATTACTAGTGAATTTGCCACTGAAGTTAGGTTTGTTAGAGTAAAATTCGTCTACTACTCTCTACTATCTCTATATAAATGGTTCCTACTGGTGCCCGGTAGCATATTCTGTAACTTGACTACCTAATCTGCACCCTAAAACCTGAATATAACTTACAAAGCAAGTTGCATAGCGTCTTAAATAATAGAGACTGAGGGGCCTCAGGGCTATTTAGCGTGGTACGCAGACTTTTACAGCCCTTCTGTCTCTATTGAAATTGTGTTATTTTAGTTGTTGCCCCGGGCTCTACGTTATATAAATATAAATAAATATGCATGTATAGTTTAAATGTGACTGACCACTACTATGAAGAAATTCTATATTATAATGTTTAATAAAGATTAACCGTATATGGTACTTAGTAAAAAAGAACAAGATCAAAAGATATACTAACAATATCTTTAACTTTCTCCAATTGCAGTACAGCTTTGTTCGTGTAAGTATCAGCGTCTAGTAGGTATACAGTGACAACCAAGTCAGTCTCCGATTCAGGTTCCACATGACCCTCAGTTGGTTCGATGTGCCACCTTTCGTCCTTGTTTAGCTTTGAATAACAGTATCTTAATAAATATAACTTATACTATAACTATAATGTATACTATAATTCTTAAAAATTTTGTAGAGCTATATTTGTCAAATATGCTAAACTATAATAGACGAACAGACAAATACCCTCCGGATCGGTCCTTCCTCAGATTCAAACGAGGATCGAAATTATGACCGCCTGTGCTGAGGTTCCACCCATAGCGGTGCCCTCTAACTAAAATCGTATCAACAACACAGGATTTGTTTCAACTACATAAGTTCTTCCGCAGGTTTAAAGTGCCATCTGCACTTGCCCCCATAACTGTGTAAAGACCAGCTGTGACCTACATCCTTAGAATAATTCGAAAAAAAGTAAAAAAGAAACCAACATACATAAATAAAAAAAATCTAAACAATTGTTTTCCAATCAAGTCTACAATAAATTTACATCTTTAATCATAAAATAAATTTCTAAATGTATTAAATAGGTTTACGAGGCCGTATATCTATTTATAAGACTTCATAGTATTTACCAGAGAAGCTTTGAAATTTACGTAAACTGGAGAATCATTGCATAACGTTAAGTTTTTTTGTGATTTGGCCAACAATTTCACTTGACCCCAATGCAGTGCAATGGGCGAACATGTTACAATGGGTCGTACTCCACATCCAGTAATATGACATACTTCGATGGACTTTGTCATGCCAAAAAGCCGTAATCTAAAACATAATGTGTAACAGGATCTATTGTCATTTTATTAACTAGCAGATTCCTTAAACTGCTAATTAATAAAATAAAATAAGTAGGTAGGTACTCTCTTTCTATCGAGATATTGAATTATAGTTTCATCACCTTAATCACTATTGTCATCTTTTAGTACTTCACACACAAGCTAAAAAATATTTAGTTTAATTCAAATTCAAACTTAAGCGCTTGCATCATCTTTAAGTTACTCCCACTAAAACACCTCTCTTACACAAACACATACCTATCTCCTATCTTTATTCTTAAGGCATCGAGTTGAAAGCAGTATGTTTAAAATCGCAATCTTATCTTTAATATATATATATATATATATTTTAATCCTTATAACTTTTTTCCGAGGATGGTGATGAAGGAACGCCTTGCTTGATGAATGATGAAATACAGTTCCTATTTGAATAAAATTCATGCTTATATCAATTTTGTACCGGATTTCGTACTCTTGAATACCGAGCACGTTCGTTTTTATAGTTAAAGGAAGATGTATAGTAGCATTCGGTTCTATAAAGCCTTCTTTTACACTGACGTCTACTTCTAATGACAATTGTTCCTAAGTGAAAAGAAAATGTATTATCAGAAATGGTAAATTTATGTTTCTATATAGTTTCAACATGAAAGCTTATAGTAGAAAGTCATACACCCTTTGAGCATAAATTTTTGAAAGTTCTTTTTATCTATCATAAATTATGCTAATTAGTTCATAAATAGATTCTATAGTATCGAGTCAGCAATGATGAGTCGGTCCGTTAGATTTTATTAGTTATGTTAGTACATAGATAAAAGAAAGGTTTAGAAATGTTTACCTCTGGCTCTTCCATTGTAAAATATCCCCAAAATTCATTGGCTGTGATGGAGATTACGTTTTTATACGGATAGTCTAAGAAACATGCTCGTAAATTAATCTCTGGAGCAGTAGTTATCACAGGAACCATTGCGTTGAATAACACTGGCAAAATTATTGGCGGACTATCGGACTTTTCTAATTCCAATTCAAGAGATGTTTGATTAGCTCTAATCAAGTTTGCAGTTAGCGTTACCTGCAAAGAGTAGGATAAGAACAACAAACATAATTGTTTGTATTAATTTGTTAGGTTTGTAATTTAATATTTATCATTTAGTAATTATAATTAATAAATTGTTATTATCCAGAAACAATTTATTTTATGTGAATTAATCTATTATTATGCAGTCATAAAGAAACGTGAAAAAAAAAGAAGCCACGAAGGTACAAGATCAAATATTCTATAGTATTTTAGTGAACAAGACTAGCGCAACGTTTATAAAGTAGGTAATGGTAGAGAAACAAGAGCTACTATAACTTCATTCTTACCTTTAGGGTTATTCTTGATTGAGGTTCTAAATCTATCTTACAAGGTTCGATATTGAACTCCCTAGGCCATTGAGGAATTTCTGGCTTCGGATGATTAGTAACAGCATAATCAGCTAGCGTAATGCTACTTATTTCTGGGCCATCAGAAGATATTTTCACAGATGCACTGACATGAACTATCGACTCGTTAATAACATCTAATCTTAATATTTTAGGTACACCTGGTACGCAAATAATACTTGTCAGAAATTATTTTCATATACTGATACTTTTACTTTTATATAATTCATCAAAAGAATTGCTTACCTACACTAACCATACCAAAGTCTAAACAAGGTACGCTGAACATCAACGAGGGATATATCACTTCACCCCTGAAAATGAAAAGTATTTGATTCTATTGATTACTTCTAATGTATTAATTTTTCATAAATCTTTTAGTTATTATTTCTTACTTCAAATATAACTTTAATACGATATCAGTATCACGAATAACGAAATTTATTTCTTCAAAGTAAGGCCCCTGATTGGAGTTGCTGAAGGTGATCACGAATATTTCTTTATCTCCTGGACGTAAACAGTGCAGTTCGGGGGTACATTTTATGTGACTACCAAACAATACCGGTACCTCTTTATACATTATTACACCATTTATATGACCTAAAATAGTATAAAAATTGTGTTAATAATAAAAATAATAATTATATTTTTGTCAATCTTTTTTATAGAATACAGTTTATAGCGATAGTTTCAGTATAAGGTTCATATATATGTCACCTTTCAGATTTGATATTTATGTACATAACATCTTACACATATTACATTTTGCTAAACATAGAAGAATAAAACCAACACCAATATGAAACCGAACCCTAAACTACCGTTCATAGCAACACCCCGACCAACACAAATACTTTGAATACTAATGTTTATTATGAAAGTATCAAATCCCAAACACCAATGCGAGGTAGTCTGTTAAACCGCTACCTATCAAAGTAACTAATGGAAATATTTACCGTAATATTTGCTGTCAAAAAGCATGCTACACATAAGTATAATTTTCATGATTCATCTTATACGTATTATCTATTTAACAAACATGGATGAACCACCCTAATAAACTTTCAATCACAATAAATACCTATTTTATCTTACTTATTAGTAAGATAAAATAGGTATTAAACGTAAAGTAATAAACGCAAAAGTTTATTACTAGTTCGCCCAAAAACTACTGAACGGATTTTAATAAAACTTTACAGTAATATAGCTTATACATTAGAATAACAGATAGGCTACAAATTTTATGCGGGTGTAACCCCGGAACAGCTAGTATTAAGATATAGGTATGAAATAACCTTTATTCACAGCCACTATTTCATAATTATATTTATGGTTGATATAAACGCAATCCATATCTAAGGTCTCTAAATTAAGTTGTATAGAAGGCGGGAGTGAAGTTCCAACCATATGTAGAGGTAGACGATCTAAGACTCCATCGATATCTATAAACACCGTCGACTGAAATGCACCTATTTGTTTAGGCGAAAATATTACTGTTATTTCCGTAACTTTATTTGGCCAAAGTTTGCCTTTCTGTAAATATAAAATTATAATATTTATATTTCTATATATGTAGGTAGCTATAAGTCAATTTAATTAATTGATCATTTATCCACCTAAGCAGTATTATGGTATATTACTGTTATTGTGACAACAACTTGCTTTGTAGGTAGTTTATATACCTGTTCAAACGCTGAAATATGGTGTAGAAATTACAGGGTACTAAGGTATGATATTTTAGTTCTCAGGAATGGCAATGCGCAGGGAATATCTAAAGACGTCGTAATGTAATATGTGATCACAAATAATACTAGGTATTATGAGTACCATTTTTCATCAGGAGATCCATCAACTTATTTGCCATTTCAATTTATCTAATTGAAATGGCAAATAAGTTGATGAACTCGTGAACATCTAGTACATCTAGTACTTACAATTGGTGTAATAGAAAAATGTGTATTTTGAAAAACCAAAGTTTCATCTGCAACTAGTGCTTGTATTTCATCAAAAAATATTCTTGTATAAACTCTTTCATGTTCTTCGCTACTTAGGACATCATATTGAACTAATTTAGTAGATTTTGCTGATTCACTATCTTTGACGTTATAGAAGATCGTTGCTAATTTTACCTTTTCTTCAAAATCTGAAATAACTTCTAAATAATGTACTTATACTTATAATAACACTTTATAAGACTCGCCTGGGTTGAAACAGCCAATCAATGAAAATGGGAGTTGCAACTGTGTTAATGATAGAATACACATAAATAATAAATTAGAAGTAAGAAGAAATTGTTAGTAATAGGAACAAAAAGCCCATTACTAAAAAATCCACCCTACAAATCAACATCCGAATACAATATAAGTAGTATTACCGTTGTAGACACATTCATTCTTCATACACATGTAAGTAAGTACATGATTTGATTTATTAGTGATCTTAAAGGTCTGTTGACGCACCATCGTATTGTACGTGTCTAGAAATCTAACCACTTGCTTCTCTAACTCGATGGGCACTGTATGTGTAGTTCCATATACATTTATTTTGAAATTCTCTCCTATGAAATCAAATCAAAAACCATTTATTCATGCAGGATATTCTAGCCGCTTATTAACGTTAAGGTTTTTGTATTAATATTTTTACCCAGTCAGTGCAGTCTATAAAGTCAATAAAAAAGAACTGTTAAGAAACTCCTAATAGACATTAAAGTACTTATCGTGTAAATTTAGAATATATATACTTATTTCCAAATTCGTTGTATGTTAAAGTTAAGTAGTACCTGTTTCACATATAGCGTACAAAAATCCGTGAGTATTTCCAAGATTCATAGTTTTGAAGCCGATTCTAATGTCAATCTTTTGACCAGGGTTCAAGAAAGCAGACTTAGGTTGTACTGAAAACGGGCTATAAAAAAATGTCAATAACATGTCAAATATAAACATAAAAAGTATAGTTCTACTAGTTACAGTTATGTCCAATAATATGAATACCTACCACTTGGTGTTCAAAGTGAAGCCTGCAGATACCGTACCAGTGTTATGTACAGTCATTAAAATAAAATTTTCAACTTTAAGCGGGATTTTTGGTACATAAATTTCGTCAGGAAAATCAAACACAGGTCTGGGTCCCATAGCTGTAAAAAAATATTGCCGTTAAAGCTATATAATTGTTTATTTAGGTACCTATATTTCAAATAATAATAGTCTATTTACATTTATAACATTCAGCAGATGATTTTTATATAAACGGACTAACCATTTATATAAAAATCATCCGCTGAATGTAGATACGTTTCAGCGCCTCACTTCAGAATGATTACAAATTCTTTTTTGACAGCCTCGGTTGTCTAACTGTTTAGCATACCGCTTTATTTCCGATGGTCGCAGGGTCAATTCCTCGCACGGTGCAAACATTTGTTTTCATGAGTATGATTGTTTGTATCGGTGTCGATGTTTTCTATGTATTACAAAAAGAACTAAGTATTTATATTAGTTGTCTGTTATTTTTTATTTATTTATGTGTTGTGTTAACAATTAAACCAGAACAACGATTAGGTATATAGGTATATAAAACAATATGTTCAATAAATTGTAAAATGAATCATTAGTACAGCCGGGGCATAGTACATTAGTATAATACACAAAATACTACAATAATTCTATTACCTATCAATGGTAATACATACTGATCTAAATCAGTATAGAAAGTTACTCTATGAATGTAATCTTCATACTGAGCAGGCGTAAATGTTATCGCAAAGGTCACACTAATACCAGGAGCAAGGCGCGACAGAAGCTGGCCACCACATGGCTTGATAAAGAAATATGAAGACTCTTTATACACCATGTTTAGGAATGTTGGAGCCTGGGAAAATAATTGTATTATTGAATCACATATCCTAATAAGTTTATAGGTCTACTAGTAATTTTAATAGTTTCGTTGAAATTTATGACTTGATTGAGAGTCTTGAATAAGCAGAGATCATTAACATGTCAGGCTAAGTGTCACAGACTAGGTTTAATGGAACGTTTAATTAAAATATATAATATATTATTCAATGCATAAATATATACCTAAAGACTATAAAATTTCATGTATGATTATATATATGATTCTATGTCATCTGATTGTATGTTCACTCACAAAAAATACATAATATACATAACACGCACGCTGTATTTTAGTGTAAACGTGACCATGGCTAATGCAAACTTCGAGTGATATGTTATTTACCACTAATTATTATATTATAATATATTCAGTACTTATCTACCTTTCTTATGATATTAACGTTATAACTACATATTTTATTTAAATATTTACAACATACCTTACTTATATTTTTGATAGAAAACTTAGCGACAATCCTGTCGTTTGGTTTAAAATTTTGAAACACAATTATTTTTGGTGTAAATAAGAGTACAGATTTGTTTAGTTTTTTATCATAACTAACGATATTCTCTACCTCTATATTGTTCAGATTTTTTAGTCGGTCTAATGTATTCATTCGAATTTCTTTATCATACTGTGATGGAATTATCTGTAAATATAAAATTAAGTCAAATTATATTAATATTTATCTATGTTTCTAATGTTATCTTCCGAATATGGAATAGTATACGTAAAAAAATCAAGATTATCATGCGTACATTCCTCTCATCAAAATAATGTAATGTTTCTTACAAGTGTCGTATATAGCTACATATACATGAATAGCTAAATGCGCCTAATTCTATAAAAACGTATGCTTACACGTACGACAATCTATCTTTAGATCGTGGTACAAACACTTGTTTGCGTAAATCAACTATAGTTTTATTTATGTCTTAGATAGCTATTAAAGAACCTAATTATCTAGCCGTCTATGCCAATTAATGTACCACTGTAGGACACTGATATTCCTTATAAGAGGAACTACTAATACTTGGTGTAGAGTATTATTCGTAGTATACCATTCCTTATACTGGTGATATATGTTTTAGCTTACATAGCGAGATTCAATATATATAGGGTATAGTTAAATTTATTTTTACATAAAAATAACTTATGTCCATGGGGCCATTAACAATTTATAACAATGACTCATGAAACATTTTATAAAGTGCAAGAATATTTTAAATCTGCAACCTCTTGCGAAGCTTCCAACAGCTTTTTCTTAGCCAGCAGATGATAAAGTTCCGCACTGAAATATCCATTTTTTTTAAAGTTGTGTAATATTTCCATGACACAACAAACCAAAAGCTAGATTCGACAGATTATTGTTTCTTACAAGACAAGTCAATTAGTAAGAGTACCTAAATTCAAAAACATGTCAGAACTTAGATTGACATTCATTGGATATTTTATTTATACTTATTGCAATATTTGCAAGGAGGAATAATCATTTAATTTAATTATAGTAATTTTTATTTTATATTACCAATCAACTCCCGACTTCTGATTCTTTTAGTTTTAAGATACCCTATATATCTCATTTGTTTACAGGAAATTTTAAGAATTAATTTAAAGTACTAGGTACTACGAAAAATATATTTTCAAAAATTATCTAAGGAGAATACAATAAAATAACTAAAGGAAATTATATAATAATACATGTACATAACCTCAGCGAAATAGCATTTCGTAACATTATACTTATATTTTTAATAAATTTAATCTAACAGTTAATCACGTAGATATTGGAACAAAAGAATCTATTTTGGAAGAAAAATTTAATGACGCTTAGGCATCAAAACAGAAATATGCCACCAAAAAATATATTATCTCTAATACTGTAGTCAATCTTCGTATAAAAATTTTGCAAGGTATTTGACTTGGGCAAGAGGGCGCAGAGTTGAGTGCGGAAATAGCAGATGCGGCGTAATTTTAGTAGAATCGGGGCAACTCGGCCGCGGACCGAAATAGAGGTGGCGGCGCGCGTGTCTTCCCACTGTGAATTTCGTCCGGATTAGGCGCACGATTAGCTCTGCGGAGAGCACGGTGAAGTGTGTATCCACGTCCAAAAGGACCCCTTCTGGATACCCGCGAGTGAAATGTTCCCGTAATAGTGTGCGGTTGCATAATGTATCTGTAGTTATGTGTGTGACTCAACACTTAAATTTAGTGTCATTGCTATTGCTAGTATTTTGAACGTCGTGGTATTACAGCCTACAAGTACGTATCTACAGTTACAGTACACTTTACTGCTTTTATTTCACTTAGGAAAAAATAACTAATAACCCGTAATTATTATAATAGTACTCAATATAATAATATATTCAATATTGAAAGTTTTTAAATATTCTAAGCTTCTAACCTGATACAGATATGTACTATGTATTTTGTTTCATAAAAGAAATATATACACTCTGATAATACGAAGGGTGACAATGCGCCCTAGTTTAATATATTCTTGAAATATCATGCAAATTAATAGTTCAGTCAAACTGTTATTCATAATTTACAAGTATAAACTGATATTTTGGGATGCCTACGAGTGGCCGAATAAATGGGTCGCCGTGCTGTGGCAACGCCCGCACTATCCCGGTCACAGCTGCCATTTAATATTTATTTAACACTGTAATAAACACTTAAAAATACAAAAATTAATTATTGTTATCTTATTCTTTGATTAAAATTACATTGAGGTTTATTAATGTTAGATGATACCTATGTGTTTAATCTGCTATTAAAGCAAAATGCAAAGTATAAAGTAAAGTCCTGCTGACCATGATGGCTAGGTGACTAGGTAGCTTATTTCTTTTATTTATTTTGATATCCTTATCTCTGGTGTTTTGGTGTATAATTTTATTCTTCTAGTCACCTCTTCGAGTTGAAAAAGAATGGTCATCGCTCTGTTTTTTACTACCTCATCATTGACATACCTTTATAAAAAAACTAGCTGACCTGGCAAATGTTTTATCATATAATTTATTTCTAGTAGTCACATAAAAAATAGGAGTTAATGATAGAAGTTGAAACTTGAATCATATAAAAATTTTAAATATAAATTTTTGTCCAAATATAAATAAAAGCTGTTTTTTATTAGGGGTATGAAAAATAGTTTATATCCTATTCTCAGATCTACTGACTATACACACAAAATTTCATACAAATCTATCAAGCCGTTTCAGAGTTATAAAACTCTGAAAAAAAACAGACTGACACGAGAATTGTATCTACATATTAAATGAAGTTCTCGTATTTATTTTGTTTAGTGATTGAAATAATGAAACAATGAGCACCATTTGTACTTTTAATTTTTTTCTCTTGTAGAAAAGAAGATTGTACATTCAATGTTATAGGTTTCATTAATTTCAAAATACACAAACATGATACTTGTTCTGCCGCCAATGCGATCCTTAGCATTTTTTTCATATCACCCTTCAAAGCAAAGCCTACCCACCAGCGTATAAAGCACGTTACTAGGCGGCTGTACGGAGGCAGGAGTACCTCTGACACAGACGACTTTTCAAAACCTCGGTAAAAAAATATATTTAAATCTTGCGATTACTTGAACATAAATACTACAGTAGTGGAGCTTTTTCTATTGTCTACTACTATTCCATTTTGCTAACTTGTTTAAACAATATTTTTATAATAGTTTAAAAATTAAAGCCTTTTAGCCAAACACATACTGGAAATGCCCAAACACATAACAACAGTTGGTTGAGAACATTTGTCTCACCATATTAACTACTACTGTCGTTGTTTCCTGGATATTTACTCGTGCTCGATACAATCGTAGCATTTATATTACCAACGTAAATATTTCAACCTTAGGAACTGTTCATCATATTGTTAAATAATAAATATTGTTAAAAAAAATTGTGTAAATTCTCTTCTACCTCTTCACATTAATGGATATATGTATTAACCAATTCTGCACAAATATTAGTGTCTTGTCACAATTAGTGAACCGAGACATTTATATAACTGTGCCTATAACATAAAAGATATATATTGTTTAATCAATGTAATTTAATATTTCGTTAGGATGCTGAAAGGTCGTGGTCGCGACCCTCGGACCACCTTCACTATACCGGGGCACAACGCGCCTCGCCCTTCCACTCAAGGCCACACAACGATGCGTCCCCCAACACAAGGGCAGGCGCACCTCACGCTGCGGCAACCTGTGCAGAATAATAGAGGGAGTCATACAAAACCAGAGCCAGAGTATGAGGTGGTAGAGTTTCCAACCGAGCAATATATGAACGCAAAGCTTCAACCTCCGCCGCCACCGCCCCCGCGACCACCCACAGGTAAATTTTGATTGATTAATATTATACCTATAATTTAAAAAATATTGTTAAATACATTATATATAATGGTTTATGAATTAATCAATAATTCATAAACCAACAATATACTGAATCTAACCAAAACGACCTTCTACTTAAGTGAACAACTTCAACAAACTTTAAATACGAGAGGTCACCTAATGGTCGAAGTTCGATCATAATAAATTTAACATTCAGTATGACTATAGAAAAATAATATTAAAGATAAACAATATTGATCTATTCTCAATTTGACCCCAGCCTTTAAATATATATGCTTATGTATGTCAAATACATAAGCATATATATTATTATAAGTAATGTGCATAATGTTTTTACGTAAAAAGTTGTACAAAGCTTTTACTTTACATTTTAATGTAGTTTCCTCTATATATAATATATAATGCTACGTATAAAGCCTTCAATTTTTCTTTACAAAACTGAATAGCATCTGTCTGTTACACTTAGGCCACCCTCTGGAAGCGGGGGCATCATGCGGACTATGCGGGGGTGGTGGCGCCCGCGTGCGGTGCGCTGAGTGTGGCCGCCGCGCACTCTGCGCCTCTTGCGACGACATGTACCATCGCCATCCCAAACGAAGGAACCATCAGAGACAAGTGAAGAAATTATTATTTCTTTTATATTATTAAGATCCACAAATAGTATTTGCATCAATGTTGTCAAGGGAAAATAAGTTTTGTAAACTAATTGTCCACTTTAAAGGGTTACTGTTCCCTCTCAATATATATATGAAAATATAATGTACGTTCGTAAAAACTTAAATTTATTTACAAAGAATTCTTATGAGATTAAATTGCCCGATAATGTTTTGTTACTTAATTACTAAAGCTTATTACAAAATATCCACAATACAAAAGATGTATATAAAGATATAAATGAGAATTAATGTAAATAAGTACAACATTAAAAAAAAAATATATAATATATACATATTTTGTCGTACAATAGACTTTAAACGTGATTTCCACTGATAACTTTGGAATTTTATTAATTTAGAAATCATTTCATATTTTTCTATATATTTATAGTGGTGCTGTTTATGTTTATATTATAGATGACGGTTACCTACTATTTCCAATCGTTTACTTTGCCATTTCAATAACCAAAAATAAAACTGTAATATCTTATTATTCTGATACAGGCTCTATCAACATCACAATTGCGGGATGAACGACCACCGCTACCTCCAAAAGGCACGCCACCTGTACCGCCACCGCGACGGCATAAGGTAATACACATTTTTTCTGTACCCTTGAAACCAGAAAACATACAAACAAACTGCTGGCAGCGTAATTTATAAGTGAGACAGAGCTACTCATGCGAACACTTTGTAGTCTTATCTGGTAATAATTTGCTAGAAACTCCTCAAAAGATTGTTTGTATGAAATTTATTCCTGTGTTATGGTAAATGTAACAAAGGTATATGTGTCAATTCTTATTATGTGTTAATCGTGTAGGACTCAGTAGAATTTTTCAATTATGCCAGTGAAATGCCTGAATGTCCAATATTGCGTTTAAAACGACGTTGTCAGTTGACAATGACTAATAATAGACCCAATATAGATTATAATCCTAAAAACAGAACAATACAGAACATATATCAGAATATTACCCATTTTCAGATGAGCGGTGACAGAATGAGTGCCAGCCCCAGACCTCCAGCGGTAGACCAGCGTCGTGCCACCTTAGGGCACTTGTCAATGAGCCCAAATCAAACTGCAACATTACCACTTAATAGTAATATTCATCATTCGCAACAAATACCTGCTCATCTTCAAGGCAAGCTATCACAGCCGAGCCCAAGCCATCTCGGCAGTATGCCATATCTTGCTGCGACGCCAACGATTCAACACATACCGGCCGTTGTCAATCAAATACAATCAAGTACAATGGACCATCATTCTTCGGCGTGGGGACGGCCTCGTGGATCCTTACCTGGAGTCAATATGGCACCAAATATGGTAAATAAAAATAAAAGACGTAAATATACATATATTTAAATTATACTCGCGTTTCTTGACTATTTAGGCGGTTGAAGAAAAAATATATAATTCAGAACGGCTTTTAATTTTTTTTTATAAATTTAAAAGTCGAAACAACTCATTAAATCTGATCTACTACAAGCATGTAAAAAAACAAGATATTAAAAATAAGTAACAAAAGTATATATTCAATCAAAACAAAACAAACAAGTCATAATTAAGAAACATCTTATCTTCATTTATTGGTATTACTTTAATATTAACTTCATTTATATATAATATAATACGAAGAATTGTATGATCTGTAGTGATACACAGAAACTCTGGATGCCTAGATAATGCTTGAAGGAATTCTTTCAGGAAAATAAAAAATTGAGTATGCTTATTTATGAATGTATAGTAGGTACTAGTCATATAAAAATGCAGTAGAATTACAACATGAATTTCTTATTATGAAGAATTTATTATAAATTTAATAAAAATAATTTATTAAAAATAGGTCGTTTTTAAAACAGACAATGCCAACGGAAGTATGGGAAAATCACGAGACTCACAATCATCCTGGTCAAAATTGGAATCGACCTTTACGCCGTGGTGCGTCTGTATTGGAGCTGGGCGGAAGCGCAGCGCAGTGCGCCGGCTGCTCCCACTGCGCGCCTATGCCATGGCGATATGGCAGCTGTGCTAATCTGGAGCACACGTGGATGGGGGGATGGCCACCACCACCTCCAGCTTGTTGTGTAGTGCACCCACCCCAACATCCCCATATACACCCGTATTCTCCACAAACTCCGCAACCGTACCGCAGGGGTGAGTACTTATTATTTATATTGACGGCCTCGGTTATCTAGCGTTTAATTCAACACCGCTTTACTTCCGATGATTGTGGGTTCGATTCCTCGCACGATACAAACATTCATGAGTATGATTGTTTGTATCGGTTTGAGTGTTTTCTGCATATATTATGTACGTATTTACAAAAAAAAGTGTATGTATTTAACATCAGTTGTCTAGTACCCGTAACACAAGCTCTACTTAGCTTAGACTAGATAGCGCTGCGTGAATTATTCTGAGATTATTGTTATATTTTATCCACGATGAATGAAATGGTGCTTCCGATCTAGCGGTATTAAATAGTTTTTTTTACAAAAGAATTCATCAAAGCGTCGTTATAAAAATTGCACGGTCACATTAACGTACGAGTTGTTTTACGAATTACGCTCTATTTTTGTAAACCATCAATTTTTTCATCACTTGCAAGTTGTATATATATATTTATTTCGTCTTTAATGTTTGTTATAATTATCCCAAGAATATATTTTATTACATTATTATATATTAAATAATTTCCAGTAGACAGCCGTGCAGCCTCTCGTGCTGCGTCTCGAAGCGGTTCCCGCGCTGCATCCCCAGCAATGAGTGTTCGATCGCGTACATCCCGGCGCACCAAGCACCGAACACCTTCACCACCTCCATTGCCATCCAGTGATGCTGATTCTGAGAGTGAGAGCGATGGCGCTCCTGCACCTACTCGAGTATCAGTCTCTGCCCCTGCACCATCTTCACATACTCATAAAGTTCAATCCATCAAACAACAAATTAGTCAACCTACCACTCAATCTCAAGAGAAGGAGGAAGAAGAATCATTGGGCCCTGCACCACCACCACCGAACGTATCTTGGCAGTGTGAACACTGCACATTCGTGAACGAGCCAGGTGTCCGTGTTTGCGTAATTTGCTGCCGTACACCGACTGCTGCTCCTAAAACCATTGAGGCCACGACCAACAGTATGGCGCGATTAAAGGTTCAAGAGAAGACCTCGCCATCGCCGGCACGTGCCACAGAAGAAAAAAGTTAGTTTATTAAACAAAACTATTATAAACAACGTTATATTTAATATTGTCCTACGCATGTACAATATATGCATAAATCAATATTAAATATATGATTTATGTAAAAGTCGTTATAACTACTGCATTAAATCTAAATTTTCAGATGGAGTAGAAATAAAAAATTTGAACAAGAATGACAGAACTTCTACTGGATGTGGACCATCTCCGCCGCGAGAAGAAAAAGCAGCAAATAAGCCCATGAGTAGACTCATGACTCCTACGAGAGACAACACCAATGGAAGTATAGATTCTTCAAATACAACAATAATCCCGGGAGCCGGACCGTCAACGTTTGCGGCTTTCCAAAATACACATGAAAATACAGGCATCGTAGCATCTCCACCTCGGGAAAATCCTGTAATCAGAGCATCTCCATACCGTGAAACAGTATCCAAACAGCCTGAGATTCAAAAGCATAATGTATCAGTTGGTCCTTCCCCACCACGTGATAATGTATCAAAACGAGAGTCGCTTGGCCCTTCATCGAATTCTTCTAATAAAAGCAACCACAAAAAATCGGCTGCCACTTCCCCTCCACGTAGTGCAGTTCTTGAAAGTCATTCGTCGTCTTCATCCCTTCGAGCCAACGTATCAAATACCGGTACGTCTCCACCGCCGCAAAGTATCTCCACACAGGTAAAAACAAAATGAAACATGGATTTATTTTATAATTAAAATAAACGAAAACTGAATCAAAATCACAAGAAGTGCTACAGTTAGGGACTGCTAATCTAAATAATAAACATTTTGGTTTATTAGTCGAAAAATTTCAATCCATAAAATCTTTCTTAATTATTATTGTGAGTTTGAAGCAGTTTAAGTAAGATAACAATGACTTTTAGATTGCTATGCCTGTCCTGGTCTAAATAAAGACATATTATGAAGATGAAACTATTATTGTACGTAAACGTACGTACGTAATAAGTCGAGTTATAATATTTTCTGGTAACCAATATACAAGCAACAAAAAACATAAGTGTATAAAAAAACTAATCGTATACTAACAAGAGCATATAATGGACTATGTTCAAAATATAATGCATATTTATTTGTTTACTGTTTATTAATGTATATAACTAATTTAAATTAGATTTTATGTTGTTTATAGACATATGAAGTTCCAAACACATCATGGGAGCGGACACCGTCCGTTCCACGGTCCCGTTCACGACCGCGCCGTCGATTCCGAGATGACACTCGCCGTGAACGTTCCCACAGTAGGCACTCCATGTCCAGTGACACTCGAGTAAGTCATAAAATTAAACGATTACTTAGTTCATAAAGTAAACATTCTTGAAATGGTCTTCCTGGGATAGGTCCCACTATCTACTACATCAGCGGTGTTACATATATATTTAAGACAGTCTTGGTGGTCTAGAAAATTATCGCATCTCTGTACTTCCAATGACCGCAGGTTTGATTCTTGCAAATATTCCATGGAAATATTTTATCCATGAATATCATGTTGATAATTATGGGTGTTTTGCATTATTATATGATTAGATATGTATCTACAAAACAATATTATGATATAATCTCTGCTTAATTTGATACTTTATGGCGCTGAATTTTGGGCTATTATAATAAATTATAATAAACTTATTAATAGGAAAGCGAGCGAAGTGTCCGCACGAGTGGTGGCGGTGCTGGAGGTGGTAGGTGGGAATGGCGAGAGACTCGCGACAGCAGTCCCGGCGGTGAGTGGAGCGATACCGAGCGACGCCGCAACGGTACTCGGCTCACACGACGCGCTTCGCATCTCGATCTCCACAGGACGCGCCCTGCGAGACGGTCCAGCTTCTACGGGTCCGAGGTAAAAGGCTCAGCTTGTTCAACTTCAATATGCTAATAGAATAACTATATAAAAAATCTCATAATATCACGCTCTTGATCTAAGGTTTACAACAAAAATGCTTTATCTCGTAGTTTGAACCCTGCCGTGATATCACACAATTTTTTTTTTCGAACACTACTTTATTTATGAGAATAACTACTCAAATATCATTAAAGAAGCAAGCATACAATATATAATAATAAACCTTATTATACAATTAGCATGACAGACAAGCTGGCCCATCTGGTGGCAAGTGGCAATAGTGGCCTGTATACAAAAAGAGACCAGTGACATCATGTGATGCTCTTAGTAGCCCTTATGCATTGCCGTTCCGGAGTAATAAGATGTTATGCCTTCGTACACTGTACTGCTACCGCCATATCTCACACTCCTTGCAAAGGACACTGCTTTGAGGCGATGGGTGAGACAGAAGTAGGCACGAAGGCTTTGTACAAAGCCTAGCTCTGTATAATACTTGTCTTTATTATCAATATCTATCCGTCGAATAGGCAGCATCACCGGAACCCTTGTCCTCTACGAGAGCGATTTCACTAGAAGCACTAGTGAGCGCCGGAGCTAGGCGAGAAGCGGAACGAGGGCTCGAGTTAGCGAAGTTGATGTCTGAAGCGGAGCGGTTGGGCTTCAGTGCGGCAGAAGTGCACGCAGCGTTGGCCCAAAGCCCGACTGCGCCGTTAGCATGGCTCCGTGAGCGCTGGCCCAGCCTGTGCGCGGGAGTACGCGCGGCGGCAGCTCGCCTAGAGCCGCGCGCCGCCGTCTCCGAGCTGGAGGCGCGCGCCGCTCTCGCACGACACCGCGGCGCCATGTGGCCCGCTGTCACCGACTGCGTTGAAAGGCACCGCCGCCACGTCAGTATTATTGTATAAAATCACTAGCAAATCCTACTTTTATGGACTTTGTGTATAAACCTTCAAATCCTGGAAGCATTCGTACTGAATCAAACTTTGAATCTAACTTCAAATTAAAATTAGGATTATACATATATTGAAACTAACTAACTCTGCAAACATTGTTTGGCCATATGAATTAAAATCGCTTTGAAAATTATTTAAAAAATAGGAGTTGGTGGTAGAATGGTGAAAATTTAGAGTTGTATGTATTTTTATAGCCATATTATAAAAATATATTTAAATAAAATTGCCGCAAAAAATAAAAAATCGTAGGGATTATACGTATCTTCCCTACGATTTTTTATTTTTTTATCAATTCTTTAATCGTAATTCTTTGATAAAAATAGTAGATTTCATGGCACGAATCCAGATGGAGACGGGAGCTGTAGGCGAAGAGCGACGGCTGCGTGGGCATGTGTGGGGTTCCCCGGTGGGTGTGGACGACGACGCTGCTCCGCCCATCGCTAGCCGACAGCACCAACGCCGCCAGCGCGGTAATCACAATCGACCCACAGCCCAATAGAATTACGTTATCACCGCTGAATCATCTACCACGTCATAACATTCACATTTACATTTCAGCAGAAGATAGTTCAGATGAGTTTGAAGTGCCAGAGACGACCGTATTCCAAGATGACGACTGGATGTACTTACCACTAGACCAAAATATTAATCAGTATAAAAACGACAAGAACTTCGAGACTTGGGACAAGAGTTTTATTGAAACTACTAACGACAAAAAAGAAGACATAGCATTAAAATTAAAAGCTCTTCTTGTACAAGCTGGGGTTCCAACTATTAACGAAAATTTGCTTCTAAAAGGTTTATTAGCTGATAGTACTATATATAACCAAAACGGAACTAGTAATGTAAGTCGAAATAAACTGTATTCAATGGATTTGAGTCAATCAGAAAATGACTTCATTGATGCTTATAATGCACTAACAAGATTAAGTCCACTACCAAATGTAAATAGACCAGGAACTATAAAAGATACACAACAAAACAATATTATGCAAATTGCTAATGAATTCTATGAAAACGAATACGTACTCAAAAATACGGAGAATATTAAGCTAGAGCAAATTGAAGATATAACTTTTCAATCAGCATCGCCAGAAAATTATAATCATTTGCAAGTAGCTATTAATACAAAACAACAAGAACCAGAAAATAAATTAAACGAAATATTTTCTTCTTCTGAAAAAGCCAATACTGAAGATGAAACAGAAAAGGAAAATAAAAAAACTCAAATCGAAACAATGATAAATCAATATAATCCGGAAAGAGATAGTACAGAACCAAAGGAACATATGAACCTACCACCTGTAGAAGTTAAGACAGTGCCCGAAAAAGTGATAACTAATAGTGAAAATATAATAAAAAATACACTTGAAAATAAAAGTACTCTGCAAAGAGAAAGTCCAAAAAGCAAGAAAGACATAAATACACCTGTTACAGAACTGTTCGAAATTGCTCAAGAAAGAAATAAAAATGTTATCCCACTACAAACTGTGTCATCAAACCATCATAATATAACAATTGATATTAATACTACAACTGACAATTCCATAATACATGCACAGGTAGGCGATTTTCCACATATTATAGATAATTTAGACCAAAATATGGGAGACCTATCAAATAACGTTGACATTCAGGAAAATATAAAAGTGCAAAACGTAAATGAAAGTAATAGTGAATCTATATCAGTGCAATCTAATAATGCATCCTTTGGAAAAAAGAACATAAAACTTACAACTAATAAAGATTTCGTGAAGGAAGAAGAAGACAAATCCAAGAATTTAAACGACATCGTTGATAATACACAAAAACTTATACAACAAATGAAAGAAGAAATTAATTCAGATATTTATTCAATTGAGGATGCTAATGAATCTCAAAGCGAAATGGAAACTAGTTCTAATGAATCTGATTATTCGTCAGAACATGAGTCTAGTTATAGTAATACAAGAGAGGAAACGGATAACTTAACTTCGGATGAAAATGTAGAGTCGAGCACTAATGATGAAGAAGATACGGAAAAGCGTTCAATAGCGATAAACAGAACTAGCTCAGAAGATAATGAACAGTTTGAAGAGGCCATGGATCACATACAAGAACAAATCGAAGATTTTAAATATAAAAATATTGAAATTTTAGATTCTATATCACGTAGTCTACAAGAAGAGCAGACGTTTGCTGTAGAATTAAATGACCGAAAATCTCCAAACGAAGAACGACAAGATCAAAATAATAATATGTTTACAACTGTACATAGCTTTGAGGAAATATATGACCAACTGAGTACTAATGAAATCACAAGTAATTCTATTAAATCGAATAAACTTGAGAAAAATGTGTTAGTTAAGAATAATAATAATATAGAAAAATATGATATAAACATATCATTATATAAACCTGTATCTGCCACCAAATTAATATTAACCGAACAAAGAAAATCGTTTTTAAATGCAATAGAAGAAAATATAGAGGAACCTTTAAGTATAGAATATATAGATAGGAAAAATAATTTCAACAATAAGAATAGTAAAGAGCAAATATTAACTAATCAATCACACAGGGAAAGTACTGTCAGCTTGGACAGTCATACAACACATTCACCCAAAACAGAAACCAATGATAACATCAGTAATATTTTTGTTGTTCCCTCTGATCATCCAAGGAGTATGTCTTCTGGAAATGAAAGCAAAGATACAAATACCTTTAACGATTTTTCAGAACCCATAGATTTAAACGTATCTGTAAATACAAGTGCTCTTGGTGAAATAATTGGTAACGACAATTCAAGAAATAATTCTCCAGAAAAAAAATCTAATAACCAAGAAAACGATAATAACGAAATTAAAAATATAACTGCGTCTAAGTCTAATATACCTAAACTGATTAGAATATTGCCAAAAACTAAGGATGAGAAATCTACTCCCAAAGTATTAGTATCGAAAGTCCCTGTACGGCGTAATTCAGGTAAACAGTACCCCGCACCTGCCCCGCCAAAGTCTCACTTCGGATCCATTCAAAGTGGCTTTGTAAAACAATTACAGACCAAGCTATTCAATGATAAGTCGGCAAAGACTGACACAAAGATTGCAAAATCAGAATTAAAAGTTGCAGTCCCATCAAATTTGATTAAAAAAAAACAAGCACCTTTACCACCATCCAAACCCATAGAAAGTGTTCAACCATCTCCACCAAAAGCGTCACCCTCTAAAGAGAAAAAGAAAAATTATTTCCGTGAGACATGTCGCACTGAAGATGAATGGACGGAAAGTGACCCTGAGGATTCCCAATTACAGATTGCAAAGCCTAACGAGGAACCACACCGAGCACCGACACCACCACCGCCTATTACAGTGCGCCGTGTATCAGGCCAAATCATCGACTTAGCCAGAGTCCGTCTTCCAGAAGGTTCACCAGAGGTAAGGACGATTTGATTATGTTTAGAAGCATACCTATACCTATTAATCAGAATTAATATGGTTATGAGACATCATATGTATGTTTTTTTAGGATGACGATTATGTTAGGTCATTCAGCCAGTAATGAATTCACCAGTAATTAACTTGAATGGTTTTCAGAGTGACCGAAATTGCTAGTAATTGGCTGACTATTGTTAACAATCCCCTCTCCCTTCATCAATGCATCATATTTATTAGGTTGTTCTATATACGTATTAGTATCTATGAATTAAAATATCCCATACCTATACGACAGTATAACCAGAGAAAATATCGTGGCAGTGGTGGTGGGGGTAATATCGGCGGATATAAATTCGGCCCTGATTTCATGAACCACAAGCGATCAAGGAAAAGATCCAGAGCACTATCGACCACTGCTTCGATATTGAATTGAGTTGCGTGTTATGGTTTTTAGTCGTGAATTTAACTTAACATTAAAAGAAATTGGGTATTTCTATTGATTTATTTGCAGATAAGTACTTAAAATAAGGAAAGATTATAATTTTGTTCATGTCATAATAAACAAATAAAACTATTATTTAATATGCCTACTATAATTATACACCCCTATATACCATTGACTTTTTTCTTTAAGCAGTCAAGTAAAAACTAAACTTAAAGAGAAAGATATAGTCGTAGAATTTATTAAATTACTTATCTAATAATAGAAAATAAATATCAGCAATTTATGGGAAGAATTTCATATTACTGTAGAGCACAGTCCATAAAATAGATTATAATATCAGTTATAAGAAGTTATCTATAAATTATTCACTTGTGTATAGAGACAAGCACGCATGCTGTTAGCTGAAGGCGCTGCAGAGAACTGGGAACAGGCTCATCTAGCAGTAGAGCTGGTATCACGTGGAGTGGATCCCCCGACTGCATTGCTAGCTGCGCTCGAATGTATCGACCTGACATCTGCTTTGACATACTTGAACCAAGAATGTGAGCTGTGTGCTTCACGACTTCCAGAGCATGAGGTGAGAAAAACATAAAGTAAATATTGTACTGAACTATAGATTCAAACAGTTTTCTTCAAATTAAATTATTAACACCATGTTAATGAACTTAAGCTAATATTTTTTTTCTCGATAACTAAAAGTCCTTCGCGAAATATTTAGTAAAACTGTCAACACAGACGGTAAGTATCTTTTCGTCAAAAAGTAAATTTTCAAAACTGTTCTATAATGGGTGTATAACTAAACGGATTACAAAAATATTTGTTCTTATATTATATTTTTAATATTCACTTTATTAGCGGCCAGTAGTCTTGACCGGAGTTAATAGGTGACCGATAGGTATCTGAAACCTATCAATAGATATGTCGAAGATGAATTAATATTTAAACGCCCCAATACACGAAGATCTCTTCAAAAGAGTAATGGTACTCTCATTTTTACACCCAATCTTTCTTTATACCATTTATACTCGTACTGTTCATTTGATTGGATCCGACGAAAATAATTGCGAATTCTGTCAGTATATAGTTTTGATAGACTTCACAGTTATTTGCCTAAATTTTAATGGAGCGGTGCACGAAACAAGTTAAACTAATTACTAAATTAACTAAAAACATATTACTAATTACGAGTACTTATCGGACCTCTACGAGTAATATATAATAGGTACCTATTATATATATTTTACCTAAGTACATATATTTTATTATAATATGACAGATGGTGACGATGTTACGCTGCACTCACCGCTGTTGCCGTGAGTGCGCGAAGTTGTACTTCAATGTACAAATAACAGAGAGAAGCATAGCCGACTGTGTCTGCCCATATTGTAAGGTGCCGGAGCTAGAGACACTCCCTGAAGACGCGTGGCTAGAGTATTTCGCGCATCTAGATATACTCTTAAAAACATTACTGGAACCTGACATACATGAATTATTCCAACGAAAGGTTAGAAATATTTTAATAATATTATAAATAATAAATAAAAATCGAATTAATTAATAATTAAAAAAAAGTAATCACAGTGATGATCAGTGCTTTCAAATAAGTTTGCATGTATCAGCTTGATTAAACCCTGTTGTAATTCTTATTTGAAAGAGTTTGAAAGCGAAAGTTTGCAATTATGTATGTAGCAATTGCTATATATTCAAAAGGATATAGAGACCTATAAGTAGGTCTCTATATCCTTTTAGTTAATTTATTTGAACGCATGGCGACGCTACCTGCAAATAAAAATTATTGCAATAACTTATTTCATTTTATTTTTAGTTACGAGATAGAACGTTGGCTAGAGACCCTAACTTCAAATGGTGTATGGAATGTTCTTCCGGTTTCTTTGTTCACCCTAAACAGAAAAAATTACGGTGCCCAGAATGTAGGTCGGTGAGCTGCGCTAGTTGCAGGAAAACGGTGAGATATGATATAAAAAGCTTGATTAAAATAATGTTGGAGCTTTATTTATTTGTAATAATAAGATATCATCACAACTGTTGAGTTGGTGTAATTAGAGGCATTGTCAACTGTTGAATAGTGAACGCAACAGCTGCTAATGCTGTAGTTCACAATTCGCTGTACATTACAGTCGTGAAAGTATACTTATTTATTCACACCAACATTAAAGAAAATCAGTTTTATTACAATATTATTTTAATACGCATTTTAGTGGTCTTCAAACCACGATGGACTGACATGTGACCAGTACACCAAGTGGCTGGAAGACAACGACCCCGAAATATCGATATCGGCTGTACAACAGCATTTACGAGAAAACGGTCTGGAGTGTCCTCGATGTCATTTCAAATATTCTCTATCCAGGTATAAACATTGTCCAATTACAAATTAAACTTATGAACTTTTTTTTTTATAACACAGGGGGCAAACGAGCATGCGGCTCACCTGATGGTAAGTGATTACCGCCGCCCATGAGCACCCGCAACACCAGGGGAATTGCAAGTACGTTGTCGGCCTTTTAAAAAGACTTTTTAAGCTCTTTTCTTGAAGGTTTCAATATCGTATCGGTTCGGAAATACCATTGCTGGAAGGTGATTCCATAATGTGGTTGTGCGAGGCAAAGTTTCTAGAAAACCGCACTGTGGAAGACCGCCATTCATCCAGATGATCAGGATGGTATTTCAGTTTCTGGGGGGTGGTACGGTAGTGAAACTCAGCAGCTGGTATTAATCCGAACACTCCCCGTGATATATGCGGTAGAAAATGCACAGAGATGCAATATCACGCCGAAAAGCCAATGGGTCGAGTCTGTCACATAGACGTTGATTACCAATGATTCTGGCTGCTCTGTTCTGAATGCGGTCAAATTTAAGTAGCTGGTATTGTGGTGCTCCCGCCCAGAGGTGAGAACAGTATTCCATGTGCGGCCGGATCTGCGCCTTGTATAATTGCAAGCGATGGGCCGCCGTGAAATACCGTCTCACTCTACTGAGCACACCAAGCTTTTTTGAGGCTATTTTAGCCTTGTCCTCCAAATGACCGCAAAACTGAACGTCACTGGATATATCAACGCCAAGGACCTCGAGATTTGGCTTCACATCAAGGAGAGTGTTTTGAAACTGAGGAGATACGATAAATGGATTCTTTTTAGCGGTAACTTATAAATGAATAATGAATAATTACATTTAGGGAAAATAAATGACCAAAATTCTTTTAAAAACACCAAAATGTACCTATCATAGTAAGACAGTATGGTATGTTACTATTTAGAACATTTAAGAAAAGTGCCTACACTTATTATTCTTAATTTATTAGAATATTAAGTATTACACGTGTAGGTAGGTATGAATATTGAGTTTTAAAGACTTTAATTAAAAATACTGACTTTCAGCTGTACAAACGTTGATTTCAATCCCATTTTTACCCTGTTATAGTCCCTATGTCTAAATAATATAAATCAGCCCCACTCCTATTTGAATAGGCTTTGTTGTTGAAGCTGTTGTGCAAAAATCTTATAAAAACGCTTTTATCGAAGTGAAAATACTAGTAGTCAGTATGGTTAATTCTGTACCTGTTGTATTATGGATGTTATATTATTCTTTCAGGGGAGGATGTATGCATTTCACGTGTACTCAATGTAAATATGAGTTTTGTTATGGTTGTGGAAAGCCATTCACCATGGGCGCGCAATGCGGTCTTAGCGAGTATTGCGCGAAATTGGGACTTCATTCGCACCATCCACGGAACTGTCTTTTCTATCTGCGTGATAAAGAACCGCATGAATTGCAAACACTTTTACAGGTGACATCATATACTCTTTGATTACTTTTAAATGTTGCAGCATCTCACATGACTATAGTACAATCCAATAATGTGTCCCTCTATTGACATGTATTACTTATCATATACCTTAACAAAGGATATAATACCTTCCTATTTCTTTATGATGACAAAAAAGAACATTTTCACAAAAAAATCTGTAACTACAGGTATATTTAGAAGTACTTTATACCTGTTTATACTGAAACAATTCTACTTACCCCTGTAACAATATCTAAAGTTCTGCAATATCATCAGCATTCGCTCATATTATTAAATCTTTCAACAGTAACAACTCGCTGGTATTCTATTAAAAACGCAGTTATTCATGTACAGAAACAAAGTCCAATCATCATAAATGTGAAACCTGCATTTCAGATGAATAACGTAACGTATGAAACAGAAGCGCCTGAAGGCAGTACGAATCGTTGCCCAATACAACTGCAGCGTGAAACACCTACAGGACTTGTAGATGGCGTTTGCGGAAATGATGTACCGCCTTTGCACGGTGGATTGTGCAAGTATGTAAAATTAGTGATTTATAGTTTTAAGGTCTTCAACCGAAACTGTTTGATTAAAATATTTCTTCGGGACCCTCAGTATGCGAACTTGAAATCAGTTTTTTTACAATATATAAGTATTTATGAAACGTATTCATTACTTGTTGTTACATTTGCGAACATGACGGAAAGGTATGACAGTGGCATGTAGAGCAGGCGCGGCGGTGAGTGCGGCATGTACTTTACAGAAACCATTACTTGGAGTACCTGAGCAGAATAGTCCGCGCGCGTGGAATCGACCCGCTGCCTCTCCTGGGTGTCGACGACCTTGAAACACTAGTACGGCGCGCCGCGCAGCGACTACCACCCCGGCCCTACGGCTCCCTAGAGGGGCTCTACAAGCGCGCACTGCACGAGGTGCGTACCTGGACTGCAGCGCGTGTTGTTGCAGGGCGCACTACGTGGAGTACCTGGCGGGCCTGGCGCGAGCGCTAGACCCCATCCCCATCATGGACGTAAGCGAGCTGGTGGCCGAGCTACGACGTCGAGCGCTGCCGCTACCCGAGCGAGGGCCCTGGGATACGGACCCCATATACGCCGGGATGTGTGCTGAGGTATCACAGTTGCTAAAAGATGAACCAAGAGACACTCCACTGTCTGTTTTTTTTTCAATAGGTACTTACACGGAACAAGTAACAAACTTTGACTGGCATACTTAAAATTGTTCAATCAATTACCTGCCTACTGGGCACAAAGACAACATATTAATCCTCAGGAACATCATAGGCTAGTTCGAACCCGTCCATCCACCCGCCCATGACACCTATGTAGGATAAGGTCAGGTGCAGCAAGTCCACGAGTGGAAGATGAGGTTAAAATAATGTCACTTAGCAAATTCATTTGAAATAACAACTACCACTTTCAATCAGATGACCTTTGTTTTGGCGACAGTTGGTACATCATTTTTTGTATACATATATCGATACTTAAAATTATTGTTTAAATGCATTAAATAATTCATTTAAGCTTTATTCTAAAAGCGAAGTTGCAGTTGGTCGCTAACATACTCTCAACTGGAATAAGCTTTTTTCCAGTATTTATCATAATCAACCTACTTTATTTATTTCTATGATTATTCTACTATTATTATTTGTATAATGGATTTAATAACCCTTACTTGACAAATTATTGTTGAATCTCCGCACAAACTTCCATTTTTATATCACCCACTTTCAGTTAAATTTATTAGCCTATTCCGCCCTAGTGGTACAATTTATCAAACGCACAGACACACTTTCCCATTTATAATATTAGTGTATTACTGCATGGATTTTACAATTTTTTTAAACATCATATTTAATTGTTTTACAGATTGTACGAGAAAAAATTCCCTTGGATTGAAGATATATAATTATTTCCTGGGCTGTACAGTATAACGGTATAACATCGTATCTATGGATTACAGTCAACTTCATACGTTTTATATATAACCATTACAAACATTAACATAACATTTTATATATAAGCAAATACTACAATTTTTCTTTATTATTAAAAATGAACTCTGTGATTAATATTAGGTACTATTTAATAAAAATGTTGTCGAGATTTTATCTTGTTTATTTTCAATATGTTATAGGTTTATAATAGCTTAATTTTTAAACACTAAGAAAGTTGCTAAATTATCGCTTTAAAAATTCATTTTCCAAGCTTTTATGTTTAAAAAAATTACAAGCTTTTAAATAAGTTTATTTTAAATCATGTGATGAACACATATGTACAAATATTTTATATCATTGTATTGCTTGTTGGCACTTGAGAAGAATTGAGTTCATAATTATTTTTCCTCAACTGTATTTACCAGTAATTAAAAAATAAATTATATATACTAATGTCATTTTACATAATGTTTCTATAGGTCAAGATAGTATATTTTAACTTGCACAATAATAAAAACAAACTCATTCTATTCATTCATTTTATATGTCATTACCTAAATAAAATTCATACCAATATTATAATATGCTAAAAATATATAAATATAGCTTTAACATAACACATTGAACCAAAATCAAACCACATTATGTGTACATCCAGGTTTGAAAACATATAAGTCATTACAAAAATAGTCATACTACCGAGAGTCAAATAGCTTTTTTTCTAAAATACCAATGAAATAAACAAACTATTTCCTTCAATACAAGTGTTTATTATTGGAAAAAGTAATGATTCCAAGATATTCAAGAGTAAATTGAGTAAAAAACATCCATAAGTTCTAATTCATATATTGCTGAATAATAAAAAATTAAAAAATTATATATACAGTCAACGTCGAGCGAAATGTTCGTCCATATGACGTCGATCACGTTGTATGTAGTGCCTATTGGAGTGGATTCTGGATTCAAGCGAGTCGGGTAGGCTGCGCGCCTGGTGGTCGGCGCGAGGAGCCCGCGGCGGAGGCTCGGCGGCGGCGGCGGCGGCGGCTCGGTGCGCGGCCACGCGCCTCCCGCGCTGCTGCTCACGCTCCGCCCCCGCTGCAGCCATAGCCGCCAGCCGAGCCGCTCTCTCCTCCTCGCTCACCGCTTGCTTACTTCGTTTTGCATCTGAAATTCTTCTCCTATCGGGTGATGCCTTTCTACTGCTTTTATAATGGTGCTCACCCGACTCTCGTCGAGAGCCGATTCTACCCATATCATGTTTTTCTGATTTTTCTAAGCTACTTTTGGGTTTCTTTATGTTGATCTCTTCATATGAGTCGCTTTTTCTTTTCCTCGAATTCTTCGGAATATCTTTTCTGTGTTCACTACTATATTCCTTTATTTTTTTTTTAGCTTTGGATTTACTCTTTTTTTCATCTTCAGATTCTGTATCATCAGAATGTTTGTGTTTCTTTTTCTTAGTTTTAGATTTCTTTGTTTTCTTTTGGTGTTTTTTCTTTTTCTTTATTTTTGTCTCTTCATCTTCTGAAGATGAACTCGAGTCTGAATTATCAGAAGCGAGAAGTGTAGATATGCTGATACTTGACTCCCCAGCCAAAGCATTGAGCTTAGCTGCAAGTATATTATCTAAATCTTTCTCTTTCTTTTTAGGTGTTTTCTTCTCTTTGCGTTCTTTTCTTTGCTCCTGTAAAAGTAATACATACAATTTACAGTATACAATATTTCACACAAGGATTTTCTATACTATAAGAGGAAGTATAAAGAGAGAAAACATAGACTTGGAAATAAATATAATGGATTTAATTTTAGAAGTTTTTGATATTTTTTTATGTCTTTATGTCATCGATTTTCTCATGAAACATTCATTAAAAAATAGATGAAATATATAATGGTATATCTGAACATACCAACTATTGAGAAAATAAAAATATCATGTGTTTATAATTCTAGGTAATTGAAAACAATCAAGTACATAATAGGTTAGTAAAATTTGACACAAATAATTTTTAACATGTGTCTAAATGTACTAAATAATTTTATACCTGTTCTTTTCTTAATAATTCTGCAAGACGACGCCGTTGCATTGGATTGTTCAGCAAAGCGGCGCGAGCCGCTCGTTCTCGTTCTTTCACAAGCAATAGTGGATCTTCCCGAATCTTACGTGCCAAATCTACTTGTGAATCTCCAGTAGATGATAACATGCTAGATCCCACAACTCTACGTGCCACTGCTGGAATAACATCCTGATCTGACTTATCTGGCTGGTCATAATTCTTTTCTATTGTTTTTCCAAGAAGGTAGTCCTCATCCTGCACTTTTTTGTCAGGTTTCTATAACAGTTGAAATTTTTAATTGGTTCCCATGGGACCTGCTAATTTAAATAATAATATTATGGTAATATTTCTGCAGTATTGACTATAACAATAATAATAAACATTTCATACAGTTCCATCTCCTTCACATACATACAGTATTATTTACTTTGTCTTTGAATTGAACAATACAAAAATACATTTTTAACCTGCATTTTAAATAAGTATTTTATAAAATATGACAGGATAGTAAGATCAATTATTTTATAATAGATCAGAAGCAGTGTTATAGCGCTAGACCACTAACACCATATAAATATGCAGTTAATCACATATTGCAACAGGCTGTAATTTGTATGTTAATACTTAGATGACCTAAATTACAATTCAAACTACTACTAAAATAAACTACCACAATACAATTTTTAGAAAATACTTTTACAGTTGGAATAGGTGTTGGGCAATTTACTATCCATAATGTCTGTAAAATCAAGGCATGTAGTATATTAGTGAAACATTTAGTCTTAATTAGACTTTTGTCATCTATATCTATCTAGGGCGCTAACACTACTTTCAATCCCGGCATCCATTATCTGAATTAAAGAAAAAAAATACAAGATTAATTATAGACAAACTAAAGGCATCCATCTATTAATTCCATTTAGCAAACTGAAAGACATATTTTACTATTATTTTTTAACTAATAATTCCCTCCAGTAGCGTGAACTGGACACACACTACCATTTTTAAAAAGTATGAATAAATAAGAATACATACATCATACATCCAATGCAAGCGATTGTCAGATGTTGTAGCTCCACAATTAAGTTTTGCCATATTATTGAGTTCTTCACGGTTCCTCTCTTCAGCGCGTTCCCTCTGCGAGTCTTGAATGCGGCGCTTTTCTTCTGCCACAGCTTGCTCGGCCTTCCAAACACGTTCTTGATTTTTTATTGTGTTTGGATGCCATGATTTTTTCGTATTCTATAACACACATATTAAGTATTTATGGTATTAGATGTTTTCAATTTAATTCGATCAAGGTTAGTATTTTCGATTTCATACATCAGGCATATAAGATAAATATAAATAAATAACGATAAGCGTAAAACGAATAGATTTTTAGATATAAAACAATTAATGTGTTATTTACACTTAAATTACATGCAAGTTTTTAATTAAAACTTACATTTTATTCAAAAGTAATTTTTTTCAACATGTATCATTATTTATTATACTGGTAATTGTATCCTAAAAGACGGGCAAACAAATTACTAACCAAATCACCACCTCCCATATTCAATAATTTCTTTTAAAATACAGATATTTTACAAAAATAAATAACATCTCACGAATAACTAATATATCAGAAACCATCACAAACAATGACCACAGATCTGAAAGAATTACAGATCTTAAATCAGGGTTACCCACCTTAAATCATTTAGGCTCATACAAAAAAATAAAAAGCTGATAAATTTCGTATATTATTTCCATTTCGCTCAATAACTTCAACTAAGTTTAATCTTAACCTATTTTAAAACTTTTGTTTACACTTGTACTAGAATAAAGATGTCATCATACTGTAAAGTGTTGCCGGGGGAAGATCTAGTTACACAACACAGACTATTACTAATAGAAAAAAAATTCTGGTATTTGTACAAGTAGGTGTACGGGTAATCCTCAAACAGAATATATTTTTTTAAGTCGGCATTTTTAGGTTGGCCTTGTATCCAGAGCCGTAATTAATAAAAAAAAACAACAGAATATATTTTATTCACATGAGGGAAAGCAAAGGTATATAAAAATACAGGCTAATTTTATGTTAATGTTTTCTTAAAAATTTCTAGATAATAGTGATGTCATGAAGCAATAATATACGGTAAATAAACGGATTGCATAAATAAGTAAATCAACCAAAAAATATTTTTTGTACGTTTATTTTGTTATTAAGTATAATTAATGGGCATTCCTTCAAAAATATGTTTAATAAGAGATTACTTTGAGTTTTTCTAATGATTTAGTGCCGCATTCAGAGACGTCAAATGGTTACTTCTTTCAGTTTGTTAGTGTAAATCAAAGAGTAAAAAAATATATCAAAAGGAATGTAGATTTAAAAAATGTCCTAGTCTGACACTGATAATGGTTGATAGTGACAATTAACTTTAATGACAAGCTAACGGCTACTGAAGCTAGAATTTTTAAAAATGAATTATTTTTAGTGGTTATATCTACTTAATCAAGAATTTTTAAAAATGAATAATTTTTAGTGGTTGATATATGAATAACATATTCCTGTGTATTTGATACAGAAATGCTTACGATATGATACGATAAATATTGATATTTGTAAGATTTTTTTGTTTGGTTCATCATCACATAGTTACTTCACAAACTTGTATCTACATGATGTACGATTAAGTAAAAATAATTAGTCTTATTAACTTCTAATAATTGTTTATTAAACTTAGTCATAAGTTCCAATTCAAAATAGTGTAGTGCATAGTGGTAACTTATTTCTAAATCTACAATCAATGATTTTTAATAATTCAAAATACCTAGGTATGATAAATATATTCAATATGCATTCTATTGTAAACTGAAATACTCATTTTAAAATTAGAGAATGGATATCCTGAGATGTCAGAAAGTGATTTACGCAGACTTTAAATAATTTATACCTAAATAAATATATCGTCATTTACTTTAAATTACGTGTAAATGAGCCATCATCCACTGTAAATATAATATACCACGTCATTTAAATTTATTCCAATAAGTAAGGGGTAGATGTAGTATAATACAGATAGACATAATCATGAATGAAACGACTAGATCTATTTAAATTATTTAATAGGTACGTAATGCAGTAGATAAATATAAAAAACCTATCTTAATAACGACGGCACAAATGCATTTAGACAATTAGTCTTTTACTCAATTCTTAAAAGCTAGCCTGGCTAATGTCTATAACACTATTATAACCAAAAGTCACCTTAAGCTAAGCTACATATAGTAGGTATTTGACCCACATAACAGCCTTTCAAATAGAACAAAGCATTGAGATAAAGTTACTTATTCGACTATTTTCACTATCAATAACGGACAAAATGCTACGACGCATCTGTTGCAGCAGGTGCAAATTGTATAACAGAGGTGTGGCGCACTTCAGGTTCGGGTTGAGGAATCAGTTTCCACTTGCGCGGTGGCAGCGACGATCGTATATTGTATACAGTATGTTGCGGCGCTAAGACTGGCGGCGACGGTGCCGCAACTGGCGGCGGAGACGATGAAGGGATAGTATTAATGGCCGGCACCGACGCGCACTGCGGCGACGGCGGCGAACTAGGCGGTGTTGGTGGCAATTGCTGTAATGCAGCTTCTACTAAATCACACATTACATTCCCATTCATCACGAGCGGCACAGAGGACTGCATAGATTGAGCACGGGGCGTTTCGGCTCCATGCTCCTTATAAATATGTGCTTCCATCTGTTTCTTAGTATTAAATGTCCCATCACAAACCGTACAACGGTAACAACGTTCCCCGTAATGCTGGAAGCGATGCAATTTCAATACGTGGTTGTAACCAAAGTCTCTAAGGCAAATATCGCAGGTGTAAGGTCTCTCCCCAGTATGAGTCCGCGAGTGTACTTTAAGTTGCTTTGAGCAAGTGAACCCTTTCCCGCACCCAGGTGCAGGGCAGCGATAGGGTTTTTCACCAGTGTGCGTTCTTAAATGTATAACTAACTGTCCGGACTGAATAAATGTTTTGTGGCAGTGGGGGCACGCATGAGGCCGCTCCCCCGTATGGATACGAGCATGACGATGAAGTTTTCCGGAGTGCTCGAAAGCTGCGTCGCACACACTGCACCGATATGGTCTCTCCTTAGTATGGATACGACGATGTACTTGTAAATTCTCCTTAACACTAAACATTTTATGGCAGTATTCACATTCGAAGGGTCTTTCGCCCGTGTGTGTCCGGTAATGGCGCACGAGCCTCGCTGGTACAGCAAATGTTTTGTGACAGACGTCGCACCTGTGAGCATCAGCAGCAGCACGGTGCGAACGTGCATGAGCTGTTAATGCACTTCGCGTTGAGAGCGTCAAGCCACATTCACCGCATTGATGGAGACGTTCTTCTTCACCTGTCGGGCATAATGATTTATGTTCAAACGTAGCAATAGAATTCATTGTTTCAATACACTAGATAGGTACTACTATTAGATATAAACACATGTAAACGCGACGACCGTTCACAGTGCACTGTGTATTGTGCGTGGTATGCAACGATCAGGAAATATCAGGATGCATGTACAGGCCACAGAGGGGGTGCGAGCGGGAAAGGGGAACGGATCACTAGAGAGTGAATGTCCTCTGAGAGCACGTGGAGGCCCGTACCGCGGTTTCGACGCGGCGTATCCGCGGTGCGCGCCTCCACGTGTTTGGGCCGCCGACCCCGAGTTAGCTCCACCGCACCCCGCTTCTCTTCCCACTACCCTACCTCATCCTATTTCTGTTGTGCGTAACATTCTACTCTTTCCGTACTTATATAATAATTTGAATAAATATATATATAAATCCCTAAAAGTAATACGTTCGAAAATGTATAAGTAAAAAGCATTTTGAGTCATAAAACTTCTAATTTTCATTAAGAGTACACAATGGCGTTAATATTATATGCATATTGTCCATCTTCAGTTAATGATAATATTACAAATACTTTATGTATATCTAAGTTAGGAAATTGCTTTTGTCTCATGACCTATATATAATAAAAAAAAAACAGTAATAACACTCCTATAGGAATATAGAAACAAGTCTTAACCGACTCTCTTTCATACTCCGAATTACTGGGAGGATTTAGCCTGTGAATTATAGGTAGGGGAGTACAGATAATATTATACCTAGGAAATAGGAACAATAAACAAGTAAATAAAATAACGAATTTAGACGTTACCTATTAATATAAATGAATACTTAGTACGCTTACCTATCATGTTCAACGGCGATAATGATTGATCACTTTCTCGAGGACTATACGTATTATATAGGTATAATGGCGTTAATGTTGGTGTAGGTTGCGCACAAATGCGAGATTACAAAACGAGCGCTCGTCCAAGCGGCGGTCGGCGGGTGAATGCGAGCGAGTAGAGTCATGGAGTGTGAGCCGAGCAGCGAGTCGCGAACAAATTCATTTGCGACCATTCCGACGCGACGGGTGACGAGGTCGCGAGCGACTGAGCGAGCAGCACAACCTGCTCTGTCTTTACTGCTTCACTCCTCAGCCTTTACCATCTTTGCTTTACAGTCACACATCATAGCATCATTGTTGTTTAATAGTACATTAAATAGATATATGTATTATAATAGATACGCACGTGCACTTGTACGTTATTTATTTTGCTTCTTGTCATTACTTAGGTAAATTAGATAGGTACCTAAGTCAACAAATTTAAGTAATTAAGTAGATAGGTATAGGTAAGTGTACTTTATTTACCTCACTGTCAAACTAGTCTATAATAGATAATTAAATGCCTACTTCAATTGTACAGGGCGAGGGAGAGAATTGCTATAACCGCTAATCCCGGGCATCTAACCACAGATTTGATTTTATCCAGTCTATACCAGTAGTAGTAGCATAGGAAGAATCACCATACCATTATTGCTAAAAAAATCAAATTGACGTAGTCTTAATGTCCTGACTAGTTCCCTTTTACAAATCTAGAAATAGGACCTATGTGATATTATATACCTAGTAGATACTGGTTTGAGAACCAAGTAAGCACATAACTACTTATGAAAACTGATTAACTATTTATTGAATATTGAAATAAATGTAAGCAATTAAAATACAATATATTGCATTTAATCCAGAAAAGGTATTTCTTATGCACATAATTCAGAGAGCTAATGTTATAAGGGGTAACTTGGGTTACTTTAACTTTAGAAACTATTTATTTTTATAAAAAAGTTACATTCCGCGCAGTCGCCTGTCACAGGTGACAGCTAATGAATGCATAATAATTAAAACCTGGTTTAGTTTAGAATCACTTATTCATATATTTATTTATTTAAGTAGCTACATATAACTGTTACACAGTCATGTTGTATTCCACCTAAACATATAAGTATCAAACATTATTGCTCAAACCATTGCTGTAGACTGTAGACAACATTATATATACCTACATGCTCTTTCAAGATGCGCGTCGCGAGGCGGTCATGAGTGCGCGCGGTGGGCGCGGTATTGGGGGGGGAGCAGAGTAACGTTACACGTGGAGGCCCACCGCGGTTTCGAGCGCGCGTGTGAACTGGCGATATGAGTGCGTGCGCGTGCGTAACTTTGGACCCTCCCCCCACACTTTGTCTTCCCCTAATGATATCCGATTGTTTTGTCTGTCTAGGACAACATAACATTAACTACGATAGGTACGGCTCGTGTAACCATCTTCTAAATGTAACCTATATTATCATCGGATTGGGATACGATTTTTAAATCTTGTTTTCAATATAAAAAGTAGATTGTTACAATTTGTAGGTGTTTGACCAATATATGTGCTTACAAAATGAACGACCTACAAAAAAAATACGATTAGACGAAAATAAATACACATACAATTAAAATATGTTAAAAATAGTAGCAATTGCGATAAACCTTCTTCTGGATACCTAAACAATTGAAGATTTCCTATAATTTTTTGTATTAAAATTTTAGGAATGATGTAATTTCAGTTGTTACAGTACCGCCTACATTACGTTTGTATTTACTTGATATTTATTTTGACTATATTATAAAACTTATATATCCTTACTAATATTATAAATGTGAAAATAACTCTGTCTGTCTGTCTCGCTTTCACGCCCAAACCACTGAACAGATTTTAATGAAATTTAGTACACAGAAGTCTAAACCCTAAGAAAGGACAATGGTTACTTTTTAATGCGAAAAAAAGGGATGTAAGAGGTTTCATGTCAAGTCTAGCAGCCTGAAACTTATTTTTTAGTCTGTTCATATATCATTTTTGAAGCTAATCCGATGAAGCTTTTTTATTTCGCTTTTATTGGGTTAGAACAAAATATTTTTTCTTTATTTGATCAAGATCACTATTTTACTCGGACGAAGTGGCGGGTACAGCTAGTAGATTCATATAAGCGAAGACCTATTATTTACAAATTAATAGATGAATATTTACATCATTAGGTACCATAACGACAAATTAGGCATGTCTCCATGAATACATGTCTTAAAATTCAAGATTATTCATGACACTTTAAATGACATTCTAAATGTTTTGCGCCTATTCTATTAGATAATGCTTGACTAAATCACAAGGTCATCTAGCCATCTCAAACAAGGCGTTAACAAGTTAATAAACTAGTTATTTAACAAGTAGATATTCAGTAGTTCAGAATTCAATAATATATGGACATGAAATCACAATCAGAGCTCTTTTTATTATAATCATTGTATGATAATACGAAACGATAAGCTAGTGCTTACGCCGTTATTTATGATAAACTAGCGACCCGCCCCGGCTTCGCACGGGTGCAATGTTGATACTAAATGTACCTACCTACTACATAATATCCTTATAAACACCGTTTACAGCTTTTTTGTCATTAGACAGTACAAATATATCTTATTCAGCGCATTTTAAATCTCTAATATCTTTTTAGTATTTAAGGTACTTAATTTGATAAAAATTAATGCTATATTGCTTAAAATCGCTTCGTTAATAAACTATTTTTTATCGTAAAACGTCCCATACGTAAAAAAAGGTTATTGTGTGTGGGTTATCCTTAAGAGATAAACATATTACCACCAGGGACTTTTTTGTTGATCTTTTTAAGATGTACAATACTGTAGTACATTATTTTGTATATTTATCACGTGGGATTCAGCCAGCGTTTGTAATGTAAGCGCAAAAAATGTGTATATTTATGACATCACATTAGAAACCTCTAAATTTATCAGTGTTTCTCTACAATATTACTCGTGTATTATACATGTACCTATAAACCTTCCTCTTGAATCACGCTATCTATTTAAAAAATCCGTTTCAAAATCCGTTGCGTAGTTTTAAAAATTTAAGTATAGGTACATAGGGACGGGCAGACAGCGACGGCGATATATATATAGTGATAGTCATACACATCCAATAGAGAAAGAAAAAATAAAAATAATTCCGGTCGCGCTGTTCTAAAACTGCATTTATTACCTTTTTTAATGATCACAGGTTCGATTTTCGCACAACACAAATATGTATATTCATGAATACATATTGTCAATATTGTATTGGGCGTTTCTATGTATATTATGTATACATTAAAAATTATACATATTTAAGTATTTCTATCAATTATTTAGTGCCGTAAGTATGGGCCGTGAGTCAGCAATAGACCAATGTGATTGTCCCCTGGTTGAAAATTTCAGTGAAATGGTTAAGGTAGTTGTGTCATAAAGCCTAGTGAACAGCTTTTCAGCTGCGGTTCCGAGGGTAGGTTAAGGAACAGGAACCTCGCAAACTTTTAAATTATTTTTTGGTGATAATAATAGATCTTATGCACTATTACTTGAATGTTCATTTAATTGTTATTTATGAAATTAATTTTAACAGGTGTCTTCTACTCACTAGATGGTGTTATACAAAATGTAGACGGCGCTATTAAGTGGTTCTTATTTTTAATAAAAATAGACCTTTAAAATCTATTCAGTTCTTGTTCAACTTTTGCTCTAGAGCTCAGTAGATGTTGTTATAGAAACATTAATTGTGCTTATTAGTTGTTCTTCCTTTTAATATCCTACATTTTGTACAACGTTCCATCCAATCCAGACAAGCTGTTAAAATATATTTCCTAAATAAGAACAGATATGAACATTAAAGTTATAGAAAATAAGTTTATTATTATAAAAAAATCTTAACGTTTGCAAGTGCCCTCAACCAACCCTCGGAAGCCGACTTTCACTAGGCTTCATAATACAACTATCTTAACCGTTTTAGAATTATTCTAATTTCGTCAATCATTTCGTTTGACGAAATTAGGCCCTAGCACGGATACTACACGGGTACAAGGTCTACCTCAGAACTAGATGGCACTATATGAATTATTCTAATTAAAGTATTACGGATATACGTACGTTAACGTATATTTTATATACTAAATATGTATATTACTAATTCAGACTATACATACATGTATAGTCTGAATATAGGGAGATAATCTCCATATTTCTCTTTAATTATTTTATACTACTATTAGCCGCATAGCCTTTATAGTTTCACTGTACCAAAATCTCAGTGAATGCAGCAGGCACAGCAACCTTGCGGACAGACTTACAGAGCGGCTGAAGGTCAACTTCCAATTGAGAAATAAAATATTACTGTAGTCTGGGTTTAGGTTGCTGTACCGTTCCCGTATTCTTTTGAATAGAACTAAGGATTGGTGCTGAGACCAAGAAGAACCAGTGTGTCGTGGCTGTGATTTTGGTACGATTGTGACATCCTATGATTGTGCAAAACATCATGAAGACGTTCTTAAATACGGTAATATTAGGTATATTGTTATGATATGAGTTATTTCTTATGTGCTTTATAGGATTTTAAATAGCATTTCACTTTGTAACTAAATAAACTATAATTGGCTAATTAATTAATTACATTGTACTGTACAAGTTATTGGTGGTGTATCGGCGCTATCGTGGCAGATTGCCGTCTTCAGAACCGTGACCACAGAGACGATTTATATTATTATTTCATATGTATGTTTGTCTGTAAGGTATTTGTAATATAAATAAATAATTTAACAGTTACTAAAAAGCTTTGACTATCTCGAAGTATATTTTTGATTTGTGTTTAAAGAGTTAAGTCATCACTGGATGGCTTACTTAATCATACTTAATCATAATGGTAGCAGACAAACTATTCACGGTAAACCATTTACTAATGTATATTGGAGCTTGTTAAATTAATATTTAAATATTCTTAATCATTTTCATATTGTCTGCCATTTTGGTTTTTAAATTATACCGTCGCATCAATAATGACGAAAAATAGAGTAAAATTGATTTACTGCAACACGTAATATCAATATAAAATTTAAAAGGCTAGAATTATAATCGTATGCAGCACGCAGATAGCTATTACATGATTCAGGTACAATGTGACGCTTATGTCATTTGTCCTATGATGTCTCCGCACCAATTCTGCTCCAAATGCGCATGATATTTCTAGCTAGCTTTAGAAATAAACTGTCCTGAATCTGACTTGATACATATTATTGTTGAATTATATTTACACTACTTATCTACTAGCCAGAACATGATTTTGTTATCAGAAAATTCCAACCAATACGTAGTCAAGTAGCATGTATGCACACATACAATGATACAATAGTATCTAAACGCGTTGCAGTGTAGGCAGGTAGCCCTTGTTATCATACAGCATAATTTAAGTAGGCAAGTACCTACTTTTCTATCTAAGGTAATACGAGTGTTTCTGCTAAATCGAATTGAGGCAGGTTACGGTTTTTTATTTTTTATTACTAATTACCTTACCTACCATAATGATCCATTATAAATTATGTATACGTTATTAAACGTAGTAACTTATTTTATCAACCATATTTTTTCTACAGTATACAAACTGAACGCCGCCAAAATTCTCAATTGTACATTATGTATTACAGTGAGGGAGGGTAAAGGCAGGCCAAGAGTGCGGTGCGCAGTGAAGGGAGGAGGGGGAGGGGGGCGAAACGTCGACACGTGCTGCACGGTCACCGAACGTTCGGAACCGCAGTGTTGAGGCCCAGCGGCTCGTGCGCCCGATTCAACCTTCCTCAATGCGACCGCAACTGACCCGCTCGGGCCGCGCCACCGACCGCTCTCCTCCCCCGCCTACCGCGCTTCGTGTAGGTAATATTAATGCTTGGTTATGGGTAGGTATATTCAAGCTATAAAAAGATTTACATATATTCTTTTATTTTCTTGTTTTATTTATTCAAGAACTATTTACAATGACTAAAATTATTAGTATGTAAGCAAACTTTCGGTAGGTATTTTGAAATTCATGGTAATTGATATGCAATTTATCATTCCTACTTTCCACGGGGACTTTTAATAGACTCGTCAAAGTTTAAAAGAATTCCTTAAAGCCCTTTAAAAGGGTGTCCTCTGATTTAATCGGTACGATCCGATTTTAAACCCCGTGCCCTGTGTCTTGTCGATTTTCAACATTTTTTTTTACCATTAATATCCTTATTCATGTACTTATATTATCTGAGAACGCTCAATTTAGATAGTACCCCGTGACATAATAGGTACATTCTTTTACTTCATTCGCTCCTGACTCGACTCAGAGAGAGAAAGTAGGGCTTAGGCTGAGTAACCTCTAGGCCTATAAGTATTATTTCCCTAATCAGGTATGTTCTTGTCATTTTAAAGGTTTTTAAAACATGCATTTTGCTTTTTATAAACTATTTAGCTCGCATAGTTCATCTTTATGAGCACTGTTCCGAATTAATTCGTTCGTAAATCCCTAGACACGTTCTTAGAATCAACGCATGTGAAGCTGTACCGAGGCCCGAGGCCCGAGGCTTCAGTTAGGGTCCATTGACCGAGTAGACGGACCCTAACTGAAGAAGCGTAGCGAGTTCAATGGTGTAAAGTCTTGAATACAGATTTTTTGGCCATTAAAGCCAGAAAAAGCATGACATATTTTTTCCAGTCATCCTGACACTCGCAATGTATTATTATATATATTAACTAGATGAAAGCATAAGCAATAAAAAGCATACAATCATTTTATACATATAAACATTGTATTCTTCATACAAGTAATATATACTTAATTCTTTAGCTGGAAGTAAATATTGACGATTTACTAAAAAAAAATATCTTAACTTTGTTTAGTTTGTTAAGTAAATTCAGCACCTAGTGTCCTTTTTACAAAAATTTAATCATGCCAATATGTATTTAAAATAAAATCAATATACTAAGCAAATTTTATTGAAAAGTATTAAAGTAATATATTTTCTTTTATAAAGTACCTATAAATTAATTACGAAAAGGAAAAAGAGACCTGAATAATGACTAGTACGTTAAGTTACCTCGCTAAAATTAATGAATAGACAAATAAATAACTACGGACTAGACTTTTATATAAATGCAATTGCCATTTCACATACTTGAGAGATATGTAATATATTTTTTACTGGCATTGTTAGACGTACCTAACTATACTTTTTTTTCTCTTCTTTTGGCTCCGGCGATTTGTGTTGCCATTAGCCATTTTATAGTTTTTATAATTATAGGTATATGTAAAGTATAAGTAATTCTCTATTATCTGTGGTTACCGTTTCCCGGTTTTTAAATGGGCAACACTTAGTTCACAATAGATCGTACTACCATTAAAACGAAGTTCATTTAATTATTTCAAGTTCCATCTGGCTAGAATTGGATCCGACTACAGTTTGCCTTCGATTGATAAGATTATCATAAATGACTTCGTTCATTATTCATTATTTAAACTATAATAAAGTGATGTCCGGTGTGTTCAAAACAAAAATGAACGGTTCGTTTTAGGAAAGGAAATACATATCTTTATCTAAAAACTGAACGGAAAAATAGTTTTATGTGGATTTACTAAATTAGACAAACCAAAAACCTGTATTTAAATAATGACAGTAAAAAGAAAATAAAAATAACAAGTCCTCAATACCAATTCTAGCATTTATTTTATTAAAGACTTAGCATAATCACGATTTTTAAATTGGTCACACTGTAGTCGAAATATATTATTTATCATAGAGTCAATATGTACACTCTATGGTATTTTTTTTTTTACATGTAGCGTTCAATGTTGCCACTTAAGTGGTTTGATCACTAGAGCTGGTGGTGGTGTTGGATTTGACCGAACAATGATGCCAAAAATTATGTTGTGGTTAGTGTTTTTTATAGTAGCCAAATATTGGACGGATTGGACGGAGGCATTTTTATATATTATTAATTAGAATAGTTTATTTGTTTTTCTATTTTACAAAGCAAAATTACTACTGTACTATTTCAGATCCTATTTATTATTATTTATTATATTATGCGTCAACAGACGTACTTTATTCGTTTCATTAACTATATTTAAAAAAATCTGGTTTTCTGATGGCGATGTTACGCCCAGTGGTTTTGCTGTAATTTTGTTGGCAACACTTGTTAGCGTTTGTTTGTGGTTTGTTTTCTCTGTTATATCCCTGAAATATTTGACAGATTATTCCCGCTTGAAATAACCATAATCTTAATTTTTATTGTTTATCCAGTTTATATCTAATAATCCTATTTTCAAAATGGTACGTTTATTTCTAATTACCGTTGTTGTACTCGAAAGTGCTTCTTTAAATAATTATTTTTGTATTATATTCTGCCGGTACCGGTGATATGAACTTATTTTGTGATTAAGAACAATTATGAGAATTACTCTTATTTTTATTTACTATTTGTTTATAAATAATATATAATACTAATTTATGTATACTTTTATAATGTTTACAGACGATTGGAAAGAATAATAAAATGCAACAACACATAAATTATCGAGTACGAGTAATATTACAAGACTCTCGTACTTTTATTGGAACTTTTAAAGCATTCGACAAACACATGAATTTGATATTAGGAGATTGCGAGGAATTCAGAAAGATTAAATCCAAAAACAGCAAAACTGCTGATCGGGAAGAAAAACGAGCCCTTGGTTTTGTTTTACTCCGTGGTGAGAATATTGTGTCCCTCACTATAGAAGGACCACCACCACCCGAAGAAGGATTGCCACGTGTACCACTTCCTGGAGCAATGGGTGGTCCTGGTGGTGGAAGAGCAGCTGGACGTGGAGCAGGACCTGGTGGCGCGCCACCGGGCTTACAGGGCCCAGCGAGAGGTGTCGGCGGACCCTCTCAACAACACATGGCCCCAGGGTCTAGGGGTCAATTATCTGCACCGCCACAAATGCGCGGAGGCCCTATGATGGGTGGTCCGCCACCTGGAATGATGGGTGCTCCACCAGGAATGGGCCGCGGTGGACCTGGAGGACGAGGCCCACCAGGAATGAGGCGTTATTGATGTAAAATAAGTGATTTAAGTTTAATATTTACATTAAGTATGTGGACTAGTTATAAGATAAATATCAGTAAAATCTGTGACCTGCTGTTTAACTGATGAACTCAAGTTATTGATACCTTATGTGCACCAGAATTATTTGAGTACTCACTATATACAGTCTTCTAATATCCGCATTATTTGACAATTACTGTAAACAAAGTATTCAATTTTCATCAATGATTATTTAGAAAGTGTGCTGATAGCAAGGTACAATATTAAACAAGCACTAATTACTAGAATGTGATTGATATGTATTAACATTTTGCTATTAGAACAATATAACTAATCATTTGTATCATTTATAAAATTTATGCAATGTAGTAGAGAGACTTGGTGATGAGTCTGTTAATCTAGGAATAATTGTACTGATTTAATATACTATATCTATAATTTTAATTGCATATGCATTGCACTCTCATGGCAAATTAAACAATCCTAACATTTAAGAATATTTGCTGTGTAAACAGCACCAGTTTCCTTAACCATAGTATTTCCAAAATCACCTCATTATGTGGATGCTATCTAAATTATAAGAATTGATACAAACTCTATGTATCTATTATTAAATTGCAAGGCAGATAATAGATACATAATAGGAAGAACTAGTACTTACTATACTATATATAATATGTACATGTGTTTTAAGTTAAAAACACCCAAAAATTACCTTTTGTAACATTGAGGTAAAAATGCTCTGTATTTTTATGAAAGTGTAGTATAATATAGTATGTTATAGTTGATAAAGATGATATGAGCATGCACTATTGATGTTAAATATAGTTGCTAATTTTGACTCGGGCACAGGCTGTCATACCTTGACTCCACATAATGGTTGCCTTATTACAACTTCAGTTTCTTAGGTCACAACTAAGCATAAATACAATGTTGTGCCAACCAATTTTTTTTTTAACTTGAAATAAACCATGTCTTTAATTAAAACCTATACCACCACTTTATGCAAACAAAGAAGTGGAATATACTAACTATGAACTAGGCAGACTAGTTTTTGGCTTTGTAAATATTTATGTTAGACATCCCCTGTATGACTTCAAGTCTACATTCTACAAGAATTGCATAACTACAGACATGTGTAATAAGAAAAAAACAAAAAATTATAAAATATTCTTACTGTTTCCTTGTGTGCATCAGTTGGTTCATAAGATATGGTAACTGAGTGTAATTAATAGGGGTTGTCTCTATATCCTAATAAATAACTAAAAAACTTCTAATATTTTCATAAATTTCTGAAGAATGGTAGGCAGAGAATGCCAATAGCATTAAACTAGCATTTGTACCCAATAATTTAAATAGATTTCTATTTAAACCATTATTCAGAAATTTATGGAGATATTAGAAGTTTTTTAGTTATTTATTAGGACATTTAACTTTATATTTCTAAAATAAAAGTAGCCTAATTACTCCTTATTACATCAGCTACCAAAGAAAGTTCCGTCAAAATTAGTCCAGCCATCTAAGAGATTAACCGGACAAACATTGCCACAGACAGACAAAAATTGTAAAAAAATGTTGCATGCAAGAATGCATGTAGTAAAAACTGGTTATTTCGATATTACAAACAGACACTCCAATTTTATTTATATGTATAGACTAGATGTGCCTGCAGTTTCACCCATGTAAAATTTATAGCCTGATTTATTTTGAGGTATAAGCTAAGTTTCATTAAAATCCATTCAGTAGGTTTGGGTGAAACAAACAAACAAGTCACATCTTCGTTTATAATATTAGTAAGATAAACTGATTCCTTCAACTACGGAGATGAATAGATATGCATTCCTTATTTAGCATACAGGCATAATGACTATTTATGTAGAAACATTTTGTGTTATACTTTGTGTGAATGTATTAAAATTTATTTTAACCATTTATTTCTTTTTATCAGTCTATGTTTATGGATTTACACATATTTTCAGAAGTTACTGTCTATGCTGTAGGATTTAGTGGGGGTATGACCGGAGGGAGAGGCATTAAATATTAACATCTTAAGGTCTCAAATGCAAAGCAATAGTGGCAGTGGATAGATATTCATAGTATATGTATTATAAATTGTCAAGAACACAATAAACAATATGTATTATTCATAAAATCATTAAACAAATGATTAATGGCAATATCCGCATGACGGATGGCATTTTTTGCCATCAATTCCGCAGCGGCAACCTTCGCTGGTGTCTCCTTTACCACCCGGGCCCCAACGTCGACCACGAGTAACCCAACATATCTCTGTTTTACATGCGGAACATTTTACCCAATCACAGCCCCACTTCTTTGTAATAATGGCACTACATTCGGGACATTCCAGTGCTTCTCCACGCGATATCAAGCTATCTAGTAATGCACGTGTTCCTTCATCCGTTTGGTTAGCTTTGTTTCCGCCTACTGCTTTTTGTAATTTAGTGCGATACTGCTCACACGTTTCACCCTCATGTATAGCCTGTTAATAAAAAAATAAATTATGTCTCGTATAAATAATAACAATGGGAAATTTATAAAATGCTTATATATTCTATAAATAGATATTTATGCAGCTATTTATGTGTAGTCATTATAATAGGTTTTTATTGCTTGATCAATTAGGCCAAGAAAGTTGGAACATTGATTTTGTTTAGAAACGAATCGCTTGTACAGAACGTCAAACCCCAATAAGTCGGTTATTTAAGCCTGTAAGTTTGTTTTGTATTATGGTCGATTCGTGATATTGATAAAGGGTACGCTGTCGTCAATCAGGTAAGAATGAAAATATAAAAATCTTACTTGGCACGGTACACAGTTATTGCTTTTGCAGACTGGACAGGGAAATCTCTGTACACCTGGTTCGCAATATGCCCAACCTGTACAATCATGAGTACGGCAATGAAAGGCATTCCGTGTCCTGCTTTCTGCAGTGGCTAATCCACGTGCCAACCATCGCTCGTATTCGTCAGGTGCTACGAGGGCACGGATTTCACGTTCATGTAATATTCCAGGACAATTCGTGGCGGGACATAAAACTGCTGGCTCTTCACAATGGCGTATTAGATCGCTTAAACAATCCCGGCAGAATGTGTGAATACACTCTCTTAGTACGGCACCTCTACCAGCCATACATTCTTCCATACACACTTCGCATTGAAATGATTCGGCATTTGGAACGAGTGCTTCCCGTTCTAATTTTACTAACTCTGTATACACCTCGCCACTCTTTTTTTTATTATCATCGTTTTCGTGCTGGTTTTGCGATATTATAACTCCATTTGATGTGCCAGTATTCGTCTCGATTTCTAAAATAATTTTAAATTATTTCAATCAATATATATACCAAAATAATAATGTGTAGGTATGCTGGAATCATACAGCATGAGTATGTAGAATGTAATTAAATTCTCATTTTCCGTTGAATATCGCCGTCAACATACTCGTGGGCGGTGCACATTCACTTTCTTGTTTGGTCACCCCCGACAAGTCCGCGTAGACGTTGGGAAATGTCCTGATGTCGCTCATCGACTCATACTTATTTATCACGCCTAGTGATATTTGTCCATGATAAACTCCAGATTTGGCATATAGTGTGTAATTTGATGATTTGATTCAATGTAAGAGATTAGGATATTTTTATCTTGATTAGTTACCCTCTACATTTTTTATTTTTAATAATCGCACAAAGAACTTTAGGTTATTGGCGTTTAACGTTAGTTAGATTCTTATTATTCACACGTTTCGACTTGTAAAATGTGAACTTACAAGGATTGTTTAAAAGAGCAACACACAAGTTTCATGCTTATTCTTCTTGTGATGGGACAGCTTTCCGAATAAGCGGTAGATTTAAAAAAATGTTGACTATCAAAAGTGCTTAAATTAAGTTGATTTGAATAAATGATTTTCTATTCTATTGCGTCAGATACCCTAGTAAACAATAATAACATTAATATAGAATAAATTAAATCTTACCGCATTCAACTAAACATAAATAAAACGGTGCATTAAGATTCGGACCCGCTAATGACATGAGATGAGTGTTGTCATCTGTGCAGAGTGTGCGGCCAATGATCCAACGCTGCAGCCGACTTGCAATTCCTAAAGACGTTTCTGCTCGACGTCGTAAATGGCCCAATCGAGCCTGTCGACTAATGCGCAATTGGACGGGACCACGAGCAGCTTCTTTGTCTTCGACCCATACTGATATCCTGTAATAGAATAAAAAAAATCTATTATACATACATAGATACTCAATATAAGTATTTTCTATAGTTGCAATCTTAATACATATACATTCTTCTATACGTGTGCATGTCATTTAACTCCTAAAGGATTGAACCGATAAAGTTGAAATTTTGTGGCCATATTTCAATAGGTTCTTGGATGATTTGAAAATTAGAGCCGGTAGGTGAAGCTTGTTTACCGGGCAGAAAGACGTAATACAGAGACAAATGGTTAAATAAAAAACCGTCGTGTTGAAAGTTAGAAGCATAGCATACAAGTGACTTTAATAAGTACCTACTTACCTACTTTTTTAAAAATATTTGTTAATACATTTAATACTTACGTAACTATATCATTTTGACTTGGATCGTGCTCAATTTTTTTTGATGTAGATGCTTGATCATTACATTTTTGGGATAAACTTGAACTTTCATCATTGTGAACAGAAGAATCTTTTAATTCATTGTTTTCTTGATGTTCTCTTGAATTTTGTTTTCGAATAGGCTTTTTATTTGTCTTTTGCACATTAATTACATTTGAATTTTCTTTTGTAGCTGCAAGTAGGGTTTGAGTTCCAGAGTTTACCGATTTCGTCAAAGGTTGATCAATGATTTTCTTAACGGAAGTTTGTTTAATCACTGGTTTGCAAGATTTATTATCTATCTTTGTTTTATCTACTGATTCGTTAGACAACGATGTCGATGCTTCACCAAGAATTTGTGACGAAAAAGATAACACTGAACATGAAAGCCGTAACTGAGCTAATTTAATTGCAGCCTGAGCTGCCGCATGTTCATCGCCTTTAGCAATAGATTGTTCAAGTTGATTTACCAAATCTCTTCGCCTAGTATGCTGGTTTATTTTATCTACATTAGAGATGGATGCATCTTCATTATTTAACAAAGTAGGTTTGAATTTAGTAAAACCAGTTTCATTAATCTGATCTTCCGGCACTGTCGAGTGAACATTGGGTTGCAATACTTGCAATTTATTTTTTGTATTTTCTTTGGATAAGTTATTTTTTGCAGAGTGATTATTAATTTCTTCGTTGGTAACTGATTTTTCATAATGAGATAATATTTTTTGACCAGTTGAAGATGATGTTGAAGGTGTGCCTGAACTAGCACTGAGTAATACCGTAGATATTTTATTTGTACTTAATATCTTTTCCTCAGAATTTGATTTACTATTTGAAGTTGATGGTTCTATAGATCCCTGTGTAGTCGAAATTATACTATTACCTATATTAGTAGTTATTGTCTTATCCTCAAGAGATGGTCTTTTCTTTAATTGCAGTTTGAGTAAGGTTCCATTCGAAAAATTTTTTTTAAACTGTTCCTTTGTAATTTCAGAACTTTTTGGAATATATACAGGATTTAACAATGATGATATTCTTAAAGGTGTATTAATATTATCAGGTCTATTACCATTAACATTGACTTCCAAATTATTGCTTTTTAAATAATTTTCTATACCAATATGAATTTTTGGAATAGTTTCTTTAATTTGGATTGAATTATGAGATTTTGCATTCGTGTCCTCCTGATCTTTCGGATTACTGAATATGTTTTTTTTATTATCATTCTGGTTTTTAGGATACAAAATTTCTTTTGATGATTCTATAATATGATTATCTTGTTCGAGTAATGTGGACCCTATTCGTAGTGTAGGAGATTCTGTAACCTTCAGTTTGTCTTCAGAAGAAGGGTCTTCACGCGTTGTTTTTTGATGATGAGCATTAGTCTTTTTGATTTCACCAATATTATCATGTTTAGGCCTTTTGGGAAGGGAATCTTTCATTTCTTTCAACATTTCTCTAAGTTTCTGTTTTTCGTCATTTGCGCATAATCGACTAGTAGAAGGTACATTCATTAATTCGTTTTCTGTTTGAGTATGAATAGAATCATTTTTATTTTTGATGTCACTAAAGTTATCTTTCTGTTTTGATAAACAATATCGACAATTAGTAACAGATTTATTATACTTTCTTGAACATGTAATACACAACCAGGTATCATTAGAATCTAAATTGTGACAATCGTTAATAAATCTTGTTATAGCAAGGTTCCTATTACCCTCCACATCTTTTCTTTTAGAGGATTCTATTATTTCAGCAGCTTGTTTATCTAGTTCACTGATGCTCGGTAATATTTTAATAGCAGATATATCTATCGCAGAATTTCTTTTTCTATTGTCAAATATTTGTTTCAAAAAACTCTTCTCTTGTTTTGTTTTGTTTTCTTTAGAATTTGCATCTTTCCTAATATATTTTTCTGGTTTACAATCCATCGAAATTTCACCCGGTAATGTATTTTGACTACACTCAACTTGCGAGTTCATTTGAGTATGAATTTTGCAATTTTGTTTACCACTGTCTATGAATTTCGTAGGAGGTTGAGGAGCTGGTCGTTTTCTTGTAGGACGTCGTACCAACGATGAGATTGCGACTGGAGATATACACACTGGGGGCGCCGGAGCACGACGTTTGCCAGGAACATATGCAGCACGCAATTGTAGTAATTCACTTGTCGCTCTCCTATCTCGATCGTGTTTTTCAATGGAATTTAAAGCGTAACGACGTGGTGGTGGTAAGCTAAAAGCGTCGTAAGTACTACCTTCACCTCTATGAAGCCCGTACTTGCGATGTAACGTCAAATCGCGGTCGTTCTGTCTTCTAATATTTATTTCGCGTACTCTTTTTTTATAAGAATCGGTAGGCGGTCCTGGTGGTGGAAGAATAACAGGTGTGGTAGCAGTCCGGTAATGTGCTGGTGAAAGGAACGCGAAACTAGCGACAGTTCGATCAGAACCAGCACTAGACAAACTGTCGCTAGACGAGGTGTGTTCTTCACGGCGAAGCCAGGAAAAAATTGTCCAAAGCCCTCCAGATAGCGGACGAGGGCGTTGTGCCTCCGATTCCACTTCACCACTCATCACCTCTGTAAAAGAGCAGATACTTTTTTTAAAATAAAGCATACATATTTAGTGAACTGTCAGGTTACAACCATTTAATGTCGATGATAATACTATAAGTACCTAATTTTTGTTTAAAATAGGGTATATATTACAATAAACTTTGGAATGTATATCTACTTAAATGCGATATTCTAATACTTGAGGAAATGTTTATTAATTACAAATATAGTAGGTACTGAACATCAGCGGGATGTTGCATTAAAACGACTTCATGATTGTAACAGTGTTATGATGAACTGAAAAATTAGGCTGAATATTTAGTTGCTCAATTTTTAACCATACATATATCTTATATTAAATAAAATTACTATAAAATACTGAGTATGAGCGTAAGTAAACATTTTACATATGTATCTACCATGTTAAATTATAATAACCATTGTTAACGTAGGTAAACAAGTTGTAACACGAAAATTTTTATGGTAAATAATGGTGAGGACGGAAGAAGCGGAGAGGGAGCGAAAAATAAGATAGAGAAGGAGGAGTGCGAGTCAAGAACCCTCCTTCCGCCATGGCCAGGGGTGGTTCCCCCCTTGTCATTGCCCTCGAGTGGTGCACGCGTGTTCCCATGTGCCTTTCATTTGTAGCAATACTGTGAGGCTGATAATGAAAAGGGGCCTACATAGGCGGACCAGCGCCGTCAAGGTTATGGAAATTGCTTGTGCACTTATTTGCTTGCTTGTTTGCTTTGCTTGTTGCACGTTGTTCTAACAAAGGTTAAGAGAAGGAACACCTTGGGGTTTTCAGCAGGTAAGAGTCCGGCAGTGCTTGTGTTACCTAAATCCCCTGGAATGGCAATGCATGATGGTTACCATGTATGTCACATAACGATACATAGTGTTGTTTATTAATATACTAGCTACTCACCCCGGCTTCGCACGGGTGTACCTACTTATATATTATGTATACATATAAACCTTCCTCATGAATCACTCTATCTATAAAAAAACCGCTTCAAAATCCTTTACGTAGTTTTAAAGATTTAAGCTCACATAGGGACGGAGAGACATAGCGACTTTGTTTTATACTATAAAATATGTAATTTTATAACATATACACACATATAGGCGGCGTTTGCCATCACCATAAGTTGGATGTTGTTCCATCAGGTGGTTTATCAGCTTGGGGCGCTGGTCGGACAACCTTCTAATATGTTCCGACATTCCTGTATTCTCGTGCATCCTCCCCATGGTGAGCGGAGGCGGGGGAACTGGGAAGAGTTCCCCCACGCGTTGAGGAGGGCCCGCTTGCAGACAATCCGACCCCGTGACCAAGGTGTGACTATAGCGGCGAGGAGGAATATCGTAGTTTTTGGCGAGTCACCTACTCGCCAAAAACTACGATATTCCTCCTCTCTCACAGTACCCGTCCGTCCAACCTCTGAGACGGACGGGTCCCCATGAGGGATTTTCCCCACGTTAAAAAAAAGTTATTTATCAGCTTGTGAGCCACTCCAATTACATAATATAAATGGTATTAACCATCTTATGTGTATGTACGTAGGAACATATCTAATACTAATAATAATATTTATTATATTAAATGTAAAAAAAATAGAAGAATAATTTTATCATGAATGTTGAAAAATGTAGTAATTATTTTTATAATTTAATAAAATGTATTAAAATATAAACGTAACGTAGAAGTACTTACAAGGTGAAATATAAAGGCGCGGCTACAAAATTGACAACAAAAACTAGAACATTTGGCCTCGATTTGCGCACACACGTCGTAAATAGGCTACTCTTCGGGAATTAAATTCACTGCCTACAATCATTACAGCTAAGATAACCGCGATTTCGATTATGAAATGCAAACATGTCAGTCGATGTTATGAAATAAATAAGCTATTAGAAATGGTTCTCATAATAAAGAAATAATACAAAGATCTAGATATGTTGCTCCAAACAAAGCGAGGTCGCGCCGCGCGCGCTCACTGTGAGCCGACCACGTCCAAGCTCGCACTCCGCCCGCCCATCTATATTTAGCGTAACTTCGCGACTCCATTTTGCTATTTTCATTTCATTCTTGTGTCCGATCTCGCATACATTTGGCTTCCTGCCTGTTGTATATGGCACTTCGATTATTTACTTTATCCACGTCATCTTGACAAAAGAAAACACTTAAATATTAAAGCAATTCTCTTTTGTGTATACCTACCTAATAAAGTACAATCAAATCTCTATTCGAATTACTCACAGCTAAATTGGAAGATAATAAGTTGAGGACGTCTCTCACCAAACGATTTGATTGATTCAGTACAGACGGCATTCCGTTAATGTAATATAAAGACAATTTAGCCACATCTGTTATTTTTAGTGTCTTGGATATATACAGAGAACAAAGAAGTATCTGCTTTTATGTTCTGTATGGATATCCATACTAATAATTTAAATGCTAATGCGTATGACCATCTGTTGTCTATTCAGAGCAAGATGGAAATGAAATAAGCAATAATAAAAATGGCGTTTGAGTTCATTTGATTTGTCCTTGGTCCATTTATTTAACGCAAATTTAACTAACTAAAAACAAGTACTACAATACTAAATATTTTTATAAGAACTACAACCAATACATTATAGTTTATAGAATTTCATTAGAAAGGAAATATTGATGGGATTTTAACTATCAGTTCCATTTCCGTTCTTTTTCCTTACTCATTCTTCTAGAAATGAGAGAAGCAAGCAATGAGCGGTAGATTAAAAAAATAAGTATGACTATTTAAGAGTGGTTAAATTTACGTTTAACTGACTGAACGATAGTGAAAAATTTGACGTTCATAAGCGGCTAAAATGAATAAATGATTTTTAATTTGAATAAGTGTTATTCTATGTATATTTGTTCATTAAGGAAATCAATTAATATGTTGAAGTATGTATTTAAACTTTGAATAATTACAATTTTGTTAATTAATCAATAATTCTTATTGAACTAAATCTATAATAAATGTAATCTTAATTATAGTATATATTCCCGTGTGTTGCAAGTGTTAATGGGTAACAATAATCACTAACCTATATCAGCGTTATCCGCAAGCGTTTTGGACCCACCCCTACGGTATAAAAAACATTAATCCTACATTATTACGTTGCTCAATAAATTATACCTAGTCTGTTTTGATTCATGTTATACCATAGCGAAAACGTGAAATATTGCAGTTACATTTTTGTAACTGAAATAAAGGCAGTAAATAAAAGATTTTGTCCATGTAATCAGCGATTCTCTATTATCATGTAATAATATATTGATATTTTACTTCTAACTAGACAACCACTATGTGTACATTGGTGAATTTTCCATCTCAAAAATAATGGATTACATTTCATAATGATTCACTTTTTCTATAATTAATTAGAACTACATCAACTCTACACGGGCTTTAATTCACAGCTTGTTCGTTTACTGGTGTCTTTACAGTTGTAGTGTGTTTTTCTGTGGAGCACTGTATTACGAGTAGTGCAGCTGCCACGCGCGAGCTCAGCTCCGCCTGGTTCAGTTCGTGTGCCCATGGCACGCGTCCCCATCGCATCAACTATAACGAACAAAAAGTTCTAAATAGTTTTGACTACCCTTTATAACCATAGACTTATAGTTTATTCACAAAACATCGACAAATAAGGCACTAAAGATAACATGAAGTTATATAATCGACGACATTTAAGGTAAAAAATATAACTATAAGCTACAAGAAACGACATCTTTTACAAAAGAAATAACGGGAGGTATAGTTAGTCATTATAAATATTTATTTATATAATTCGTGATCACAGAATTTCAAAACATTACAATAGCGTTATTTTGATTGATTAATCAATTATTATAGAAACGAACTAAAAATCTATTTACACCATTTTGGAAATCTTGTTTGTTGTGTAAGTCTGATTTACATTTTAAAATTTATTTAATAATATTATTATTAATAATATATATTATTTTGTTTAATTCAGTTACCATCGCTACTAGACGCGTTACGACTTTCTTTATAATCGATCAAATTCCGACCGCTATTGAATGTAATGTGTCGTAGTTAATAGTTAAAGAAGTTCGTATCGCTCCTATTAGGGGTGGTCAGGTATATATTTGTGGTCTCAAACATGCTAACGGTATTGAAATTGAACAAAATAATATAAATCCATAACGTAAGGAAATGTACTTTCGCAAAACAACAGCTAATTCGATAAAAATTTTATATACTAATATTAATGATTCTTAACCAATTACCTAGTGACCTGAATGGATGGACATGAACAATGCCTATTATTCTATAATATTTATATTATTAATTAAAAAAAATTAAATAACACACACACCTGAAATTCTTCTTCTAACCGAGCAAGTAGAACTGCTTCTCTTGGTTCCAAATGTCGTTCTATGCAAGCCAGCATCAGTAATGGTGACTTCAGTGCTTCTACTCCAAAACATATAGCTGTTTAACAAAAACTCATAATAGAAATACATTTATGCCTAATTTGGTACGTAATTCACCTTCCTTCCGATGAGGTGAAGGGAACAAAGGAAAGCAATACATTGAAATCAATGAGTGGTGTATTATGATCATCCTAAAAGTGACTATCGAATCACTAATCTAATTGTACCATCCCCCAACAAGTGATAAGAATTTTGTACCATGCTATGAGGTGGTTATAAAATGTTCGTGAATTATAAGCTCAAACCTACAATGATACTTCATATTAAGGGACTGGAAATTAATAATTATGGACATATTGAGCAGTTCTCTTCTCATGTTCATAATTCTGGCGTATGCAATATGAGGATCATCCCCAAGTTACGATGGATAGTCGTCAATGTGAAAGAAGGTCCTAAATTTGGTAAAGTTCATTGCAAATTGTAATATTCCTGAGCATTAAAACAAAAAAATTGCACTATTAATAAAAAAACAATAAAGTGACGTCACATTAACGAGGGGATTCTTACAAATGTGACTAGCATTTGAGATATCAAGTAATTCGTGTTACGTATAATTAATTAATAAACGCTTTATATTAACAAGTTTTAATTTGAATAAAATATGTTTAAATTACCATTAAGTGCCGCAAAATCATATGACAGGAAATATCTTGCTAGCACAGCTCGGGTCTCTGTCGTAACTGGTGAAGGCTCTAACCCTTTGGAAATTTCTTGTGTAACTCCAAATTTCTTTTGAAACCAATCAATTACAGGAGTCCATTTTTTTTCTTGTAATGATCTGAGCTCTTCCTCCTACAACAATTGTTACATGACATTTTGTGACTAAAAATTAATTGTTATAGCATACTGGTGATTGGTACACAAATCAGTACAACCTAGGTACGTAAAATATATGTTTGTAAATAGGATACATATTTCAAATATCTTAGAAATGACAGTAATGATTTAGATCAAATGCAAAATTTAGAAAAAAATTGGATACATCACTATATTGAAAAGATCTAACTAGAAAATAAACACAATAGAATTGTCTGTTTGTAACGCCATATATCTCGTAAATATTTGGGGTTTCCTAGGATATATTCTATTATACACTTTCATCTCTTATCAATAATGACAAGTTTATATGTTAGAGAAAATGTATCTATATATAATATAAACACATAAGTTGTTATTAATACCTAATTTTACGAAAATTACGCCCATGGAGTTTATAATTTCGCACCCTTATAGTTTATATACATATAGAAGAGTTTAGTGCTTTTTTTTTAATGATGCATTAAAAATACGTTAAATTGATAAAACAACATTGCACAGAGTACCATTTTTTTTTTTTCATAAATGATGGAATGTTGCATCCGGTATACGCTGGTGGGGCACCAGCGGAAGGTGTTAAGATGAGCAAGAGGTCAGATCAGTTAACAATATAATATCCTGACAAGTTCATCAGATATTTATCACAATGATTTCCAGAGGGAACTGCATGGAGGCCGATCTAATGTGGAACATTGCTACCGATTGGGTCATCAGTCCACATTAGTAACAATCCCCTTCCACTACGAAATATTTGACACATGCATGCATGTATATTATTTTGTTTATTGTTAAAGTCTGTAATCAAATTAATTATATTGTTTGTCTTTAACATTATTTGTCCATAGTCTTACATACAAATACTTTGGACATAAAAATACTTTTTGTGTATTTATATGTCCATTATTATTGAAACAAACCTCTGAATGAAAAAGAAGAGTGTCTGTTGGGAAGTAATCCAGTAAATAACTAGCAATGCCATGTGTTGTCAGTTTTCCAGGATTGTCTAATGCAGTGTTACATAAGGCAGTCTGAAAAATATAAGAATTAGCTATAAACTCATTCATAATCCTAACAAAGATCTAATTAACAGTAATTTCTAAAATAATTCAAATTATATAGTATAGCTAGTCCATATCCGTAAAATTGAATAAATTGAATTAACATTTGTAAATAAAACTCTCTAACACTTGAAATGAATGGCAGGTAAGACAGGAAGTTGATGGTAGGAAAGCTGAGAATTTGTAATGAAAACAATAATAAATACAATTTTAGTTGGTGTTACATGTTTTATTTTTCCATTCATGTCTTCCCAGTCCCTAGCTTGCTATATCATCTTTGAGACAATCCATACCATTATATTTCCTTTTCGCCTTCCTATGCCCTTATAACCAAACCAATAGGTGTATCCTATTGTTTATTAAATATAACATAACAATAAATTATATATTATATCATTCTTGAAGTTCACTACTCACCAGATGCATAGTAGGTTGCCCTATTGTATCTTTCTGAGCATCCCATTCTGCTGCTATGGCATGAGCGAGAGGTTCACTATTAACCATTAGAATACGACCATTTGGCGTTTTTAAACGACGTTGATCTAAAGTTACTTCCCATTTGTTTTCATTTTGAATTATACCCGTACACCGATAAAATCTCTTTCTGGTGACTAGAATAAATAATATCATGAGTTAGACACTACATTTTCTTTTAAATCAACTTCAAATGGATTGGCTACTTACCATATGTCCGAAACCTGAAACATTTAGGGCATTGGGACTTGAGAACAGTACTGAACATTGAATATACGGATAGCATATTTAGTCAATTATTAATTAAATAAACCAATATATTTGTGAAATAATAATTTAAAAAACAAATTGCCATATGCTTGAGTTCCTTTTCTCTATAATGACTGATGGCTGCTTGACAGTATCCCTTAGTAGTACAGCAAAAACCTGAAATAATTATAACATAATTTAAGATGAATTGTACAAGTGTTATTATATTATAATGTGTATTATTGTATTAAATCTCCATAAACATAGTCATATCCCATTTCATTACTATATTTATATGAAGACAAAGTACATAAGAGCAAAGAGTGGTATAACACAATACCAATCCCACAATAAGCTAACAGCAGTGCGAAACGGAAAGAGGAATGAAGACTCCAATTATAACAATCAGTTTATGGCGGTGGAAACTAGTTGGTTATATATCATTAAAATTATTTTGCCTTGAATAGCAGGAGCCTTTTGTATAGACATAAAGTATTCAAAGGAACTGGCCTTTGATGAATGCAGCCGGTAATAAACTATTAAAATGTTCGATGGAGTTTTATTGTATACATAAAAAATACTTACTTAAATTAAAAAAAATACAAAATAAACTAAAGTAATTAGACTTGTCAGTAATAAAGTGAGTTAGTTAATTTAAGGATAATTTATTAAAATTTATTGTAGCTGCACGTTCACAACCACAACAAAGAAAAGAATAAGAAAATCATAGCTGTCAACCTTAATTTACTCTTTGCTGTCAACTGTCAATGTTAAATAGTCTTAGCCCAGCAAGAAAATAATTAGGAATAAAAAAAAACAATAATATCGAAAGTACTTTTAAAAAAGAGAACAATACACACAGAGAACATGACACTTTCATTTGTGTAAAAAAGTAAAGACAATATACTAACAAGTACCACTCGGTTTACAAATACATGTAGGTACTCTATTTGTCGTTACTTTTAACTCATAAACATAGAGTTATTGTTAAGAATACTTGTACTAAGAGTAGCATCTTTATTCTTTATATAATTTGTAATAACTACGAAACATATAGCTATACATATTAAAAAGTGGCGGATGGCAACCGGTAACACAATTCGCTTGACACAGAAGTTAAAATTCCCGTTGTCTTTGTTGTTCACATACGTTTTATAAAATTAGGAATTTGTACAGTCACCAAGATTTAATTGCTCCGTTTTTGAGCACTTAAAAATACATAACATTCATTTACTGACTATTGGTATATTTACTAGCTATTTTCTTAAATCCGGTTATGTCTATTTTTTTTAAAATAAATCTATTATCCTTTACTAAATCCTAAAGTCAAATTTCACTAAGATCCTTTTAACTATTTAATACTGAAAAGGTAACAAACCGATTGATATTTCACCCTGTCCCATTTATATAATTATTTGAATTATATAATTGTGTCAGTGTTTAAAAATATTTATTCAGCTAATTTTAGTACAATTCGATTGAGGGTTTTGCACAATCATAAATTTGTATCTAGCAACATTGTTTTGGTCCGTTTTGTGTATCTCAGTTGTGTTGTATACTAATATTGCGTATTTCTAATTATAATCGCTATTTCAAGTTAAATAAAATATTTAATCTAAATATCAGTGATCGTGTTAATCGTGTCAACAATGTCTGCTATGGATTTTGATTTGTAACGTCGGTAACAGTGTTTGTACGTTAGGTGTTAAAGGACAAAAGTGACGCGCTCTCTTTTACAAGGCAATATACAATACAAGCTATTAATAATTTGCTATACATTAGCAATTTAAAAACTCCAATTTCTTCCTTATTTGTGATGTTCCCGCATTTCATCAGCGCGGACGAAGAAAAGAAGACGATTCTTATTCCGAGTGTTAATCTTCTACACTCAAAAAGAAAAGGAATATTTATACACCCGTCTGCTATGTACAGAAGTAACACACCAAGCTGTCAAAGAATAACACCGCTGTTGATAACGAGAAGTTTGAGTGGTTAAATTGTTGGCACAAACAGTCACGATGAAACTTCTTGAGAGTGGGCATTTAGAGGCTCTCAGTAGGGCGCTTTCGATCCTCAATGGGGACAGCGCCGTGCAAGGTCGGGTAGAAAGCTACAGTTGCAAAATGGCAGGCACCGAGAAAGCTTTCTACAAAAGGTTTACGGCTGATGGTGAGACTACTCACAATCTCCAAGCACTGTCACCTCCTGAAGGTGTTTCATACAGGTATCAGAACATAGTATATACACCAGTTCTAGTAATATATACAAAAACAAAAAACTACCAGCCTCCACACTCATATATATAATAATATAAAATCTTATAAGTTTCCATTTTGCAACTTATTTCTGCTTGTAAATAGGCTTCAGTCTAATTTATAAGTAAACACATCTAGTTTTTAATTAGACTGAAGCATACAACTATAAATTACTATGCACACTAGAGCTGTAAAGGTAATGAAATTACTGCCAACTCCCACACTCCAATGTATGTATAGTGCTAAACTCCTGTTAGGTTTCATGTAAAGAGGGCAAAATGTATACTTATATTCTTTCTGGAACTAAATATCATCCGTGTGTAAGTAAAGTCAGTAGTAAACTGTTTTCTAAAAGTTATCTTGTTTATATCAATTTTTGCCAATACAAAATGCATTGTCTTTATATTGTTGTTTGAATTCATATTAACAGTTTTTTAATTACATAGTTACCTAATAATAATTATAAATACACTTTCATCAGAATTACCAATTGGTAAAGAAGGAAAAATTAATAATAGTATATACATACAGTTGTAACATTAATATACATTTTTTGTTTGTTTTTATAATATATAATTTTTGTAACAATAGAGTTATTTCTCTTTGGGTCAGAGAGGAGTGTTTGTTCTATCTAAAGTAATACCAATATTAATTTCAATGATGAATATATTAGACAGTGTATTGATTTTTTTTTAATAGTCTAATATCAAAATATGATTATAATGTATACATCATAATAATATTTTGCTTCTTACTGATTCATAAAAAGCTACAAGACTGCATATAAAATATATATATTTTATATGCAGTCTTTTTGACAAACCATTACACTATCATGACAGCCTATCTGTAAATTATATTGGCTTTGTAAATATTTAGTCAGTCTTCTATATAATTTACCAGAGAATATATTATGATTAATGATACTAATGGATTTTATCATTTCATAGTCAGATGATTTTTTATTCACCATAAGTTACAAAATTATTATTAAGTACTTTTGAGATCACATAACTTTCATGAGGTTTTGAACAGAGTGACTTTGGTTTCTTACTGTGCATTGAAGCTTGCAGAATCTAGCTCAGACAGGCAGTACTGTACTAAAATCACAGCTAGAGCTTATATGATGATAAGTAATAGTATATGTTATTAACACTATAACTTATTTTAAAACAAAATCTATTTATATTCTATTTTGCTCTTTCTAAAGAGGGATGAAAAACAATTTTGTACCATATAGTTATGATATAATTAACCTTATTAAGTATTGTATTTTTTCAGTCGCAGCCTGTCTGGAGATGAAGATGGAGTATTATGTGACACCATATCAAGGAAGACATTGTTCTATCTTATTGCTACACTAAATGCTGCATTTCCTGATTATGATTTTTCTATGGCAAAGGTATACATTTTCTAAATATAAATCTATGTATGGCATAAGGAGTAATAAAAGAGTAGGTATTTCATAACTGACAGCTGTTTTTTTTTATTTTCTTTGATAAATTATTATAGTACATAAGCTGGTGAATTGATTTCTGACACAAATAAATTTTTAGGGTAGTTTTTATTGACCTCTAAACTACTGAAATACTGAGGCACAGCTTTAAATATATACATATCAATATATATATATTTAAAGCTGTGCCTCAATAATATAAATATATATATATCAATATTTTTTTCACATTTAGACTAGTTTCATCACGAATTTTATTTTCCATTTATGTAAACCTTAAATTATGTGTATATTATGGGCTTGTTGTTTTAGTAAAATTACTAACAAAATAAATTTTGACATCAACAGAGCAGTGAATTCAGTGCTGAACCATCACTTAGCTGGGTGCAAGGAGCTGTAGAAGCGGCGCTGTCGACGGTAGGCGGTATGCGCTGGCGACAACTGCGTCCGGCTCTATGGGCCGCAATAGACAAAGAAGTACTTTTGCCTGAATGCCGTATCTACAGTTACAACCCTGATCTAGCAAGTGATCCGTTTGGTGAACCTGGTTGTCTATGGGCCTTCAACTATTTCTTTTATAACAGGAAATTGAAACGCATTGTTTTCTTCACATGTAGAGCCATGAGGTATGTTTATGAGTAAATTAATCATGATATTTTTAATTTGAACATTGGTGTAATGACCTAATATGCAATATATAACTAATAAATAATAATTATTATTACATAGTAAGTTTTGTATTGCATATACAAGTCATCAAGAAATTAATTCCCAAAAAGAAAGGAGTTTGTGATTTGATAATGGTTATTTCACAGCAATGCTTATTTATATGTCTTATTACTAGAAGAGGTATACCACGGAAAATGTCAGGTACTTATGAAGTTAACCACTTTCAACAAGATAGAAATCTATTTTTTTTATTTTTACACTAAATTGATCTTTTCACAGCATAGTTTGTATGAAGGTATACCAATAATTTCTGACGATGATGATATTGAGAACTATATGGGAAATTTTGGTTAGTTTTAGTAATTATCGGATTTCGTTAGTTTCTCATTTCTACTGCACCTGTATTTTCAAGCAAAATAGTTCATTGGCTAGAATTTAATAGTATAGGCATTAATTTCTTATGCATAAATTTTATTCCGTGTGGTGTCGCTGTAAGAATAGCACCACCCCCTCTCTTCCCGTGGGTGTCGTAAAAGGCGACTAAGGGATTCATCGACCAGTGGACGGGCAGCAGCGTCCTACTGAGTACCTACCATCATACTGCGATCGCCAACCCGCATGCCAAGCGTGGCGATAATGGCAATATCCCCCCAAATGGATTTACACCCAAGGCGCCGGCCCCCAGTCCCCGGCGGCCCTGCTAGTCTTGACCATGGTAGCGGTCATGGAAACGGCGGGGCAGGGGGTGCGAAGAATCTCCGTAAGACCAGGCTACCACAAACGACGACCACTGGCCCTGGCAACATACAACGTTCAAACACTGCGGACCGACGAAAAGTTAACTGAACTGGAGGAAGAGTTGAGCAGATTGCACTGGCATGTCGTGGGATTATCCGAAGTCCGAAGAAAGGGGGAGGAGTCCTGAAATCGGTCAATCTGCTTTACTTCCGGGAGGGCGATCAACTGTCCCAAGGCGGTGTCGGGTTCCTCGTCCACAAGTCCCTTTTGAATAATGTTCATTATCAAGGTCGAGAGCGTGTCGACTAGGGTAGCGTACCTGATACTCGGAATTACCAAACGGTATTCATTGAAGGTCATCCAAGTGTACGCTCCAACTTCGACGCACTCCGACGATGAGGTTGAGGCTATGTATGAGGATATCTCCAGAGCCATACATAGTACAAAGACTCATTATAACGTTATCATGGGGGACTTTAACGCAAAATTGGGCAAACGAAGCGGTGATGAGCTGAGAGTGGGGCTATTTGGTATCGGTGATCGGAACTTCCGAGGTCAAATGCTGGCCGACTTCATGGAGAAGGAGAACCTCTTTATGATGAACTCCTTCTTCAGGAAACCGGAACACCGGAAATGGACGTGGATTAGTCCCGATGGTGCAACAAAAAACGAGATAGATTTCATCTTGTCAACGAGAAGACAGATTTTCAATGATGTCTCTGTGATCAATGCCGTCAAAATTGGAAGTGATCACCGGATTGTAAGAGGCACATTGAATCTGAATCTGAAACTCGAACGATCCCGACTGATGAAATCTACGCTCCGCCCTACACCTATACAGATCCAAAACCCCGTAAGCTTTCAGCTAGAATTGCAAAACCGTTTCGTAAGCCTTGGTGACTGCGTTGACGTGGACGATTACAACAACAGGTTCGTGGAAACTGTCCGTGCAGCTGGGTCTAAGCACTTCAAAACCCGCCGCGCAGAAAGAACCGGAAAAATATCTATCTCTACCCTCAAATTGATGGATGAAAGGCGAAGTATGGTCCTGCAGTCTCCGACTGACGCTTCTCAGTACCGGCAACTTAGCAGGCAGATCTCTAAGTCCTTGACTCGACTTATGCCACTTTAACACAAATTTTGTAAAGGAGGCTATTGAGAGAAACAAGGGCTCAAAAGTCTTTAACAGGGATCTGGCTGCCGGACAGAGCCAGCTGATGCGACTTAAGACGGATGACGGCAGGATCGTTTCGTCTAAACCCGAACTTTTGAGGGAAATTGAGAAGTTCTATGGACAGTTATACACGACAACACGGGCACCTGTTAACAACACGGCGAAAGACCCTAGAGCCAAATTAACCCGACACTATACCGAAGATATCCCGGACGTCAGCCTGTACGAGATTGGTATGGCTCTTAAACGACTTAAAAACAAGGCGCCGGGCGATGATGGAGTTACTGCTGAGCTTCTGAGGGCTGGAGGTAGACCTGTTCTACGAATCCTCCAGAAGCTATTCAACTCCGTCATCCTCGAGGGCAAAACGCCTCAAGATTGGCAAAGGGGTGTGGTGGTTCTGTTCTTCAAGAAGGGAGACAAATCGCTTCTGAAGAATTTCAGAACCGTAACACTGCTGAGCCATGTTTATAAGTTGTTTTCGAGAGTCATCACGAATCGTCTCGCGCGCAGGTTTGATGACTTCCAGCCTCCCGAACAAGCCGGGTTCCGAAAAGGCTTCAGTACCATAGACCACATTCATACGCTGCGGCAGGTAATTCAGAAGACCGAAGAATACAACCTGCCACTTTGCTTGGCGTTTGTGGACTATGAAAAAGCCTTTGATTCGATCGAGACGTGGGCTGTGCTACAGTCTCTCCAGCGATGCCAAATTGACTATCGATATATCGAAGCGTTGAAATGTTTGTATGAACGCCACTATGTCAGTTCGCCTCCACGACCAGAATTCGAAGCCTATCCAACTGCAGCGAGGTGTCAGACAAGGCGATGTCATATCGCCAAAGCTGTTTACCGCTGCGTTGGAGGATGTCTTCAAGCTTCTGGACTGGAGCGGGCTGGGCATCAACATTAACGGCGAGTACATCAATCACCTTCGATTTGCCGACGATATCGTGGTCATGGCTGAGACCCTGGAAGACCTTACCAAAATGCTCGAAGACCTCAGTAGAGTCTCACAAGGAGTAGGTCTTAAAATGAATATGGACAAGACGAAAATTATGTCAAACGTCCATGTCGTACCTGCTCCCGTAAAAATCTGTGATTCTACACTCGAAATTGTCGATCACTACGTATACTTAGGGCAAACTATCCAGCTACGGAACAGAGAGGTAGAACCAATTTTGCAATGGGCAATGGGCAGGGCACATAGCTCGTAGGGCAGATGGCCGTTGGGGGCGGTAAAGTCCTCGAGTGGCGACCACGGACCGGAAGACGCAGCGTGGGAAGGCCTCCCAGCAAGGTGGACCGACGATCTGGTCAAGATCGCTGGAAGGCATTGGATGCGAGCAGCGCAGGACCGATCGTCGTGGAGATCTTTGGGGGAGGCCTATGTCCAGCAGTGGACGTCTTCCGGGCTGCGATGATGATGATGATGATGAAATTTTATTTCATCTATTCTGCTCATGCTTGTCTCAAATTAAGCTGAATCTAGCATCTATTTATAGATCCAGTATTTTTATTTTTAATAACACAAATTTAAATAGTAATTTCTTGTTACAGTCCTGTGTGTGCTGTTGATTCAGGCGTAGACTTCGCAATGGATGAAGACGAAGAGTATAATTGAATATGAAACTGGAGTGTTTATATTTTTTGCACTTTTCATTACACATTTTAATGACAATAACGAATATTTTCTTATCTGTATTAATCACTTGTTTAAATGACACAGAAACTCAGTAATGAAAAATGTAAAGTAAAATAAATTTAATTAATTATAATACTGGTTCTTCCCTCCTATTGGTTTTATAGTCTAAGTAACCATTTAAATTTTGATTTTTAAGCAAATAAACGTGAATAATAACTTACTAATTATAAATGTATTTAAAACCTTATAGTTTGATATTTAAAGATATCTTGATAACTAACGGAAATTCTTTAAATTTCGAGTTTAAGCGGTATGTAATATTAGTATACATGTAAAAAAGTATTGAACAAACTTTTGATTTACTTCATTAAGTTTATATTTACCCTATTTCATCAAAAAAAATAGGGTAGATAAATACTCTTTACGTCACAGTAAATGTTGTACATCGGTTTTTATTTAAGTAGGTATGTCCTCATTCATTATTTGGATGTAGAATTTCTTAAGTGAGTAAATTGTTTTTGGAAAAACTGGAACAATAAAACGTCCAAATTTTGCAAACTTCCCTACTGTACAATAGAACAGAAACAATGTAATGTAATTATTAAATTAATAGGGTGCTTAGCAGAGTATCTATATTTATTGACAGGTTATATAATACAGAATTAAAAAAAAAACTAGGAAATTAAAAAAACAAAGATAAAATCGTCAAACACATTACATAATATAAAATCAGTTTTTTTTAGTAACTACTTATTTGATGCTATTTTTAATATTTTTGATTGTATTTTATTTAGAATAGATATATAAATATGGATTGATTGATTGAGTTTAATTTCTAAGTAAAATATCTATTTGTAACTTTTATGTGATGACTTTATTCTTATTTCACTATTTTAAGTCATATTTTGTTATTGCAAATATACATGTTTATTGTACCGTAAAATCAGTCATACATGGTATAGCTTAATTGATATATTTGCGTATAATTGGACCTAGCGTATTCCGTACTTTTGCTACAAAGCACAGACACTGAATGATTTCCATCAGCATACATTTCGGATTTGAATTTAAAAATATTAATATTGTCGGAAAGATTTTAGAAACCTTATTTTCAAATAATTATCCTACACTATCATTTAAAATATAATTTCAACAATAAAAAGGCAGTCGGCTCTATTAGGTCTTAAGGCTACATTCTAACGTTTAGCCTTGTACCTATTGATATAAAAATTAGTGCACATTATATTTTATTGTTATCGTACGAGAGTTACTATTTATTTAAATTGCCTTGTGCAGTATCGCCTATTTAGGTAAACTACATTACATTTTGTGGTAAAAATGAATTATATTGAAAACCAATGCAACACAATGTAATTACGTATTTCAAGTAGTGCTAGTTAACTAGCTGTTGCTTCCACGAGCATGTAGATGGTCTGCCATTGTAGATAAATCCCCTAACTTAGAACTCTAATTCGAATGACTGGGTACACCAATACCCAGCCTTTCGAATCGGAGTTTGGAAGGTCATCTTAAACAACCCGGCAGACTACTCGTCTTGATCTATTGCAGATCGTTTCCAACATAGAAGATTGTCTAACATACAAACACAAATAGCGTATTTCATTCCTTATTATGCATATCTATTATAAGAAGAAGATCAGACAATATTTACAACTAAAAAGCAAATAAACGTTATGGGTAGTATGGTTTCTTGTAATGAAATCTGTGATGCCGTAGCCTAGACATTGTGAAGAAATGAAAGGCTAATCCGTGTAACGTAGAGAGTGAGTAAAATTTCGCTAAATAAAATCACATTTGGTAGATCTGTTCGGACATGCGACGGTTCTTTCGATGGGTACTCTCGGGGTACGGTCTTTATTCAACATAAATTAGTATTTAGCACACACTAATTGTAAATAATTAACATTTAATTTCATTATAAGTGGCATTATTATAATAGCTATACCATAATTCATTATGGTACGGTGGTGTAGGCTTTTAACATATTTTGACACAATGTTGATCATTACATTATGCACGCTATTGGACACGAAATATATGTTTATTTAGCATAGGTATTAAGAATTAATTTTATCGGTTTTTGATATAATTATCTATTGCTCACTGTTTAATTTCTCACAAAATATATTCATTGGTATATATTAGTATTTCATGTTGGATATAGAAATTCATTTTTCATTCTACCAAGGACATTAAAGACTTGACAGGGTTTATGTTCTTTTGACACTATAAGAAATTAGTTTCTTTAAATACGTAAGGTAACAAATGTAATTTTAAAGTACTAATATAGAACTTTTAATTTGAAATTAAAATGTAATTTTGACCCGTTCAGGTGTGTATATTTTTTCTTCATGCAACACTTGCGATTACAATTCTAATTATTATTTTTGTTTGGTATTGAAATTGGACAGAAGTTACATAAAGTTATACCTTTCATTTATAAATGAAATATTGATTAATGGTAACAACTTCGGGTCACGAATGCTTATTTTTTTATTGTATACAACAAAAATAGTTCTTTTTATGAAAATAATTTTACAGTAATATATTTCATGCACCGTCGCATATACTGGATGAAACATGTGATTGCTGCGGGCACATTCAGTCTTTGTTCTTATCTACTATACATTTTATAAATATAACGTAACATAAAACATAACGAACCCCGTTGAAACCACATTCTTCCGCATCAAAACTCATCTGTATGAAGCATAAGATAAGCCGAATTTAAATAGGCAGTTACTATTGGCTAATATATGTAATAAAATTTGTAATGATGATATATATGTATATCTAGATTCAAGGTTGAATTAGTTTGTACAGACAGACAGAGTAAATTATATTCTTAGTGCATAATATAATGTATGAATCTGTTAACTGATCTCACTGAATCCACTATCGATCCTAATTAGTCTTAACAAAAATTGACAGTGAATAACATCAAACTAGTAATGAACATTGTTACTACACTCCTACATGTTTAGAGAATGTACTGAATTTAACACCGTATCATCTGTAATGCAGACATATGAAGTACTTACTACATCACATTGCTTGAAGTCATCTGTTGTGAAGGGCTCTTATTGATTTCAGTAGGTGACTCTATCACGAATTGTAAGAAGATGGTTTTATTTATAAAAGTATTTGAGATTCCGAGGATGAGCCTATTCCGTATAATCTTATCTATAAAATTCAATGCGAAAATAACTTCAACTTTGTATTTCATTGATTGTGGTAATTTACACCAAATGTAAGACGTACAACAAACTCACATGATCACTAATTTTATATAGTGGCGAATAGGTACCTGAAATTATATGCATATACTATTTAGAATTTATTGTTACTGACTCTGAAGAACAATAACTTATTGTTCTGAAGTCTTTTGAAATAATTGTTGGAGCGTTAAATTGTCATACATTATTGTAAAAAAAATATACAAGGCCTGATTATTATAAAATCTAATCGAGTTGATTAGTAGATTGTCTTTATTAAAATTAACCTCATGTAAATAGTAGGTTCATTATTTACTCTAATAAATCCGCCTATTTTTTTTCAGGGCGTCACTTTATATAGCTAATATTGAAATTGTTAGTGATACAAAATGTTCAATATATTTTGCCTCAATCAAATGTTTTTTATTTCCCTTTAATCTATGATTAAACAAGTAATAACCCAAAATAATGAATTGATAGAGATACTTAAATACATTCGTAGTGTAATACCCAAACTAATTCAAGCAATTATACTCATGAATACTAATTTTGAATCGTACGAGGAATCGACCCAATGACCTTTGGAATTAAGGCAATATTGCTAAACCACTGAGGAATCACAGAAACTAAAATTTAATTTAGGGATACTGTATGTATCTTATGATATTATCCTACTAAAATTATAAACGCAAAAGTTTAGATGGATGTATGTATGTTTGTTGCTCTTGTAAACAAAACTACTGAAAGTAGTTAGATGAAAGTACAGTATTATACGTCAATATAACAACAATTAGAAAATATAAAATCTTAAATGCACACTCACATTATTTGAGTGGTAACAGTATAAATAGCTGATTAATATTAATTTCCGGTTAAACTACTCTATTTAAAAATCGCAAAACGCTGGCAACAGAGGTAACATTGAAGTCTCCGACATAAAATAAACGTACTATAGTGTAGTGGGGTTTCTTTTAAATAGTTGTAATAAAAGTCCGCGACAGCCTTTTTTTTCATCATCATGTGAAATAAAGTAGGTTTTCATTTCAGACAAAGGATACATGATTACTAACTTTCTTCAGGATTGATTACAATTTTACATACAATGAGATATTAAAAAAATAAAAATATTAATAAATATCTCATACAATTTGACAAATAAATGTATCCGATGTCTTTCATTCATTTGGAAATTCTAAGAAGGGTTTATTTAAAATCTTCAAATTTAGGTGTAAATATTTTTTTTAGAAAATATAATGATAGACATATATATAAACAATCAAATAAATCTTTATCCAACTATACAACAGATTAAAAATACTCATAAAAGAACTTATAAAAAATAAGTAGGCAACTAAAAGAATTCTGAAAATCTATATACATAGATTCACTTTCCACAATATATATATATATATACATATATATATATACAAGATTAACCCATTAGCCACTTCACTCTAAATACATCTCGTTACATTACATTAAGACGCAGCTACGTCATTGCTCATTATATTTTTATTTTTAAACTACACAGATTACATAATGTATGGAAGATAGTGTAACATTTATACATTGATAGGTTTCCTAAATTGTAAAATCCAAATATCTATACATTATACGCAAGCTACGTCTTAAAATAACCACACAAAATTCCACAGTCCATGTATAGTTATTATTTAATCTTAATAGTTCCCTCGATTTAAATTATTGTACACCGTTAATTACATTTACCGTCTGTCACACGTCAGTGTCATTTACTCTTTTTATGTAAATCGCAATCATGTAAACCTCTAACCGAAGAATATTAGCTTCGTTTTCACTTAGCGGGCACGTCTATATAGCCAAAAACGTTATTCAAGGAAAATCTAGAACAAGAGATCCAGAGAACGAGATAGTCCAGTAGATTTTTATGGACAACGATGTAATAGTTTGGTGTCGATCCAGCGTATACCATTGTCGCAACAATGTGGTACACGCTGACGGAACACCACTATCTAGTCGTTGAAAGAATGAAGACCTTCATCAACCCGATATCCCTTAGCTGTGAATTCACCAGGAATTGCTTAGGTCGGATCACGTGGAGATCGACACAGTGTCCAATACATCTTTTTGTCGATATTCATTATTTATAGATTTTAAAACATATAAAAATATTAATATAATAAGAAAAATACAACCAATTGTCATGAAAATCTTGTTATTCTAACAATTTATTCATTATATCACTTATCGGTAAAAAACATTGCCTTTCTAAATAGTGAATAGTACCGTAATAGAGCTTACATTCACCATACGACGCAACAAACCATGCTTACTTTTTAAACGTCATCTTTGAATTAAAAAGATGGAATAATCATTACTCGAATTATATCTATATATATAAAATTTTAACATCTGTGGATATTCTTTAGCGTTTTAAGCTGTAGTATTGACTACTCGAGAACAAGTCGTGCCGGGTAAGTGAGAACGAGCGGTAATTTTCAATAACCGCTTGATTGAAAAAATTGCACCGAGGAATGTAGAAATCCCGCCACACCGAACTAGCGATTAACTTGGCCCGTGGAGAACGCTGTAGTAGGGGCGTGAGGGTGTCCACAATGCACCGCCAGCGTCATAACGACTGCATGATATACGTAAACTAATAAATCATATTGTTGTCTGTAAAAAAGTTGTTTAAAATCGATAAACTATTCATTACTTCATACTAGTCACAGCTTTTTTATATTTAATATTTACAATCGTAACGGCGACAAAAGCTAGGCAGCGTTGAGTTGAGTCGCCGGGTGAGCGCTGCGGACACCAGTAGCGTTTACTTATTAACTTGTATCTCACGAACTAATTCGGAGGAGCGTTCCCAAAGATGTCCGATCTAGTTCGTCGATCTTTCGCTCGTATAGTACAAAATATTTCTAGGGATGCAAGTCGATCGGTCTACTGGCATTCTCGAGTCGGGCACGAGCGATCCAGTTCGCGAACTAAACAGAGCGGACTAGTAGTGATGGAAGTAGAGAGACTAACGCTTGTCGGGCGGCGGGTGAGGGGGCAGCGCGGGGTGTGGCGAGTGCGCGGGGTGCGCGGGGGTGGGGGGCGCGGCGGCGGCGGCGTCGTCGGGCGGCGCGGGCGAGCGCAGTTTGGCTCGAGGCCTCCACGCGTCCAGCAGCGCTTCCACGCGCTCCTCGGTGGGCCCCCAGCGTGAGAACCCGGCCGCGTTCTGCAGCCACACCACCACCGTGCCGCCGCCCCACCGGAAGTACACCTCATTCCTGCGCACGGACACACATCTGAGATCATCCAGATCTCGCAGATTATATTGTATTGTACTGAATATGTATTGTAAGCGAAACTATGTAAGTCCGCTTATCGAAACTTGTATTTGTGTAACATTTTAAAGAGATTAAATCATGTACTCTATTTCTATTTTATTTACCAGCAGAGCCTCTAGTACTTAATGCAGTGTAGTTTCATGTAATTTGTAAAAAACTGTAGTGCTTTATAGCATAATTATATAAATTTTAACTTACTTTGGAAGTACATGCTGGAATCCATGACGATATTCGTGTTCGAAAGCTGGTATCACAACCTGGAAAAAGGACGTTATGTATTAGCTGCCTTCACATATGTTATGTACACACATGAAAGTCTATTTGCTATGCTAAGGAATAAAGGGCGCACCTCCTGCTCGGCAAGTGATGAGAGACGAGATGGCCGCAATTACAGATAAATGGAATATAACAAAATGAAACGCCAACCCCAAATGAATAGGATAAGGTAATAATGAATATCCACATAATTGAATATAAGTCAGTTTTCGATCGCATTATTTCTAAGTATTGAATATGATGTAGACATACCTGTTTCCTCTTGAAATGGCTGGCCTGCAGCTTGTGCAGGGCGTGCGTCTGTCGGTCGGGCCACTCGGGCAGCACGACAACGAAGCTGAGCGGCTCGGCCGACTCCTGCAGCAGCCGCTCCATGTGCCGCAGCGCCGCCTCCAGCAGCTCCTCGCAGTACGGCGGGTGCGCCACCATCGACCCCGACACCGGACGCAACTCCAGGAACGGACTGCAATATATATTTTTTATGTAATCGGAATATCAATCAAGTCATTCACCGGTATGTGATAACTGTCGCCTATATACATGCACTATACAAATCCCCTGAAACCCACAAGACTAAAATGTTGCATGGCCATTAATTTCATTAGTTTAATTGATTGATAGAATTTTTAATTATTAAATAAATGATAATTACAACAAATTGTTCATAGTAGAACTCCTGCATTGCCATATCTGCGAACTAACGTCCCCTTATAATTCTCAGAAATATGACTTACCCCCGGGACCCGAAGTAAGAGTCAGTGTCGGCGAACGCTGAACAATACTGGCGGAAGTAGCAATCGAGAGGGCTCGCGAAGCACTCGAAGGTAACGCCGAAGCTACGCTGTAAGCACTCGAGTACGGGCACTGGAAGCGCCATCTGTGCGAGCTGCGCCTCACCGCTCGCACCTACCCACGCCGCATACCGCCGCAGCAGACACCACACGCGTGACAAGAATTGTTCGAACTTCTTGTCGTCGAAACAGCTGTGCCTATAAAGACACTCCTGCAAAGGCACCAACAATGTATACACATTATACACTGATATCTCCATACATATATTTTTGTTTTTATTGCTGTCTATTCTCTGTGTCTATGGGACATGTGTTTGCTACTTTTCACTATCAATAACAGACAATCTGCAGATGTCTTCAATAAATTATAGTTTTTTACTTAGAAGCTCTTTTTTGGAAATGCATTTCATACCACCTACCAGTTTTTGTAGGTATGTTGCATTAAGAACTTGTGGCTCGCCGAGATACCGTATTAGCGCTTGATCGCGGTCCAGAAAATGTTCAACAAGTGGTGGTCGTGGCGCTGGCACAGCAAATTGTACCGGGTAACACCATACTTTTCGTAGTGCTGCCTGCTGCAGCGGAGCTGGCATCTCCTGAATATTAATTTTCACATTGAGAACTAATAAATTACTGTCAAGTCTTTCTGTCTGTTCTTTATTTCTATAAAGAATATTTAAGCAGATTTCTGTGCTAAATGATTTTTATGGTCTCACCAGTTTGACCATAACCTTACCTAGTACAAAATAAAGTCGCTGTCTTTCCCTATATATGCATAAATGTTTAAAAGTACGTAATGGATTTTGAAGCATTTTTTTAGAGGAAGATTTTTAATAGAACGACTCTAGAGGAAGGTTTATATATAATACATGTAGACCCATGCAAAGCCGGGGTCCAGTAGCTAGTTATCAATATAATATCAACAAGTAGGTGTGTTTTAGATATATGTAGTAAAACAAAGGCCATACATTAAGTTGGAGATGTAAAAATTATACCTGAATTCCATTTTCTTTAAGAAGTGTACTGTGTTTTTCTCTTATTTTCCTAGCATATTCCGCCGATAAGTGATATATCTTCAAACATATTCCTTCCACTGAAGCTTTTACAGTCTCTGCTAAATGGGGTTGACATTGTCGCTGTAACAAACATGAATTAAATTGTTTTTTAACATAACTGAGATGGCAAAATAGGTTGTGACCCATACAAATAGTGTAAGCAGTAACCTATATACATGAACAATTATACTTGTATACTCATGTATAGACTTGGCAAGGAACAGAGATGCCCCCTCTTATCCTATAATGTTATCCAATAGCTAGCATACTTCTCTTCTAGTACAGGTGGTTTAATTTCCCTTCCTAAGTAATTCCATTATATCAATACCTAGCGTTCCATTTCCAGATCATATTTAGGACAAGGGTAAAGTATCATTATAATTAAATATAATATTATTATTATTGTAAAATGTAGACAATACCTGTATCCTAAATATTACCTATACATTACCCCTGCATGTCATTTTAAAATAGAAATCATGCACTAAGCATGAAATAGCAACCTCTTGCAGAAACAGCACTTACTCGCAAGTGTGCCAGTCTATCTTGAAAGTCATCATATGTGGCACCAACTGTTCGTCTTAACCACTGGAATGTATCCTCAGCATTCCACTTCACCACTTTACGACTCTCTGGGGAAGCATTTCTTGACTCTATCATCTTCTTTGCTGCTTCAGCATATCTTGACAACTGTTTTCTAGCATCTCCCGTAAACTTCGGATGTGTCAATTTAATTGGTATGTCATTCATAATTTCTTCATACATTGAACGTGATATCTCTGGGAAACAATGACTTGGCAATAAAGGATCGGAACCACCCTGATCATTGACTTTTCGCTCCATCAACCAGCGATTAAATGAGTCTTTGGGTGCATCAATACTTTCTCTTGTATGACATAACTCTTGATAACATTGTCTCAATTTATTTGCTAAAGTGAATCTGAAACCTTCAATTTCAGGATGTGGGTGTGGGCAAATGGTAGGAGGGCGCTCATATATAACAACATTTGTGGGAACTTCTATATCCCATGGACCAGCTAAAACAAATTTCTTTGGGGGAGGACCATTGTCCTCAGATGGACGCCGTTTAGTTGCACAAGGGGTCATGTTACCCGCATTTGGGGGACCTGTGTGACATATACCAAGAGGATCTGTTATGGGATCAAAATCTCTTTTCACAGCTGGTAATTCCCATAATGATTCACCTGAAAGTTTATTCCAAAAGTAGGGTCTATTTTCTCTCTTCGACCAATACTTTCGCCACCCTTGTTGTAAGAGATCTGGATGCAAATCGGCGGCAAGATGTGGAGCGAGCGGAGCAGGCGCTCCAGGAGTCTGAGGTGTCTCCCCGCTGCCACTAGGTGAGGATTGTATTTCGGGTGATGAATCACTGTGGGTTGCTGCATTTTCCCAAGATGAAGAGCTGGCAACAACTTTATCACGAACATCATTCATGTTGACACAGTACTTGTAGCAAAGTTTATAAAAATAATCTCAAGTAATTCTTGACAATATATTTATATAGTAATAAACGTACTAATGTCAAAAAGTTTTTAGATCACTCACTACACTTATAGGTTTCTAATAAACACATTATTTACACTACAGACAACAGTAAGCAATGTTAGCGCCAATAAAATCATATCAAAGAAAATTCACTAACATAAAAGAAAATCATTTTAAAATATGTAAATTGTTACATTAAAGTTAAAAATTATAAATTAAGCATCATTGGTGCAGTCAAAATAATTCAAAATTACGATAAACTAAGATTTGTGAATAAAATAAGTGTTTCCAAGCACCGCCATAACAGACAGAATTGACAAACTGTTAGTGTTACCAGATTAAAATTTGTTATATTCCTAATGTTCTCTATCCTCGGAGAAAACAGCTACAATTTGTTGAATTTATCTGAAAAATGCTGACGATCTACTGGGTTATTAAATTTTCAGTATTCCGAGGCGCTGCCAGTACGAATTCTATTGAAAATGTATAAATCTTAAATGTAGGTCTTCACATCAAATGACTTCGGAAGCTTTGTCCTTATATACATGCCACTCTCAATTGTTTTAAAATAACTTTACTGTTGAACTGTTTTTAAAATCTTGATTCTATTGTTATTGTAAGGGTGGTATCAGCTGCTATAAAATTGATTAAAATTAAATTCAGGGATGATGGTCATTAGGAAAACCTAATGACCATCATCCATGAATCTATGAGAATCGATTTTAAATATTAAACATGAAATATATACAATTCTTTTTTTCTTTATTTACTTCTCTTTTTAAACAGAAAAGATTCTCAAAGATTTAACATTAATGTTCTTATAATAAATATCGACGTTTATTTACAATCGATGAATATCGATCACCCCTAAACGTAGTTTGAATTACACCGAATTGCTCTGTGTTTGTAAAAATGCTAACGTCAATGTTGTCCAATGTAGGACTTCAAGTTCTCTGAGTATTTGAATATTTGAAATAAATAGTATTACAATAGAAAGTAATATTATATTAGATATATATATAAAATTTAATTGTATAATAAGTGGTTCAGATAATAACTAAATAATTTGATTGTTTAAATTACAATATCAAAGATGTGGTATTCACAGATAAATGGTACAACTGTTTTATTGTGGTAAATCCATAACAGAGGAACAGAAAGAAACAACATTTTTGTGAAGTGGCTTTTTGTGAAAATAACGATATGAAGGAAATCGAAATAGAACGTGATGATTACGTTTTCGAATTCAACTACGATGACTGTGTTTTTATGGAATTAGATTTTAATAAACTAAAATACGATGATTTTTTTCATAGTTGCATGTATAAAAATATGCCCTGCATTATTAAAAATGTCAGTTCAACTTGGGAATGCACAAGAAAATGGATAGATAGTGATCTGATAAACTATGATCACTTTACTGATAATTATGGTGATTTAGAAGCACCTGTTGCAGACTGTAATACAGTAACATACAATGCACATTGTAAGAGTAATATGAGTGTTGATGATTATGTGGGCTACTTAAGAAAGAGTGAAAGAGAAAAACTACTCTATCTTAAAGATTGGCATTTAAGAAAAATAAGACCTAATGATGAGTTCTATGAAGTTCCCTTTATCTTTGCTTCTGATTGGCTCAATGAGTATGCTCTAGATCATAAAGAAGATGATTTTATGTTTGTTTATATTGGCCCTGAAAAGTCATGGTATGTTAATTTTCCTACCTATTGTTATGTACTGACTTTACATTTTATGTAATGCAGTTGTTTACTTAGTCTTTCATCACCAAATTTAAAGCTAATCTGAATATATATAACTCAAAGGTGCCTGACATAGTGATCTCTCAACACACAGCCCAAACAATTGGACAGATCGGGCTGAAATTTGGCATGCAGGTAGATGTTATGATGTAGGCATCCGCTAAGAAAGGATTTTGATTAATTCTACCCCCAAAGAGATAAAATAGGGGTTGAAAGTTTATATGAAACTTTGTCAATTCAACATTTTATTATTACCTTAATTATTAAGAATATTAATAATAACTATTTGTCAGAAGATGACTATACTTATTTCCTGTTATTCTCACTTATTTCTACTGTAAAATACCTGGCTTTGCATATCATAGTCTTGTTTGAAGACTAAGATATAATTATAGAGTATGTCACCATCTCAGTGAGTAATAGACATATAGAAATTTCTTTGTCATTAAGATATTTAACATGAAGACAAAAAATACCTTGTGCTGATACCACACAGCTACTTATTGGAAAGAGCAAGATTTATAACAAAAGAGTTAAATAAAAAGATGCAAAAATCCTATAGCGCCATACTAAATTCATACCACATTCCTTCTAACCATGTCAATATACATTCTAATTAGCAAACCAATAGTTTATATATGAGAACTGTAGACTAAATAGAATTAGACAATTATTTTCTATGTAAAGAATTAATAAGTTTTAATGTATATTCCAGGACACCATTACATGCAGATGTCTACAATTCATACAGCTGGTCTGTAAATATAGTGGGTAAAAAAAGATGGATATTATTTCCACCACTTGAAGAAGAAAAATTAAAAGATTCATTAGGAAACTTGCCATTACTTTTTGAGTATGAAATGTCTGAAGGTATAAAATATTTTGAGATAATACAAGAACAAGGTGATGCAATATTTGTGCCTTCTGGTTGGCACCATCAAGTAGTCAATTTACTAGACACAATATCTATTAATCATAATTGGATAAATGCATGTAATTTAGAACTTGTATTTAAAGCACTACAAAATAGTTTATCTTCTATAGAAAATGAAATCCAAGAATTTAAAGATACTCCTGAATTTTATTCACAATGTCAACTAATATTGAAATCACTCTTTGGAATGGATGTTACATCTTTTATGAATTTTTTATGTTACATTGGTAACAAAAGGCTTGGTCAAATTAAAAGTGAAAATAATATAAGCTTTGGAAAATATAAACTGGGAAAGAAACTTATCAAACTTGATCTAAATAGTATATTAAATGTTATAAACATAATATATAGTAAACCCACATTTTTAAATAATTATTTATCACCAAATAATATTAAAGACTTACTTTATATAAAAAAATTAATTGTACAACACCCAGACATTAATATGTCTTAATAATAACAGAGTCATTCAATGATAATAATAAAGAAATCAACAATGACAAAGCACGCTTATAAATTAGATGTCTGTTTAGCATAAACACAGCCTTGTTTAATTAATTCATTTATTTTTGTTTCATCATACCCCAATTCTTTTAAGACTTGAATTGTATGTTGTCCTGGTTGTGATAAGGGCTTCAACCCAGCTGGTATTCCAGGTGTATTTGATAGTCCAGGAGCTGGTTTAGGTACTATGGTATTATTTGCATTCCTCTTGAATGAATCATTAGACATGTAATATTTTTCATTGTCGATGGTATCAAAATCCAATACTGGAGTCACACATGCATCTAGATTATCGAATATTTGGCACCATTCATCTTGAGTTTTTTGAAGAAAGACTTCTTCAAATTTTTTAGTATTTTCTTCAACATCACCAACTTGATTATATTGATCTTCATGAAGACCTAATCCTATTAAAAAATTAGTATAAAATTTTGGTTCCAAGGCTCCCACAGCCATATATTTATTATCCTTAGTTTTATAGGCCCTGTAAAATGGGGCACCACCATCTAAAACATTTGTCCCAGGATCTCCTGACCATACAGGCAAATTTCTCGATCTAAACAACCAAGAGGCAATATAAGCTAGACCTTCAGTCATATTGGCATCTACTATTTGACCTTTTCCAGATTTTGTGCGTTCTAATAAAGCTAAAACAATTCCAAATGCACACAAAACACTGCCGCCTGCAAAGTCGGCTAATAAATTAATTGGTGGTCTTGGAGGCTCTGCTTTGGTTCTCAATAGCGATAGTACACCGGACATGGCTACATAATTTATATCATGACCACCTTTATACTTAAAGTTTCCATTTTGACCAAAACCAGTTAATCTAGCATAGATTAATCTAGAATTTTCCTCTAAAAGTGAAGTAGGTCCTAGCCCGAGTTTTTCTAATACACCTGGTCTAAATGTATCTAGAAATACATCAGAGGATGCACATAATTTCTTTATTACACTTACACCTTCTTTGCTCTTTAAATCTACAGATATCATTTTTTTTCCATTGGACATAACATCAAAGGGCGAAGGTTGTATCTGAAAAATAATTAGATTAATATAATAACATGTACACAATAATTAAAAACGCAATCTAGGATATAGAATCATCAAGCCACCCTCATGGCGGTTATAAGCATTGAATTGATAAGTACCCATTACTAACTATCCCCTCCTTCTCCTTATGTTCGATGCTTGCCATATTTGCAGCAACTAAATTGCATATGAGTATACTGTTTCGACTACAATAAGATATTGGGCAAAGTGAAATTACTCTGTATGCTCAGGTTTGATATTCGATTTTATTTATGGGATGTCTTTCTTTTGCACTTTGTTCATTACATGTTAAATCAGTATATAATACAATTTTTTTTATTCACTTGTCACTAGAATATTCTATTTTATCTAGTGTAAGTAGTAATAGGATTATTCAAATAATTAAATACGTAACAATTCATATTTCAAGTGTAAATTCTAAAACAACAGTTTCCATTCTATAAAGACAAGATATGTCTAAACCTTTAAAATAAAATAAGTAAAAAAAAAGTATTTTTTATTTATTACTCTAATCGAATGTACTACTTACCTATACTGACGAGGAGAATGGTGTGATGATATGATGTTATTAACTATTAGTACATTTTCATTTACATCATTATTATATTTTTAATGAATAAAATCTTTAACATTTTTTTACTTATTTTATCCTTTAGTTTTTATTTCATTAATATTTCTCACCGACATCGAAGCGACCCAAAAATATGAGTTCAATATTTGATTCCATATGTATGGCTTTTGTTTGCGAAAGTACTACTCATCAACCCATTCTCGAAACCGCATCTGACTCACTAAAATTCATAACACTACTTTCTTAACCATCTTCAGTTTCGAATATAATTAACAAAAAAAAGCCTCGGGACCGAAGACTATATATTGTTTAAAGGCACGACTAAATATGTATGTTATTATCTTTTATGGCGACGAGTAAGTATCAATTGTTATCTAAACCTATCCAATGTTTTATAAGTGCTATTGTTTCAGTATTTCATTATGAAATTAGTAATCTTGATAGAATGCTTTAATGCAAGACTCAAGTGTCAATATCCAATGTAGATTTAGTGTACCTTGTCAACGACGGTAACGCTGGCTCCGAAGTCAACTAAAATTGATCCACAAAAAGGGCCTGGAGCCAAACCCATCATTTCTACAACTTTGATACCTTTCAGAGCCATTGCGATAACCTAAAAATAAAAACGAGTTTTTAGAAAAATATACTTTAATCTGTATAAACATACAGATTAAAGTATATTTTTCTTTGTTTTTGTATATTATTATGAATAATTATAATAATCTTTATTAATATAAACATATTAATAAAGATTATTATAATTATTCATTCAAGCACACAAATATTGAGGGTTTACAAACGCATAATATTCGTAATTACGGGTATCTGCATAGGTTTTTCATAATTATTAATCAAGGTGCTAAAAACAATCAACGATATTTCTTAGACCTGGAAATAAATATGAGTGTGTCCATGTTGCATGAGGTGCAGTGCTAAATAATTAACAAACCACTATTTACTTATACAGGCGGGTTTAAGAATGCACGCCGTCCAAAAATTTTAAGACTTCTTTGTATTTGTAATCCATAGGTTACGGTAACTGTTTAGGCTGTATGCTTGTTTGCCAACAACGTAGTATAAAAAAGCTTCTACTTGAAATGCAATATCCTATTGAAGAATTCGTGAGAACTAAAGAAATTATCCGTCTCGAAGAACCATTTGTTTAGTTACTACACCCACATCATTATACGTGAACAACAGATATCAGTAAGCTTATTTGTGAATCTACATTAACACCCCTAAATATATTAGTAGCATTTACGTATGACGTACCATGACCTAGAAAATGGTACTTTTACAACGTTGTAGTTATTGAAAACAGTATACACAATAATAGTATACACAATAACAAGTACTAATACAACATTGTGGGAGGGAGGGGATTAATAATCCCATTGCTAACAATGTACCATGTCAGATTGACATCACCGCGGTTACTCCTGGAATTTGCCACGATGGGCTAACGGAGCTGACTTCATACATCATCATCTTATCATGCTCCACTGGTGCCCCACCAGCGTATACCGTTAGCACAGACGAGAGCACCATTCTAAAATCATCCCTTAAAAAAAATAACGTAATAATAGTAATGTATTCGAAATAGTAGCAATGTAATCCAAACGGCTGTAAGTTGTCCTATTATTTATATATGTTTACGCTTAAGTGTTGCATGTGATAAGAACTAATATTTAATTAATTTATACAGGGGTCATATAAAAATATTAATTTTATAAAAGAATGTTTTGCGTTTGCGGTAGTTAATAATATTCTGCGAGACGCGAGTGTACCTATTTACTACAAGTCCTAATTGACCCGTACTTTGGACAGCTTAAACATAAATATAATTATGTATACCTATAATTGATAATTAAGTTTGTAGACAAAAATATAATATAAGATACTGGTATAAAGAAAATACACAGCAGCCAGTTATAAAAAGTATGGTCAGTTAGCGGTCAGCTGAAGTTGGAACAGGTTTGGGTAATTGAGCACTATTTAGTTAATATAAGACTGTATCCACAAATAAAATAGGTTATGATGGACTCACAAAAATACCTTACAACACAAACTGACAAACTATTTACATAATATAGAGCAAATAAATAACTAATTACTAGGGATGACGATGAACATCAATGTTTAGTCACCGATCACATCGACAAAGTCGGTATAGGTAAACATCGATTATTCGATAATATCGAAGTATCGACTAAAATTTACCTAGAACATATCTAAAAAGGAATTATACAAAGTTTTTTCTTCACAGACAATTTTTTTCATTGAAATTGTTAATTATTATTTTATCGATAATTATACTAACAATAATAATGTATTCTCTAATAATCTGTTTTTATGTAGAATGTCCCATCTCTTATTCCAGCCATATTTTAGTGGACTGTAACAGAGGCCAATTATTGCTCAATGGAAGTGCTTTTATATTGAAATAAAATTATCATTTCTTATTATGTGGTGTACCTCTACTAATATTAGAAAAATATCTACTTAATTAAATTTAAGTAAAGTTCATATAAAATGTATATTTTTTTAATTAGCTCATTTTAGTATTTGTTGGACTTAATGTAGCCCGAAAACCTGACGCGGATTTGACAACATTCTTTGTTGTTTAATATTTTATTCATTTAAAAATTGTGTTATTCGAATTAAAACAGAATATTTTTATCAAGATAACTAAAAGTTAGAATATTTCGCAATGTCTGTTGCTTTTGCTCCACGAGGCAGTCGACCTCCTTTGAGTCCTGCTCAAGTACAAAAGATGTTGGATGAAAATGCACACCTCATACAAACAATTCAAGAGTATCAAGCGAAGGGTCAAGTTATGGAGTGCCATCAGTACCAGCAAGTTTTGCACCGTAATTTAGTTTACCTGGCTTCAATTGCAGATCCCAATCAAAATATGCAAAATGTATTGCCGGTAAGTACTTGCATATTAATAATGTAGTTTTATTTTGTGGAATAAAATAATGATACATAAAAACCGGTCATGTATGAGGCGCAGAGTGTATTAAACAAATAACGTATTCAGGTTTTTATTCCTATAACTTACATAAGCGTAAGAAAACTTTGCTAATAATGGCTTACTAAAATCTGTTATTCCTATTAGAAATGCAATATTGTAATAAGGATTTCCTTGGTTATATTTTGTAGCTGAATAGTGTTATAAGATTTAACCACCTGTGTTTACTTGTTGACCTTGTTATAATTTATCAAAAGATGAGTAGGTAGAATATTTGCTGTTACCTTCATTTAAGCCTTTGGTAAAAGGCTTTAATGAAATATGTTAAAATACTAAATCTTAATCCAATTTTTTTTTCAATATTGTTGTAAATAACCTCTTATTTCCGAAGTTACTGAAGTATGCAATATTTTTACACAATACTCAAAGATTGTGAGACCGCAATGAGCCCCCAATTAAAACACAGTTACTAATGAATAAATTCATCATTATCATTATCTATTCTATTGTCCTAACTTACACAAAAATATTGTTATAATAAATAAAGTTCCATTTTATGTTTATGGTTAAAAAACATTAAATAGATCTTGAGATATATAAAAAAGAGGTATGTGATCTAAAGCAAGAAAATATTTTTAATTGCATCTTATGTATATTACACAGGAAGTAGTTGACACTTTGGTTAAAACATAGGCCTAGTTAAGTTTCTTTTTAATTCTATTCAGCTATAATAATGATTAACTGGTTGTAACAATTATGAAATAATTAATACTTTATAACAAGTACTTGTAGCTTTACCACTTATATTCTTTGTTAGGATTTATAAAAACAAAATACAATGAGTATTTTTTAGTAATTCAACAATTATTGGGAAATAAAATAAATTAGGCTAGCTTCTATAATAATAATAATCTTGGACAATTGGATAATTGCACAGAACCATCTAGTCCAATGCAATGTGTTATGAATACCAAACAATATATTTTTTTAAGTACATACATAATATACATAGAAAACTTCCATACCAATACAAACAATCATAGTCATGTTCATTTAATATGAGGAATCAGGCTGATACTCTTCATTCACTGATGCTCTTCGTTAATATATGACTGATTTTTGTTGTAGCCACCTCATCAACTTGCTAGTGGTAATCCACCACAAGGAACGCTGAACCCTCCAGCAAGTGGAGCAGATGGATCCAGTCAGCAGCCTTATCGTCCACCTAGCGGAGTTTCTACCACGCCAACACGACCAACACAATCATATGGCCAAAGACCTTACCCTCAAAATCAATACCAAGGTCAATATCAGGGTGCACCTGGTGTTTATCCTCCACAAGGTGGTTATGGTCCACCGGCACAAGGGTATGGTCCTCCCAATCCACCTCAACAACCTCAAGGTTATCCCCCAAACTCTACTTATGGCCCTCCAATCACTACTGCACCTAGTAATTATCCTCCTTCAACTCATCCAGGGTCAGGATATCCACCTTCTACAGTGCAACAGCCATATGCCCCACCACCTGGTAGTCCTGTAGCCGCTGGTTCACCTTATCCTGTTCGTGTTGCTACTCAACCAGGATATACTGGCAATTCTGCTTATCCCCCTCCACAATCTGGTTCCAATTATCCTAATGTAGGAGTAAGTACATACAATTCAACAGTGTCACAACCGCAACCATATCAGTCTCAACCATTTCCGAATACTACACCTACGTCTGCATATAGTTCGACTCCAACCTCTCAACCAAATCGATCACCTCAACCTCCACCTAGTGGATATACAGCCCAAAATCCCACGAGTTCAGGTTATGGTTCCCCTTCAGCACAATCGCCAACATACAATTCCAGTCCACATGGCAATAATGCCCCACCATCTACAGTAGCATCAGGTACCTCGACTCCAGCAGGACCCACTGGACAACAGTACCCTCCTCCTGGCCAGCCTTCCCCATATCCACCAGCGTCACAACCCCCTTATTCCAATCCTTCATCACAGCCTGGTAGCCCAGCACCGTCTGTGTCTACTGCACCACCTCCTCAGACGTCTTATCCTCAAACTCCGCAAAATTATCCCCCAACTGGTGGAGCATACCCACCACATGCTTATCAGCAGGGTTATCCGCCTGCCCAATATCCTCCTTCACCTTATCCTTACACGAGAGCTCCTGCACCAGGAGCTCCGCCACCAGGTGGGCCTCAACCTTACCCTGTATATGGTTTTCAACCACCGAATCAGCAGTAACAGTAGAAATGTAATAATTTTAGACGTTAATTATTCTCAGATATTAAACAAAGTTACACCTGACATGGTGTATATTAATTTTATTAGTTTAAAATCAATAAATTAATATTTTACATAAATAATCAATAAAGCATAAAGTAATATTGTGAATAATTTTAATATAAATAAGCATCTCCAACCCTGTAGATATTTACCGAAACCTGCGAGAAGCCATTGATGAACTAAACCGAGTAGTAACCTTATATATGCGAAATGTAAATTCGAGAGGCGTTCGAGACAAAACATAATTTTGTTTCCGCCAGCGATGGATTTTTACTAGCTATTAGAAAATAGGAACAGACTAGAAACAAACACTAGTGTGGGCACTACACTTACAGGTTGAAATGTCAATATCAATGGCATCAAAATTTCTTCTATCGTAATAGTTATATATAGAGGACGTAAATATCATTACAATTGGCTACTGAAAGAGACTGTCGACCTTGCAACCGCAATGTAAACTCATAGTATAAAATTATAAGGTACAGAGGCATAACATTTTAATCCTCCGGAATGGGAAGACATGGGATACGATGTCTGTAATGCTGTTCATGTATAAAGGCGACTTATGCCACTTACCGTCAAAATCACAATACAGGTAGTCTGGATTCTACTTTGTAAAGCCGCACAGTAAACCAAGCTTGGTATGGGTACTGATATATATTTTTTTTGTAAATACATAGAAAACACCCAAACTGAAACAAACAATCATACTCATGAATACAAATATTAGCACCGTGCGAGGAATTGAACCTGCGACCGTCGAAAGTAAAGCGGTGTAATAAACTGCTAGCCCACCGAGACCTAAGAGATATGCGTAGTATTGTTTGGCATCCTTTTTATTTTTGGCATCTCATCTGCTTCTTCGTTATCCCATTTATTTGGGGACGGCGTAATATATTTTTCTCTTCCAATCATCTCTGTTTGCAGTCATCCCGTTATTTACTCCATTTCTCACCATATCATCTTTCACACAGTCCATCCATCTCTTTTTCGGTCTTACTCTACCCTTATCACCATCCACATTAATATGTAAAACAGGATATGATCTTGATTATGATTTTTGGCATCTAAAGGAATAAAATAAACTACTATTTTCACTTTTATATTTTAATAATTTTAAATACATCTATGATAACAGCACAAATTACACTAAGCATCATCCAAAGATATAGTAGAACTATCGAAGGGATGTATTGATTCATCGTAATATTCTATAGGTAGATCAGACGTGGGAGGATGAGTTGGAAAGGGTGGAGCTGTTTGTAATTTCCTCAGTGGTAATATAGTATCATACAAGTAGCACATAGCACCCGTTTCACCCGGTATTGCGACTCCGAGTGTCCATATAACATTATATTTTGTGTTAATTCGAAGAATTTTTACACCACGTAAAATCCTCCAACTGAAAATATACAAGTTTTTTTAAAAGATACATTTTTTTCATGCCCACAGTGTTATTATTAAGGATACATTTAATTTAAATAAACATTGTTATGAAAAAAATAATGTTTTCTGCATTCCTTCTATAGTTTTCATAAACTTTAACTGATCCGAATTTCATACTCCTCCCTCTCCACATATAATCATCGTAAGAAATGTTTCGAACAAAGTTTTGCTTGATATACTTATATTGTTTTTATATATATTAACTGACCTGTTACCCATGTGCCCAGGCATTTTTGTACCAGGCCAGACACGACCCTTTTCTCCACCTCCACCAATATTTCCTGGTCTCCTATGGGTCTTAGTAACACCGTGTGAAGCAGGCATACCTTTAAATCCCCATCGTTTCATAACACCTTGAAAACCTCTATCAATTCTGAAAATACATTATAAATTATTTTGCAGGATAATTTTCATAGACATCTAACTTATGTACATATATGAGATAATAGAAAAGAAAGGAATGGAGACTGTTACTTATACTGCTACATGTAATAATAAAAAGATTTATACTGTAACTGACGTTTTTGCTCGTACATCTATATAGTCTCCAACTCTAAAGTGTGTTGCAAATAATGGAGTTCCTGTAGGCATAGCAGCTTCTGGCGATATAATAAATCTGCACAAATGCTGTTTCGGTAGCATTCCCACACTGTCGAACATGCCGCAATAATCTTTGGTTACAGTACTTGGGTCTATGGTTTGCGAGCCAATTAATAAACACCCATGTCTCTGTATGTCTGTTTTATTTTTTCTAGTATTTCTCATTGGTTTAAATTCTTCAGGTGGTATGTACTTTATAACATGATTGTCAACTACCTGAAACATTAGTATTATTTTTATGTTAATATAATCTTTACAATTAGATGGTGTCTATGGTGACTATGTAAGTGGCAGACAGCAAAAAATTTATTGTATCAAATTATATTGCTGACCGACAACATCCATGCCAACAGCTAAAACATAAAGGCAAACAGTTACAACAAACCAAAATTAATCAGACAAGTAAAGCCCATTCATTTCTTATATCCACTTGAACATGAGCATGTTAAGTACTATGTTCAGCAAGACAGCTGATGTGAAAACCTGGCATAAATATATATTATTATAATTTTATATTTTATCTAAAAATACCTGCAATAATGTTGTTTGTAATTTCTTTCCATTTTTGTCCCATACAGGGTAGTTTCCAATTTTACGGGCTATTAGACCTGATCGTTTGGTGAATGGTGTCCATAAAGCAGTTTGTTCCACATCACCTTTTACTAATGGCGACTTCAGTTCTGTCTGTATTTTAAGCTTGTCTTTCATTACCTCTTCAATAAATTGCTTATTCTCCTGTGTTACCATATCATCATTCCTCTGTTTGATACAAAAAATGTATGAAACATTACACATTTGGTCTATTAAAAAATAACAAACACCATTTAAGATACAGATAACTATTTTATAAATAACAATTTTTAAAATGGTTATCTGTGATCCCTATGATAGTAGTAGACAATTTATAGATAAAGAATGTCAAAATTAGGAAAGGCCTTTACTAATGGATTAGTAGGATGCAACATTCTAACTATCTCTAACTTCCTTAGAACATACAAGCAAAAATGTTAGTATTTTGATGCATAATATTGAAAACTTAAAAATAGTTGCAATAATCTATACATTCTGACTGTTGCGGCATTGCCAGCACTCTATGAAGGAGCAACATTGGTCAATTGACCCATATTGCTCATATTATGTTTTCATAAAAAGATAAACATGTCAATTGTAGCATAAAAATACTAATTATAGGTATAATTTTTTGTACAAGGTAGAAAATTTTTAAACCTCTGGATATAATAAACCAATTCTAAAATAATCTCTGAATACAATTAATAAATTCTGATTGAATATTCTTTCATGAATGAATCTACATTTAATCAGAGTACACCAGATTTTATCAAAAACATGTCATATAGGCTCAAAAATACCATTATAAAAAATTATACATACCACTCGTGTCTTTGGCATAAACCAATGTGGGGGTCGATATCGAGGTGGCTGGTAGTATGAAGTAGATCTTATTACCATATTACCTATTCTGTAAAATGATAATTTGTATGATGTAATTATAGTAACATATTCATATAATTTGTGGTCTGGTGAGAACAATACATATGTCACCACTATTTCAATTCTCAGGTGTTGGAAGAGCCATCTAATGGAACAAAGCATGTCACACAGGAAAAATTATCTTGGATAATAACCCAAAAGAATTATTCCTGTGGTGTAGTTAATCAAACACATGGAGATGTGGACCAATTGGGAAACATGACGGTAAATTCCTGGTCAAGAAACCCTAAGACCAAATTACTTCATTTCATATTCATTCTTCATCGCTACCTCATTATTAACACAGACAGGATGAATATTTGATAATCAACAACCTAAAAATCCCTAATATCAATGCTAAATCGCAATATACTCTTTTACTAAGCAGATGAACCTTCCAGAGAGAACAATTGTCTTCAGTAAGTTATGTCATAGTAACTATATAATTTAAGGATATCGTATTGGATTATTACAATTTTAACTAAAACCAAATTAGGTTTATTAATATATATATATATATATATATATATATATAAATTGTGGAATTATCATTACCTTAGTTTACAAAAGTTAGTGCATAACAAATTTAGGTTATTGGTAGCCATCGCTTGTTATGTGATAATTATAACCAAATTCTAACTTTATAATATCAGGTCATAAAGATAATCGTTTTACAAAACAAATTTTGTAACAAAATAACAGAACCACAACATACTCTTGTGACAAGAAATCTGAATTATTTTCTCTTCTTTTGGCTTCTTATTTACGTAATGGCAATACAAATCGCCGGGATTTGTATTGCCATTAAGTAAATATTATAGTATAAAAATTCTTTGTTATAGATTAAAAAAAATAGATGTGTTATCGACATCGATCTATTAGATAGACGAATAGTGGTGTTTTTGAAACGTAAATTAAACGAAAAGCAAACGTTTATGTCAAGTTTTTAAAAAAGCACCGATTTTATACTAGGCCTAATGGTGATAACATTAAAAATACTAAGCCATTTCCATCTCACAGACAACTTTTAAATTTTTTTTTTTGTTGTAGTCTGAAACTACTTTCTCAACTGTGAAGAATAGAATCTGTCTGGGCGATATGAATAACCAATCTTTTTATATACAGGTACTCAAGATTGATATAAAACTGAGCAGTATGGACATGTTCTTTGCCTCTCCGAATAGGACGGATTTTAAAACAAATAACAACAACAATAATCTTTCTGTATTTACTTTTAAATTTTAATTTTGGTGAACAAAGTTTCAAGTCAAAAGTAGTGATTTAGTTAATTTTATCTCAATTATTAAGAAAACTATACCGAATTAAGAATAATAAAAATCTATTTACTCTTCATTGCTTTCTTAATATGTTGTCTATTTCGAATATTATATTAATGATATTAATAGTGATGGTTCATAAAACCATTCCGGATCATATCTACGGACCTGGATTAAAACCTAAGGAAATTGTTATGCCGGCTAGATACTTTTTTGTCAATATTACTTCAATCGTCGGACGAAAGTAACTATTAGATAAAGAGTATTTAAAGGTGACTTATTTTAATAAATAAGTCACCTTTAAATACTCTACACCTTTAAATAATAAAACAATATTTAGGGTGTAAGGTAATATTAATATATTACCTTACACCCTAATATTGTTTGGATTACAGGTACAGTCCAGATTTGTATAACGAATTTGCGGTAGAAATAGAAGGTACTTCAGCTAAACAGAGTTACTGTCGCATTTGGGTGAACAAATTAAATAGAAGAGATGGTACTTTTATTGTCAGATATAAAGTTTATGATACTTGTAATGATTTATCTATCAGTCTATATTATAAAAGTAAGCACATTAGTGGCTCTCCATTCACAATTATGGGTAAGTGCTATATAGTGGACAAATAAGTTTGCAGAATTAATCGCTGATGTGCTGATTCAATTATTGTCATTTTTCAGGTCCAATTCAACCAGATCCATGTCATTGTCCAGAGCAGAATTTTGATACATGGTTAAAACAGTATGGTTGCCCCAAAACATATGACAAAGTTACACACAGCCTTAAATTGCATAATCAAGTTAACATGAAAACTAAATTACGAAAAATAATTGATAGATTTCATAAACCTGAGAGTGTAAGTTTTTGTCATTATGTAGTAAAAGATAATGAAGTGTACAGAAACTGCTATGGAAAGCATGTTGGTTTTAATATGTTTTCTGACAACATTCTTTTATTTTTGGCTAGAAAAGTTATTTTGCCAGATATGGAACTTGTAATTAATTTGGGTGACTGGCCTTTAGTTCGCAAGGACACAGAACCACTGCCAATATTTTCATGGTGTGGAGCAGATGATACTGTGGATATTATAATGCCTACATATGATATAACTGAGTCTACTGTTGAAAATATGGGGCGGTAAGTTTTAGGGGTTATTATCAAATTATATTTTATATAATGTAAACAATGTTTTGAAGGTGTAACAACATTTCATAACTAGAGAGTTTAATGACACCAATTATTATGATCTCCACTCTATTATTACCATTTATGTACATATTCATCATGATTGTATTGTTTACAAAATGCCTTATCATTTTGTAAACTTTATAGTTTAAATAAAATATGTGGACTATTTTTATAAATAGTCCACATATTTTACATCAGCTCTATTACTCTGTGAATTATAGTATTATTCTTACCTATATTCTTTTTAGTGTTCTGACAAAATTCCCCATTTAAAGGACTTTTTTTTGGCATGTAAGGTTTTGTAACAGAAATTTTTTTCAGAGTCACTTTGGATACATTGTCAGTTCAAGGTAACATTGAAAGGGATTGGTCCGAACGTGAACCCAAAGCTGTTTGGCGCGGAAGAGATTCGCGAATTGAACGTCTTAAACTTGTTGATATATCTCGTGCCAATCCTGATCTCTTCAATGTATCTCTAACAAATTTCTTTTTTTTTCGTGACCAAGAGCAAAAATATGGTCCTAAACAACCTCATATTTCATTCTTCAAGTTTTTTGATGTGAGTTTAGTTTTATTTAGTGTTATACAATATGTTAATCAAGCATGATTAGGAATAATCTTATTAATTGTAAAAATCATTTAAATTACAGTACAAATACCAAGTGAATGTAGATGGCACTGTGGCAGCATATCGGTTGCCTTATTTACTGGCTGGTGGAGGAATGGTATTAAAACAGAATTCACCTTATTTTGAGCATTTTTATGAACTCCTCCAGCCTTGGAAGCACTATGTTCCAGTTGCAAGAGATTTGTCTGATTTGACAAAGCGGCTAAAGTGGGCATTAGCAAATGACAATGAAGCACGCAAAATTGCCGAAAATGCGAGGATTTTTGCCAATAATAACTTATTGCCTCAACATATCATATGTTATCATGCAGTTCTGTTTTCGGTTAGCATATATCTTTTAATGTGTTTATACTTTTGGAATAGCATCAGGTTTCTGTGCTATACCTATAATAATTTCAAATGTTTACATACACAATTGTTTGCAAAAAGTAAAAATTAAATAGGAAACCTTAGCAATGAAAAGAATTAGTGAATAGGGAACTTGGCAATTTAATGTGTTCAAATCATTACATATTATAAAATAAAGTCACTGTCTGTCCGTCCCTATGTATGCTTAAATCTTTAAAACTATGCAACGGATTTTGAAGGGGCCTTTTCTAATAGATAGAGTGGTTCTAGAGAAAGGTTTATATATATAATAATACATGTACACCCGTGCGAAGCCGGGGCGAGTAGCTAGTGTTAAATAAAAATGAGTACCACCAACCACTATTAAAATTAAGGAGACTAACAATCTCATCTGGGCCTTAAGTCAAAATTGAAGGGTTTGCTGTTTACGCTATATGAGAGTGAGAGAGAGCTAATGTTCGTACATAAGTGCAAAATTGTAGATTTATTCTGTTACAATTGTAAATTGTTAATAACAGTTATATCATTAAGGACTTGGAAGCCACTAGCAATTTTATGTATGGCTAAGTAATCATTTACATTTTTACAGGAGTGGAGTAAAAGATTAGAAAGTAAAGTTACGGTAGAAGATGGAATGACTCATGTACCTCAAACACAGTTTGCCTGCGACTGTAAAGCAACTGAACTTCATGAAGACCATAAAGAATTATGATCCTAATTATTATTAATGCCATATTCATATTTCTAGGAAGGCAAATAATACCTAGTGAGTTAGTCTTTGGAATAAATAAACTTAAAGGTTTTTGAAGGAAAAAATCTACCTATATTATGACATGTTAAATCCATAGTTAGTTCGAAGTGCTTTTGAGTTAAGAAGAATTGACAAGAAACTCCACTTTAAATGGAGCATATAACAATACCAGTGCAGTTATTGAAGACACGTATTTTATGGAGGTACCATGTAGAGTGATTATAAAGCGAGTGGTGTACATTTTTAGGGAGATTAGTTTTTGTCACTGATCAAAAGTACAGTGACGAAAATAATTTGGATGCTAGGGCAAGTAACGGATGGAGAGAGCTAGACAAGGAATTGGATATTTTTAATTTTATTTTTAGTACTTATATTTTCCACATTGAAACAGTTTACTACCTCCAACTCACATGCTATATCATTGGTTTTGTCTGTTTCATTGTTAGCTAAAATTATAATTTTGTATAACGCGTCTGAGTAATTGCTTATGTCGTACCTTAATTTACTATGCAATATAGGTAGTGTTGGGTCTAAAGGACACCTCGTACTGTCGACGTAACAATTCAATTCACAATTATGGTCTCACCTCATAGTACCACATGAGAGACGCTATTGTAATACCCATAATCAAACTATTTATTACCAATAATCAGTGGGATCCGCGTCGTTAGCACTGGTCTGCAACATGTCTAGGAGAAGCTAAAGTCAAAATCCACAATGTAAGTGCAGCCACATCCCGCGCCGTAAATGAAGACTTGCTTGGTGGTGAAGGCAGTCCACTGATAAGCATCTGTAATTGGTATATCAAGATAATCTTGATAAAGATAAAAAAGATCAAGGTATCTGTCGATCAGATACTGCATTTGAGCCCTCCCCAACCTTAGGTATCCCTTCCAGTGGGACCGGGGGGTAAGAACGAATGAGAGCATTTGCGGTTGCGCGCCCGCTTATGAACTAAATTTATTTAAATATGTGCTAAATGTTTGTTTCCGAAATAAAATTAGTTATTACTATTAAAGTTTAAGAACACGAATACTTTTAAATAAAAAGTACTTGTGTGAAAAAAATATGTATTATAAACAATAAATACTGAAGAAAATACATTAACAATTTAAATGTTTATTTTTCAACAAAATTATGATCTTTATTGTACATATAAATAGACATAGAAATAAATTAGATAATATATAAAATATTTAACTATATAATATTTTATTTATTTGACAAGTTTTTAATCTTTTTACCCAATCTGAGCTATATTCTCATAATAGTAAAATAGCTAATATTTTTTAAATAAATCGTCATAAATTTTCTATACATTGATGGCCTTGGTGGTCTAACGGTTTAGGACACCGTTTTAAATCCGATAGTGCGCAGGTTCCATCTTCGCACGGTACAAACATTTGTATATATTTATTTGTATTCCCTTTCTCAATTTTATCTAATAAATATTAAGCGAAAGTTGTAAGCAAAATGTATAAACAAAATTATAGAAAACTGTATGGTCTGCATGGAATCTCTGTATGGTAAACAAATATTAATAATTGAATAGTCGCAATAGGTTATAATAATTAACAATATCAAATAATACAAATTCTTTTGAATAATGTTGTATTAATTATTCAAAAATATTTTTATTATTACTTAACGAGTTATTTTATAAGTATTCATACTAATTATATTTAATTTGATTTTTAAATTATCGCCCAAACCTACATTATGATTTGTTAGTCATTCTGACGTATATACTTTTAAGAAAGTATAATTATTTTGGTGAAAGAACTACAGTATAAATATAGATGGCGCTAATAAGTTGTTTCTGCTTTTAAATCCTTTTCATAGAATGTTTAAATAAAAACTTAACCATACTTCATATTAAATCAATATTTTATTAAAAATTATATTAAATGATAAGTTTTACAGCACTATCTAGTGTGAACCAGGAAGAAACAATTGACGAAGTTAGCCTCTGGATCGAGGACTATTGTTTGCCTAACTTCTTCGAAAACTTCGGTGTTGGTGACAGACTAATAGTTTTCTCGTATCCAAACTCCTAGATTTCCCTAATTATTACAAGAGGCTGGCAGCTTATTAGCTGCCCTTACACTTATGCTCTTTCACGTGCAAACATGCTTTCACACAGAAAAGAATGTTCATGTATTTGGTGACAAAGAGAGAAATACCGCGGGCGCCACTAGCTCTCGCATTCCTGCGTTCTTCATTCATGCGTGCTTTAGGATCATTTTAATAATTCAGTATCATTGCAAATTGCAATTGTAACTATGTTATTGCTTGATAAAAATTGCATTGTTATCAAGCAATAACATAGTTATAACTAATAAATCTTAAACGTGTCTGAAAAATAATATATGATATAACAATTTATGAAATTTTAAAAGAAAGTGAAAAGACATGAAAGACGTATGAAAGACTAAACAAAAAAATTTGTTAAATGCAATGCCTCACAATTGAGCTCGCTGCCTTTCCCGCGCGTGAAAGACTGTGTCAAACTGTAAAGGTCTATTGTGCACGTAGTTGCTCCGACACATTGCTCCCCAATCAGTCGCACAGAATACCGGTGGCTGCGGGCGCTATCGATACATGGCGACGTCGGGGCTGCGGTAGAAGCACATGTAGGCGTCGGCCAGGAGTCGCTTGGCGTGGACGGGCAGCTGCCGGTCGGAGGGCGCGGACGCTATCGGTACATGGCGACGTCGGGGCTGCGGTAGAAGCACATGTAGGCGTCGGCCAGGAGTCGCTTGGCGTGGACGGGCAGCTGCCGGTCGGAGGGCGCGGACGCTATCGGTACATGGCGACGTCGGGGCTGCGGTAGAAGCACATGTAGGCGTCGGCCAGGAGTCGCTTGGCGTGGACGGGCAGCTGCCGGTCGGAGGGCGCGGACGCTATCGGTACATGGCGACGTCGGGGCTGCGGTAGAAGCACATGTAGGCGTCGGCCAGGAGTCGCTTGGCGTGGACGGGCAGCTGCCGGTCGGAGGGCGCGGACGCTATCGGTACATGGCGACGTCGGGGCTGCGGTAGAAGCACATGTAGGCGTCGGCCAGGAGTCGCTTGGCGTGGACGGGCAGCTGCCGGTCGGAGGGCGCGGACGCTATCGGTACATGGCGACGTCGGGGCTGCGGTAGAAGCACATGTAGGCGTCGGCCAGGAGTCGCTTGGCGTGGACGGGCAGCTGCCGGTCGGAGGGCGCGGACGCTATCGGTACATGGCGACGTCGGGGCTGCGGTAGAAGCACATGTAGGCGTCGGCCAGGAGTCGCTTGGCGTGGACGGGCAGCTGCCGGTCGGAGGGCGCGGACGCTATCGGTACATGGCGACGTCGGGGCTGCGGTAGAAGCACATGTAGGCGTCGGCCAGGAGTCGCTTGGCGTGGACGGGCAGCTGCCGGTCGGAGGGCGCGGACGCCGACAGTGCGCGACCGCCCTCTTCGCTCAGCCACGCGCCCAGCGACTCTATGCACACTATCTCTGGAATGTTGTAGCCGTTCCGCTCGCCTGGGAACATCGCAAGTAAATATTTATATACAAAAAATATATATAAAGTTCAGTATTATTGTTACAGTTGTAAACATGATTACCGTTAGGTAATTTAATAAATACTACGTAAACAAAATATTACTTTTTGTATGTTCGGATACGAAACATATGCATACCTTTTCTATCGGCCATTGAATCAAAGAAACACCATGGTGCCTCATGTCCTACTCCGGCCTTCACGAAGGCGACGTAATGACTTGTTTCTATGCACAGCACCGCAAACAGCTCCATATACACTCTTGGAATAGGACAAGTTTCAAGAATATTTTCAAACTCATCGCAAATAGTAAGAGGTGTTGCCTGCAACAAGTATTAATTAAATAAATAATTATGATACTAATATTTTTTCATAGCTCAAATAAAGCTCTGATTTGAGGTATAGATAGGTAAATTAAATTGTTTATTCCTAGAATATACTTCCTAAATGTTATTTTTTTTACTTACTACCAGATATAATTTGTGAAATAAACTAAAAACCTGGCCAACCTATCAAATTATATTAGTTTATAATATCAGTTGTATTTTCCACGTTTCTGTTTAATTAAAATAAATTTTTATAGTTTAGAATATAATACGGGCGGCCGTGGCGTGCAGGGAGGAAGCGGTACCTGGTGGTGCGAGCGCGTGGCGTGCGTGAGTCGCAGACAGCCGGTACAGAGCGCGCCTGAGGAAGCGGTACCTGGTGGTGCGGGCGCGTGGCGTGCGTGAGTCGCAGACAGCCGGTACAGAGCGCGCCTGAGGAAGCGGTACCTGGTGGTGCGGGCGCGTGGCGTGCGTGAGTCGCAGACAGCCGGTACAGAGCGCGCCTGAGGAAGCGGTACCTGGTGGTGCGGGCGCGTGGCGTGCGTGAGTCGCAGACAGCCGGTACAGAGCGCGCCTGCCTCGAGGGCGGCGCCACGTGCGTCGGCCCCCCCCGCCCCCGCCGCTGCCCCCGCCGCCGCCGCGCCGCACTCGCCGCACTCCCAGCGAGCCAGCGCACCGCACACCGTACACTGACGAGGCACTATATACGAACCGTGCATGCAATTACATAAGGAACTTTATATATAGGCAGATAAATTTACAGCCTAATTTCCTTCCGATATTCGATCGATTGTATCGTATGAATTACAGTTACACGAGTGTATTGTATGTAGAATTGTATTGTACGAGGAATCCAAACCTACTTATAAAAGACTATCGAAGTCGTCTTTAATTAAATAAATGATGCATGCAGTTTTATTCATTTTAAAAAGACTTGACAATCAATTTCAAGTTATTTTTAGAGTAGAAAGAATATTCGGATGTGTACCGCAATCAAACATTTGCAAACATACTAAGCTGGGTCTGCTTATATTTAAAATTAGACTATACGCTAATAACTTTAAAAAATGTGTACATACAGCCTTCGATCAGATCAGTAACGTCGAGAAGAGGTGATGGTAACACTCGTTGATAAAGCTTGTATTGTTTTCCAAATCTGGGCATCTGGATTATAAAAGCTGCTGGAACCTGCAATCATTTGTGCACTAGTTATTATAGCCCCTGAAGTAAAAGTAAATTTCGACAATTATTTTCGTAACCATCTTAAAGTTATTGAAAACTTCTAAGATGGTTACGAAAGTTATATTACGAAGCTCAGTGAACTATATAGCTAGCAATATACCATGTGCGGTTCCCCTTAGAAACCATCGTGACCAATTTCTGATGAATTTGCCATGATGGGCTAACTAACCTGACCTCATGATCATGCTCAAGGTGCACCGTTTCTTTATCATCCATTAAAAATAGACCTCAGTCCTCCAAGCATTTCCTAGAGGGCTAAGGTATTACAATTATATCTTGAAAGAGACAATTAAATACTGACCTCACTAAGTTTTACACCAGACGTGGCAAATGATTGTTCCAGCAGTTGCTGAACGGTGGGTAGTGAAACGTGTTCGTCTTTTTCCACAAATAGTTGGTAACAATATGCCTCTTGTCCTGAAGACAGTTTTAAAAATGGTTCCGCTCGTAACAGTTGTGCTACTAGGCCATTTAAAAACTCTTCAGGGTCCTGAAATTATATACAGAAAATGTCTATGTGTACATTTAATAAGTAATCATCTTATCGACTTTAGGTAGACTGTAAAGAAGTCGTCAATGTGGGTATCTCTCGCTTATAACATACGCAAGCAGCTTGCTTCGTAAGCTATGTTGTAGGGTGCAGATTAGGCAGTGAAATTACTTTATAAGAGGCATGCTTTTTCAGTCGTCGAGGGAACGCATGAATAGGCCAGAACAGAACAGAGTATCGCAGGCGTTACAAATTAGCATTATGTCTGTAGTGTTGTTTAGGCAGTTACCACTTACTTTCAGATGAACAAAATTTAATACAAGCACAATAAATACTACTCATAGAATTCGAATCCAAAGCAAATATAGTATGACAATTAAACGATTAGACTGTTGGAAATAGAAAATTTCTGAAACCAACCCCAAATACAAAGTAACACAAAATAAATAAATATTTTTAATATATTATTAATATAATTTTAAAACAATTTTGTCCATATTTACGTCAGAAAAATTTTACTTTGGATTTGGCAAATGTTATCATCATTTGGGGGCTGTCGCATGTGTAAATGACTGTATTGGTTTATTTTAAGCATGCATGCAAAAAACACTTGTCTCTTGTTTAGAGAGTTGTGACTACTCTATGACCACACCCGTACCACCGACCCACTGAAAATTAACCTTTTCCTCGGAGGTAAGGCCGGGCACGTCGGACAGCCGTTCGAGCAGCGTACGCAGCTTCATGACACGGTCGGCGCGCACGTATCCATGTTGTCGCAAAGGGTTGACCACCTCCTCGCGCAGCACACGCTGCACCTCTGAGTAGTGTGGAGAATCCTGTCCGTTCGGAAATACCGACTTAAGATACGTGACTATATAGATAGATAGATAGATAGAATATACTTTATTTGCAACGTACAGTATAGTTACGGTGTTTTAAGGTACATAATCTAAATTATGCACTATTGTATTAAATCATTAAAAAAACAACGTTGGATGAGTATACAAAAAGAAAAAAATATGTAGAGGATGAAGTGGCTTACTGAAATCACGAATATTATGTAGGATAACTAAGAAACAAAAATGATCAGTATAGTACAAAAAATATAAAAGAATTACTACAGAAATGACTCTAAAGTATAGAGAAAAAAAAAATCGTGAAAAGATCGTGTCGTGGAGGCTGTCCAAAGGTATTGTCAATATTTATTTTGTTATGACTATTGGCTTACCTCAGCCTCTGGCGGGCGATAGAGTAGCGCGTCGAAAACACTAGTGAAAGTGAACATGGCAAATAGCGTTGCATCGAGGTAGCACGAATTGTGATGACCCTGGATTCCTCGATTTTTACCCGCGAGCTCACCCAATGAGTTCAGTGGGGGCACAACGCCTGGTACAACAGGACATTCGGGCTGTAATAGATATGGGTGTAAATGAATTTAAAAATATAGCACGACCTAATTACACTAAAAAGAGATCGGAAGACGTGTGAATGCACGAAGGGAAGAGAAAAATATACTACGCCAACACCAAATTAAATACTAAACTGTATTGAATAACATGATAACATTACAGAGTACGTATGAAGTATTGGACTATTAGATCCTTACTTGTTCAAAATCGTTCGTCTCATGGAGATCGGCACGATCAGGAGGCGGAGTGTCCCGAAACCGTGCATCACGGCGACATAATGGTAGGGGCACGAAGAGGGCGCGACCCGGCGCACATGTGAACAATCGGGTTCCGCCCTTTGTGCCGTCGCCTAATCCACACACATTCTGTTCTAACTCTACACCCGCGGTTGCAGTATCTGCAAATATCCACACCAACACATTATAGTGTATCGTCGTAGAAAAAAGAGTACATGCAAAAGTGTTAGAATATTCAATTAGTACCACTTAGAAAGCAAATTCTTCAATAATTACCATTAACTATGCCAATCCACCTTACAACTCCATAATAATGTTGATCAACATCCGTTGCTACTTCAACAAGTGACCCAACTCCTATTTCTTCTTGTAAGTGAAGAGGCGATGATGATGAGGTAGGCGCAACTGCACGAGGAGATCCCAATACTGGAGTGTCATATACCTCGTCCGGTGTATCTTCTGTGCGTACATCTGCACAAAAAATAAATTCACCGGTGGTGCTGGATATTTGTTATATGCATATCACAAGCTGATAACATACTTTCTTCTAACTCAAATACACATAAGGGTACTTCGTTGAGGTCTAACTCCTGTAAATACGCGTACGACATAATATTATTTTCTAAATTTGTTGCTCTGCTCTGCGTTCACGCACACAAGGTGCACAGATGTTAGCCTTTCGACCGCCTAGCGTTTCATATGCCGCGCCGTCTAAATTTAGAAACTAGGAAAGATAAAATAGGGCAACTTACAAACAGTATACACACACGTTCACTGTCGTATAATTTGTGTTTACAAAATAACCGTCTTTAGAACATTTCTTTTGTATCAAAAGTATGTTAAATTTAAGTAGTGGAATCATGTGTATCAGAAATGTGTTACGTATTTGAAAATGGTAATTACAATATATTTTTAAATCAGGCATAAGGAATCTACAACTATATTTTAGCATACTTCTTTTTAAGGTACATATTATTTAAGTACATATAAAGAATCTGAATTCACTTTGCGATTATGATGCGATATCCACTATTTATTTATTCAATCTCATGCCTTAGGACGTTGTTTCATTCACTAATGAAAAAATAAAGACTAAAACCCCGGCGATGTGATCAAGATTGTACCTTAATTTTCTCTTTTTGTCAGATGTAATAAGTTAGAGACATAGCAAATGTGACGTAAATGAATACCTTTTAAAATTAACATACCTAAATAAGTAACGCTGCAGTATACATCTGGTCAATTATAATGACAAAAATTGCATTGCTGACAGGTGTCTATAAATATGAACAACATATATACATATATATAAGTATAGAAGCACTTACCAACGAGGACACCAGTACCTATTTTCTTAGGTTCTTGTACCATCTTGGGTTTATGTCCAGAGTTACGTCCGATTGTTGAAGTTGATGCAGCTGCTGTGGTAACAGAAGGCTTGCGACGTCGTTCAGGCGCTATATGAGCGAGTAGATTCAGAGACTTTATTCTTTCATTGGGTGAATGATGCTGCATAGTGTGCCTATGTCTTCTGGGTACTGACCCATAATCAAATCTCTCAGGCTCACGGGGTGCTGGTGGCCAACTCCCACCAATTAGGTTATAGAGATCAAGCTGCAAAATAATATTTCATTTGTTGCACATGAAATTTAATTAAAAATAAATACTGTTCATATTTAAACACAAGGTTAGTTGAAAAAAAAAATTACTGTTCATACTTAAACACATTGTTGTAAGGGTATAATTTCAAATTAAAGCTAGGTAGAGTACTTATTATACTAAACCAATTTAACCAAGAGACAAGAATAAATCTGATAATTAATTATAAACTTAATACTAAATTGATCAAGTGACTATGCTGTTTAGGTAGGTATCTATCAAGGTTTTAAAAATAAAATTCAATATCCCAATATTTAAAATAAGTAAAATAGACTCTAAACATAAAATACTGCAAGTTCCACAATGAACAAATGAAATTGTTCACTAGAAGTGAACAATTTCCAATGAACAGTTCATGTTAATTTAATAGTATTATGAAATATATAATAATATTATTTTTCCTATTTTGTCCTTAACTATTTTAAAACATTAATGTTAGTTTTAATTAGATAATTAGGCAGTTAATTAAATATAAAATAAAATGTGCAGACAAACATATTAAACAGTGGAGTTAGATTATTTATTAGAATAAACCAGGGTTAACACATAGAAATAAGTATCCTCAATGTTTGGGGTAGGAAAAGGGCCCTTCCTTTTCCTTGAGTCACTGCACACTTTTTCCATCCAGTTTCATTTGGTCCTTTATTTTTAGTAAAATTTTATTGTTATTGAAGAAAGTAGAAATGTCATTTACTTTAAAAATAAGTTGATGACTCATTCTATTATAGAAAAGAACTTTGCTTATAAACATGAATGATGCATTCCCAGCTTTACCACCTTCCTTTTGCATTTTTTTGAATAATTGTATGAATTCTTATTTCAATCATATTTGACCTTCCTAGTGATTTGCCTGTGAATAATTTACTAAAGAAATTAGAAAAATTAAACAGGACACTTTTCTTAGCAATCAAATTTATCATAGGACTCCATGTACTTCCTCCTCTGTGGACTCAGAACCCAGATAGAGGATACTCATTTCTAGACTCAACATTAAATTAGTTACAACAGGGTAACCTGGGCTTTATCGCTGGAACTTGTATTCTGAATTTCTTGATGATTTTTATTGTTCATTCTGCTCATCGAAGTACAGGCATTATTTAGTTCTAGTAGTAGTGAAATTATTTTAAAATTACTCAGATGTTTGCCTCTAATTTAATAAATCATTAAATCTAGCAAAAAGTGGATACAAGAGAAGAAAAGATATATAATAAAACCCTCTTAAAGGAATAACTCAGAAATGCATAGTTTTTATTGAACTTTATAAACACCCATGTTAAATTGTTCACATTTGCTGGAGAGCAGTACAGTTTCTCCATTATCTATATTTGTAATCATTCAGCATCATTGCACTCTAGTAGTACTCACTACCAAACATATATTTAACACTAGCTGACCCGCGCGACTGTCTGCATCACACTTATCATTATATATCTCCCAATTTATATAATATCTTTTGAAATTATAACATATATGATATTTTACCACCTTAAGGGTAAAATTTTTACAAACTTTGAATGTCATATTTATTCATATTTAATCAACAGCCTCAAAAATAAGTTTCAAGCTTTTAGCTTCAAAAATGAAGATTCTTCCATACAATCTTTCATCCCCACTTTTAACCCCTTACAACCCTTTTTTCACATTCAATAGTAGCCTATGTCCTTTCTTCTTTCTTTTCTTCCTTTCCTGGACCCTGTCCAGACTACCTGTGTACCAAATTTCATTTAAATCGGTTCAGTAGTTTTGATGTGAAAGCAAGACAGACAGACAGACAGAGTTACTTTCGCATTTATAATATTAGTAAGGATTCATGAAATATGAAATTTACTGTTAATGTTTTATTGGAGAGTAACTTTGTGAGTAGCCAGGCATGATTTTTTTTATATAAAATGCACATTTGAGTTATTTCTCTAAGAGGAGGAGATGAGAACTGTTCTTCACTCTACTAAGCTCTTTTTAATCCTTAATTTAGTGACAAAGTGGGTAAAAATACTAAGGGTACAACCACATACTTTTTTATAATTGTATAATGTAAAGTTAACTGAGGGACCAAGATTACCTATATTTAGTAATAGATGAACACTAATAAATGAGTTATTCAAATTGGATACATTCTCAACATAGGATGTTGATATATGTCTTACAGAGCTATCCAATCCAGTTTCGTCCTAATAACACAGTTATTATAATCACTGAATTTATTATTAAAATTGTAATGTAAAATATCAATGTCAGATACTATCAATATTTTTATTATCAAAACATAATAGATGATAATTCATAAGACTACAAAAACATAAATAAATTGGCAAGTAACTGACATTGACAGCAAAATAATCAAATCATAGATATAGAACAAATATTCCTATCACACACATGTACAATACAATAAGTAACATAGAATCTGGATTGATTAGCAACTATTAAATTATATTTGTCACATTTTTACTTATTCAGTTACTTATGAGTTAGAAAATATTGTTTGATACAAACGTCACTTACATATATATATTTTTTCCCTGTATTATTAACATAAAGTAACTTGTGTTGTTCTTTTTCCAAAACTTTAATTGAAAATATATTTCAATTCACTTTAATTCAATTAACAATGTTCTAACTACTTTAAAACACATTAAGGTGAGTAGATTAGAAAATGTATTAAATAATTAATATAGTTTTTTAAATTTGTACATGATTAAAGTGATTAAAATGTTAATCTTTGTTTTTAAATTTTGCCAAAATATATAAAATATTAATGTTCTAAACTTAAATATCACTTTATTTTAAAAGAATAAATAGGTACCATTTAACCACCTAACCATCACTTTTCTTAAGATCTGACCCATGTTAGGGCCGGCAGGCTATATGAAATATGAAGATGTGCTAAAGTCAGGTTATTTAGTTAATTATAGCAACTGTACAGAAATTAAATGACAGTTTCCAAGAGCACTCGGAGATCCAAGTCGATCTGACATGTTGTAAAGTCTTATTTTCTTTCTTAATTTTAAAAATTAAGATTACTAATTAATTTCTTTTTAGGCATCTCCTGATATAATGATTCGGCAGGGCAGTATAGACGATATAAATACTCATCAGTACCTGAAGATTTCAAATTATGAAGACACAGTTAGACAATTGGACATTTATTATGCTATTGGTTTGTATTAACATAGAATAATAATAATACCTAGTAAGTTTATGACTATTATATAAGTTATTTACATTATTATCCCAATATTACTGTTTATTACATTAGAGACTTCATCATCATCCATCATTCTCATCATTTACTCACTAAAATGAAATGACTATAGATTATTTTTAAAATCTATTACAAAAGAACAAAATAAATAAGAACTCTGAACACCACACATATCAGAGAGGAGGGAGTGACAGGCCCCATTACTCGAGAAGAAGGGTATTATTAGTGATGTGGCTCACTGCTCCTATTACTAACAATCTTAAGTTATTACTGCTACACATAGCTGATTTTGGGGAGTCAGGAGAAGTCATCATTATTAAATAATTATTATGTTACAGTGAAGAGACAATTACTGAGATTCCAGAGCCCAATAACAGGATTGTTCCCAATGCTATCAACAGATCTTCATATTGGCAGTGTGAGGGACAGCATATATTGTGCTGTAGCTGTATGGGGTCTCTATCAAGCATATAGGTGAATTAGTTAGAGTACATTTTGAAAATTTAAAACAACACAAACTGCTTTTATTTTTATTGAAAATATAAATTCACTAGTTGAATAATATCTTACTTTCTAAATGAATTGTTACCAACATCAAAATATAACATTTATATAATTAATACGAAGAGCATCATGACCTTTGAATTACAAAATACCCCTATGTATTTTTAGTGGTAAAAGTGTCATATCAGAGTTACCAGTGATTTCACTACCACTATCATATCTCTTTAAAGTTGAACACTGCACAAAAAAACTGCTTAATCACATAATATGTATTACAGAGGCGGTTGTTGATGTACAAAGCCTTCCTCTATTATAAGCTGTTAATACTATATTTGAGATCTTTTTTCTCTTTATATTAACAAACATTCTTGGATCACTAATTAGTACAGGTCTTCTGTTATTGTGTGTGTATTATGTGTGTGGTATATATAATACGTGGTATATATAATACATTATTCAAAAGCTTTTAAATTGTTTACTGACAGGCGCATAGATGACGACAGAGGCAAATCACATGAACTTGGACAAAGTACTGTTAAATGCATGCGCGGCATCCTTGAATGTTGGGTGAAGCAATCGGCGCGCGTGGAAGCCTTCAAAACACGTCAAAGTGCGGCACATGCTCTTCATGTTAAATTCCATCTCATTACAGGCGAGCCTGTGCTCACAGACGAACAGTATCATCACCTACAGATTGACGTTGTGTCGCTCTATCTAATTTTTCTTGTTCAGATGATCACTTCTGGACTACAGATCATATACACACAGGTAATTTACTACAGAAAAAACTACTTAAATTCCATTGTTTTTTGACCTCCTTCAACTGCCTAATTGTTAATAACAATTAGGCAGTTGAAGGAAAAATTATTCACCTAGGAAAATACCTAATTGTCTTACCTACTTCTTTTGCCTAGTTGTTCTTCTCTTCACCTAGGACGGTGAAGTAACGGCAGGAAAAAAAAATGTATAATAAAATAGTTTCCTGGTGAGCTATTGAAAAAGGATAATTGAATATTTAGTAAAAAAAAAAAGCGGGTTTTAGTGCGTTTCATACTTGCACAGATTATAGTACCTTTAAACATTGTCTTTACATTTGATGTTCTCTGCACAAATAAAAGGATGATCCAACAGGCATTCCATCCCAGTTTGTTTAATCGTGAGACCAGACCGAGGTCTGCGTCTGTAGGAGGTACATCAGCGTCAACATCCACAGGTGAAAAACTGACTATCAGCTGCCCCAACACAAACCTATCTGGTAATGAACCTGGTCCTCCATCATGGCAGAGAATCCCAACCAACCGGAATGCCAAAAAGAGAAAAATGACTAATAGTCCAACTTGTGACGGAATAGAAACCTCCAACCGCTTTAGTGTCCTCACAGTAGACTTGACAGAAGAGAAACCTGAAAAGGCTAAAAAGCTTAGTAAGCCACCACCAATCATCCTATATGGAGTGGAAGATGTCAGCAAACTCACAGAACTCTTAAGAACTGTTGCGGAATCAAATTAATTTACTTATAAAATAGTTAATAAAAATCAACTCAGAATAAGTAGCTATGATATAGAAATCTACAAGAAACTGATACAACTGATACGTGAGCAAGGACTGATTGGTCACACATTTAACAGAAAAGACACCAGAAGTATGCGAATTGTTATCTGTAATTTACATAATACAGCACCAATTGATATAATCAAAGAAGAAATAGAGGCAACAGGAAACAAAGTAGTGGGAGAAATTATTAATGCCAAATATGGGCCCGAAAAGAAACCCACCTCTACGTTCTTTGTAAATATTCTTCCTGGAACTAATAATAAAACTGTCAAAAGCATTAAATACATATACCATCAAGCTGTTGCAATACAAAACCCTAAAAAAGGAATACCATTGTCCAGTGCCAACGCTGCCAACAGTATGAGCACTCAAAGACTGCTCTGACCCTACTGCATGAGACCCTACCGTTGCGTCAAATGCGGCCAGTCTCACAAAACATCAGACTGTCAGAAAACTGATAGAAACTCACCAGCTCAATGTGCTCTCTATCTTGGTCCTCACCCTGCAAACTACAAAGGATGTGAAGTTTATAAGAAGATATTGGCAAAAAAATCAGCAAGAAACCAACCTCATGTAAATGATTTTCAGCAGAAACCAAACACTTTGATAGAACAAAAACAAAAAATTTGACAAAAACCTAAAATCATAATCAACACAGACACAGATTATCAATCCTATGCTGATAAACTGAAAACAAATCTGGAACCACAGTATAATCACACTAATACCATCTATGACAACCAACAATCATATAATTTAGAAAAAATTCTCACAACACAAGCCGAAAAATTCGACTTAATATTACAACAAATGAGCACTTTAATAAGTCTCATATCCACGCTGGTTTCTAAACTACAAAACTAAACAAAATAAAAAACTAGCAAGAAAGTTAACAACAAGAAAGTTAAGTTAAGGGAAAAAAAACATGTTTGCTCTGAAAATAGCTACGTGGAATGTGGACGGGCTGGCACCTAACAAAGACGAAGTGGAGACTCTGTTGCATCTACATGATATTGATATACTACTGATATCGGAGACTCACTTCACTAATAGAAGTCGAGTGACTTTCAAAAACTATCATCTGTATAATACCAATAACCCCGATGGTACTGCACATGCTGGAGCTGCCAACATCGTAAAGTCTTCAATAAAGCATCATGAACTCCCGCAGTACAGAAGTAACCACATTCAGGCCGCAACTGTTGCCGTTGAAAACAAGGATGGAGAATTCTGTGTCTCATCTGTGTACTGTCCTCCAAAACACAAAATATCAGAAAGATTTTTCTCAGAATATTTCTCTACACTCGGACCTCGCTTTGTGTCTGGAGGAGATTGGAATTCCAAACACGTTCACTGGGGATCTAGATTGATAACCACAAGAGGCAGAGAACTTATGAAAAGTATAGACAAACATAAACTGGTTACCTTAGCAACATCCGAACCAACTCATTGGCCTTCCGATCCGAATAAACTGCCGGATGTTTTAGACTTTTTCATAACGAGGGGTTTGTCACGCTTGTTCTATCTGGTGGAACCCTGTCTAGATGCTTCCTCGAACCATATCCCGATTATTCTGACTACTAGCACAACTGTAATAAACAAGGAATCCCACATTACCCTGTGCAATAGGCTAACTGACTGGGACTGCTTTCGGGAGACACCGGACAGTACTCTGGACTTAAAAATAGCTCTTAAAACTGAGAACGACATCGAGTGTGCTGCTAAAAACTTTACTCTTGCGGTTCAAAGAGCATGTTGGAAATCGACGCCTGAGACAAGCAATCTTAACAGGAGACATAATATCGTTCCTCGGGTTATAAAGCAGAAGATACTTGAAAAAAGACGACTTCGTAGGAAATGGCATATAAGTCGGCACCCTGAAGATAAAGCGGCCCTCAACAAAAGCATAAAAGAGTTAAAGCAAATCATCACTTCAGCTAAATGAAACTATGGAGAGGCACATTCAATCACTTTCTCCCACTGATGTTACAGACTACTCCTTATGGAGAACATGTAAATTACAAAATCAACCAATAGAACAAAAACCTCCTCTCCGTTTGCCCAACGATAAGTGGGCAAGATCAGGCCAAGAAAAAGCCGAAGCATTTGCTCTACATCTATCTCAGGTTTTCAGACCAAACAGCGAAGTGACTAGGATGGATGAATCTGATATTAACCAAATTATCCAGAGTGACTTCCTATAACACCAATGACTCCAAGAGAGGTAGCTAGAAATATAAAAAACCTACAGGACAAAAAAGCCCCAGGATATGACCTAATCAATAGAAGCGTACTTAAAGAACTATCTCGAAAAGCATTATTATATCTCACTATTCTCTTTAACGCTATAATACGGGTGGGAACTTTCCCTGCAGTATGGAAGGTGTCACAAATAGTCATGATCTACAAACCGGGTAAGACTCCCCAAGAGGTCGGCTCCTACCGACCGATAAGCCTTCTGCCTCTAGTATCAAAATTGTTTGAGAGGATCCTCTTGGGAAGAATGTCAGCTGTGCTCATGGATCGGTCTATCATACCTGACCATCAGTTCGGGTTTAGACAGAGACTTGGAACATTGGAGCAGGTACACAGGATATGTGATACAATAAGAAGGTCATTTGAACGGAAAGAGTATATTTCATCAGTTTTTCTTGATATCCAACAAGCATTTGACCGAATCTGGCACAAGGGTGTCCTATGCAAGATTAAATCACTTCTGCCTCATACATACTATAACATCTTGGAGTCTTACCTATCGGATAGACTATTCCAGGTCAAGGAGGGAGTTCACACATCAAAATTCCACCAAATATTAGCAGGGGTGCCTCAGGGATCTGTCTTGGGGCCAGTATTGTATACTATTTACACATCAGACTTACCACAATGCGAGGGTCTAACCATGGTCACATATGCTGATGACACTGCAGTTCTAGCTTGCAATACGTGCCCCAACCAAGCCTCACGAAACTTACAAAATAGCCTTAATCACATCAACCAGTGGCTCAAAAAATGGAAGATGGTTGCCAGCACATCCAAGTCGCTTCATGTGACATTCAGTTTGCGACCAGGAAATTGTCCAACGGTAACACTGAATAGTAAAACACTACCCCAAAGTGATACAGTGAAGTATCTTGGAATACACCTGGACCGCCGGATGACCTGGAGAAAGCACATACAAGTAAAAAGAGACCAAATAAACATAAAATACAAAGGGATGTATTGGTTGCTAGGCAGAAATCCAAAATTATTCCTTGACAACAAGCTTCTCCTCTACAACTCTGTATTGAAACCCATTTGGACCTATGGCATCCAATTGTGGGGTTCTGCTGAAAATTCAAATATAAGCATAATATAAAGGGCACAAAATAACATCCTGAAACAGCTTATAAATGCGCCATGGTTTGCAAAAATATTTGAGGTTCATGAGTATGTCAACACAAACACAGTAGCCGAAGAGATAAAACACCACTACTCCAAGTACAAGACACGGCTAGTACACCATCCTAATGTGCTGGCCAACCAACTGATAGTCCCTGACAACATACGTCGGCTTAAAAGGCGTAGGCTACTGGAACCAGATGACTAATCAGGACCACCAAAAGAGACGATGATTCTGCTGGGAATCACTCTCTATCCGCGATGTAACACCTACACCACATCTGTTCATAGTCTCCGACTGATTGCAGGATAGACTCAGAAAAAAAAAAATTTGATGTTCTTTGCAGGATGAAGTTGCCTTTGTTCAAAACCTGGTATATTATGTGGAACGTGCCTATAGAACTCCAGATTATGGTATGTGGGAAAGAGGTTCCAAGTATAATGATGGCAAACCGGAAATACATGCTTCTTCCATTGGTACGTACCCTATTTATTAGTGTTATAAAGATGTAAATTTTGTGTGTACTGGTAGTCTCCGGTACTATTGATACAATTTTGAAAATTCTATATAATAGAAGCAAAACTATACTAAAAAAAAACTTAGTATAGTACTGTGCATTAAGTAACACATGTTAATTAAAATTTAATTATATTTATGAATTTGTATTAATGTTCAAACAGAATTGTATTATGCATGAATGATTCTAAATATAACATATTAAAAACATGTTCCTTCTCCAACTAATTTTACACCTATTTATAAATAAAAATTAACAGTTGACCTAACTATGTAATACAGGCATGGCAAAAGCAGCTTTAGAAGCCATTAATGGATGCAACTTATTTGGTGATAAGGGAGCATCATGGAGTGTAGTGTATGTTGATATAGATGCACATAATCGAAACAGAAGTATTTTTGAAACTATGCTTCCAAGGGAGTCGAGTTCTAAGGTATATACAATAATATGTCATGAGTTTTTTTTATAGGTAATTTAGTTTTACTATAATATTTTATAGAACTTAATATTTCATAAACATATCTTACCGTGCCGCATATCTTTAGGCGCAATACTTAATCATAATTGAAAGAAGCCTGATATTGGGTATATCTAAATGGACGTATACGATTCCAAGTCAATCTATAAATAAAGAAATACCTTAGTGTGCCAGTTCCATTTTAAGGAATAGGTAATAAAAGATCAGTCAGTGTATAACATTTTTTTTTATTACAGGCTAAGTACTACGTATTTCATTTTGAATGTATTTATTTTATCAATGAAATTAATTGTGTTTATATTATAGGGTGTCGATGCTGCACTATTGCCAACAATATCATTTCCTGCTTTTGCGACGCACGAGGAACACCTAGTACAGCTAACAAAGGCTAACGTATTACGGCGTCTACAAGGAAAATATGGTTTCAAAAGATTTAGTCGCGATGGATATAAAAGCGTACTTGAGGACCCAAGCAGAAGATACTACCATGAGGGAGAACTGAAGGAGTTTGATGGTATAGAGTCTGAATGGCCCATTTTCTATGTATTCATGATAATCGATGGTGTTTTCCGTACACTACCTGATCAAGTTGAAGAATACCAGAGAATGTTGAAGGCTAGAATTTGCATGGATAAATATGGAGGTTAGTACATACAGAAATACTTAATTATTAAGAAAACTCAAGGGGAAAAGATAAAAACGGATTCACACGCAAGAAATGTTACTTAATTTGATTCCACTTATGTTGAATGAAATAAATAATATTAGTTACTCAGAAGCAATAGTCTAAGACACCGGCGACTGTCGCTGATGTGGTGAACGTATTTCGCAATGTTTGCCATATTTTTGCATTTTGCCGTACAGTTTTCATTTTAACTTAACCACACTTTTCTGTGCATTATAAAAATTAATTCTCCCAATACTTTGTCATTTGCTACAATTAATGCTAGAAGCATTGATTGTAATCTATTCAATCCATGGAGAGACTCGAAGTAAAGTTGGTAAAGAAATTAAGCGTCTATCAAACTGAAACGAATAACTAACTATTAAAAACCGGACCAGATTAAGCTGTTTGAAGTTAAACTCGATTATGAATTATATAAATAATGGTGATAAAATACTTATGGACATGTCACACAGCGTCATTTAGTAATGTACTGACGAAAGCATTTACTTTTGGTAGTAGAATATTAACATATTAGATTATTTATAAACATATAGCTTAAAAAATGTTACAAATAGTTGCACTAAATGTGAGTGTTTGCTATACCAATCTCAACGAAATTTTCAATCCTTACTGAGGAAATTGAAGAAAGCTAAAGCTATAAAACACCACTGCGTCTCTTAAACCATGACGTTGATGAAATCACCGATCAAAATTGGTGGCAGCTGTTTAAGATAAATAAGAAGAAGTGTTTGATTGCAATGTAACCTATAATTTTTCATATTATATTATTAATGTTGCATATTACAGATCCAGTGATACCCTGGTATTATTATGTGCCACGCGAATCTATAGAAAATGAAAGGAACGAACCAAATTCAATGCGAAAAATACCAGACAGTAAGTAATAGCCTCATATACATTACGTATTTATATATCGTGCCCCTTCAATTATGAATAAAACTAAAATAATTATTATGTTAATAGATTAATATTTGATGATTGTAAATTATTTATGTACATGAAGCCAAGATTATTTATCAACATATGTCTTGAAATAATGTTCACACCTCCGCTGTGCACATTATTTTTTGTTCCCAATTTTCAAACATACTTTCTGAGTGGATGCTTATGTTATAAAATAACATAGATTTAGTAGTAGTAGTCTTAACTGTGCGTTAACATTATGGATTGTCATTGAAGACAAATGGTGTTATATGTATATAGATTTACAATTTTCATAGACTATTGAGATAAACAATTCAACCAACTTATAAACAGGTAATATTATAAATGTCACGATTATTTGACAATAACAATTCAACATTTTAGATTTAGGTGTCTCTTATATTTTCGTTTTTTATCTGAAATGTATGATGGACCTGAATTTAAGTAAGTCGGAAGGCTTCTGCTGCTGACGCTGTTCGATTGATTCAAGTTTGCTACGCCCAACCCTCCTTTGAATTGCGCCGATCAAACGGCTTCGTCGCCATCGGATAGAACTTGATAATGGAAGTCCCGTTAGGTGTTGAAGAATATAATTCTGAATTTGTGCTGATTCAGTGTGCAACTAACATCAGGTCGCCCACCTGTACATCGGCCCATTAATATGTACGTTACAGTAATATGTACTTCTGAAAACATAATACATGCAAATAAAACTAAATGTGTTATAGCACATAGTATTATTCAACTATTATCATAGTTTTTTTTAATACAATTAATTTTAGGTAATTAAATAATATAAATTCATGCCAATTACAGATTATTCCGGTGACCATGAAAACAAAGGTAATAAAGTAACTAATGGTAGTCAGGCTAACTCCCTTTCGCTATTTACCTTTGTCTTAATAATACAGTTCTATTTTTCATAATTATATTATATTTCGCAAGTATGTTTTCTTGTTTTAACATTTTTACTTGCCTTTATATTTTTTATTAATTAATGATTCTCTTATTTTATTTTCTGTATATCTATGTTCATCTTAATATAGTGTAAACTAGTTGACGCTTTTATGGAAATGCAATGGTGTACATATAACTATAGACGTTAGTTATCGCATATTATTATTCCCATACGTTGCCTGATTACATCCAAACATAATAAAAAATGCTAATATATTTTAATGTAATTAATTATTAAGTTCATCTGCACATTGGAGAGCGTAGATAAATAACCTGTAATCCGTAAAGGACTGGACACTATGTCTGATTTATTTGTTTTGTTACTTAATTTACTTATTTTTGTTAATTTACGCTATTTAATAGTTTGTAATAAAACAATATCATACTAATAATGTTGATATTTGAAAAATAATACAACACTTGAGAAAGAAAAAGCTTAGTTCAACCAATTGAGCAATTCTTCTTAGCTGAGTGATAAAAAGTGCTATTTATATAGTTGTATATATATATGATATACCTATTTAAATTATTTTTTATCTAAACACTATGGTCTATAGGGACTTTACTGACATACAATAGTAAATTGAAATAAATCTATAAGACTTGATTCATAAAGTTTGGGAAGAAAGTGTAGATTCATGAATGTAGCATTATTAGTGTACAATGTAAGTGTGTTAAGTGAAGTGGGTTTTAAACTGACACACAGATACGAGTGGCTTGTTCCTGTGGGGCCAGTCGTTATTTGTTCTGGCGCAGCTGTTGACTGGCGGTCTGCTGCACATAAACGAGCTGGACCCCATTCGCCGCTATCTGCCTTCGTACAACCGTCCGCGCCGCGCTGGCAGATACTCTGCTTTCCAGGTATTGTTTCTTTTTATACTACGTAGGTGGCAATCAAGCATACCGCCCGTCTGATGGTTTGAAACTGTTTATATCGTACCAGTTTTTCTCAAAGTGGCTGCTGGGTCGATACTATAATACAATATACATCTATTATAGGAACGCTCTCCTATTATATAAATAATCTTATTTTAATGTCACTTTAATTTTGGAACGTACTTACATTCAACTGTTATTTTATTTTCACGCCCAATTGCAGGCCAAGCCTACATTTGTAAGTATTGGAGCATAATATAGAGATGACATATTGCATGCATGATACATATAACTATATAATATGGCTGTCGTTACATATAAAATAATTAGTTTTTCCTTATTGCATGGACCATTTCTATTATACATACAATGAACAATAATTTTATATACAAGGCGTTACTAAAGTGTGGGTGAAGATACTAAATGGATCAATTCTAAGACATTATCCGCAATAATTTTACGTCAGATCTGTTCTGTGTTTTATTGTATTTTTTTCGTAATTTTTATGTAAATAAATTGATTTTGTCCGTTTGACAGTGTATATATCACCGTTAAACGTACAAAAAAATTTGCTTTTATTATATATATTTAAAGCAAACAATAAAGGAACTATCCAGTAGAATCTCGAGTATCAATGCGCTACGCAATACAAAGCCTTGCTTTATTTTATGAAACACAGAAATAATCTTTGTTAATAAAATATAAAAAGGAGCTTTTGAATGCTTTTATTATATGTAAAGCAAATAATATACGACGTATGCAATAGAAGTCTCCGAGTATCCAGGATTTACGCAATAAAATAAACCTTGTATGATTTTATGAAGCGCAAAAATAATCTTTATTAATTTAAAAAACATCTTTTGTTAAGTCATTTTAATATTTTACCACTCATACAGAAGAAATACAATAGCATGTTGCATGTAGATCTGTGTAAAGTTATTTCGTGTGCTGACGTAAAGCGTACTTGTATGATATGTGTATTCCATGATGAATGTTGTTTGCATGTGCGGCAGGGGATAGCCACAGATTTGGTGGTGCAAGTGGTACTGATAGCTGAGTCGATGCGGCTCCAAGCCATGATGGGCACGTACGGCATACAAACACAGACGCCGCACGAAGTTGAACCGGTGCAGGTAAATAGCGACACGAAGTAATATATGTAGAATAGAATAGAATAGAAAATCATTTATTCAAATAAACTTACATTGAAGCACTTTTGAATAGTCATAACATTTTTTTTTATCTACCGCTCATTCGGAATGTCCCATCACAAGAACAAGCAAGAAACTTGTGTGTTGCTCTTTTAAATAATTTATTCTTACTTACAATTTAAATTTAAGTGTGTGAATACAAACCACCGACTTGCACTAATTCAATGAAATAATAAAATAGAAAAAACATTCAATATACAACAACTGGTTAAACAATTAATAAGAGAAAATAAGTCATAGTGATTAGAGCAGACTAGTCCACATAAGCAGCACCCGTTCAGTATGACGGAGTATGACGGATGAGCCAGCCACCACTGCGCTCGACCATATTTTAGGGAGCCCAATGACCCGGCCCACCACGCCGCCACAAGTCTGGACATTTTAGTGAGCATGACTACTCAAAACACCAGACCATGTCATAGCTACTCACTATTGCCATCTGATGGTTATAGTATTCACATTTCACACAAGAATGCATGCGGCAATCAATACAAAAACCGCTACGCTTTCATATTTATAAAATAATTGAATCAAGAAAGCAATGAGATAAACAAATTATAACGTTGTATGCTAATAAACTAATTATTTACTTGATATGTTGTCGTCTATGAATTCGTCTATCCTGTAATAGGCTTTCTTACACAAAAATTGTTTAATATAAGATTTGAATTGCCTCTCTGTCAGATTTAGTGCAGATTCTGGCAGTTTATTATAAAATATTACGCAATTACCATAGAATGAATTACTGACTTTGTGCAAACGGCATTTAGGTAAAATTAGCTTATTTTTATTGCGTAAGTTTCTATTTGTACAGTCTTTAAGTTTTTTATACCATATGACATAATGCTATGGAAATAACTAAAGTATACAAGTTTAGCCGTCGCCACGTCTGTTAATTGCCTAATTCTTCTTTTATAAATTAGAATAAGGATTAATAGTTAGTAGTAACAGTTTATTAAATTCATAGATGACAATCTACGTCAAGTTACACATCATATATTTTATTAAAACTAAAGAGTTTATAACATTCGTCCATCCCTAACAAAAGACTCGTACCATGCGAGTCCATCAAATTATGACAGTTCTGTAATTAGACGTCTTGGTGGCTTGACTTCACGCTTACTACGACGTAACCCCTCAACTGCTGGTTTTTCAATATGTCTACCCACGTCATTTGAATTGGGTGCTAATACACTCGAATGTTTCGGTGTTTCATTATTACACGCAGTAGCCAATGTCTCGATTTGGTTTCTAAACTCTAAAGGAGCAGTCTCTAATGATATTTCCCTGTCTCTTTGAGGAGATATTGGTGTATTGTGTTGCATATTCTGGACATCTTGGGTATGGGCATTACAGGACTGACTTAACGGAACATCCTCTCTTTCAATTACACGTTTTCTTATTTGATCCGCATGGTATTTCTTTACCCCAATAGGTGTATTAATTAAATATGAATAACGATGTGTACGACGGGCTACTGTGGCAGGCTTCCATGATTTATTGTCTCGAGAGCGTACAAAAACAGTTTCTCCTGGATTGAAATATATTTCCTTGTCATGTTCAATGTTAGCTTGAAATTGTTTGAAGCGGAGGGACATTCTAGGATTTGGTTTAATATTGTCTAAGAGGCAACGTAGTTGTCGTCCTAAAAGTATTTCTGCTGGTGATTTACCAGTATCGATTCGAGGAGTAATACGGTAAGTAAACAGAAAGTTTTCCAAACGTTTTTTTAAACTTAATCCGTCACTTATACTAGCAGACATCCTGGTTTTGAAAGTACGAACTAGCCGTTCAGCCAACCCGTTCGTTCTTGGATGGTAAGGTGAAGACTTAACGTGTCTGATACCATTGTATCTGCAGTATTCATGAAATTCTTGAGATGCGAATTGAGGACCATTGTCTGAAACTATAATTTGTGGAAGTCCAAGTGAAGTAAAAATAGTATCTAGTTCACTGCAGAGCCTGCTTGTTGTGATTAATAATAATAATAATAATAATAATAATAATAATAATTTATTTATTTGCCTGCTACATGGTAATTTTGATCTTACAATATAATAGGTATAAGTACACGACATGCAGCACCCCGTAGAGGTATGCAAATATTGAAAATGATATCATAATTACAATATGTCATTAAATTTAATTAAAACATTATAATAGGTACCACAATAAAATAATAAATGTCACAGTATTCCACTAATGTCAATCAATATTATTAAAACTATAATTACATGAGGTCAGAGTTCGTATGTCAAATAATCCCTTATACTGTAGAAGTTTTTTACAATTAGCCACTCCTGTAACGTTGCCCTAAAAAGTCTTATATTACATTGTTTGATAGTATCAGGAACTTTATTATAAATTTTAATAAACATAGCAGTGCTATTATTTTGGTACAGTGATGTTCTTGGGATAATGTCTAAAACTAACCTCTCTGCATTACGAGTGTTACGTGGATATATGTCCTTGGCTTTCGTAAAAAGTTCTTGATGCCGTTTAACATGATTACAGACTTCCAATATATACATTGAAGGTACCGTTAATACACTAAGTTTGATAAATAATGGCGACAAGACGTACGCGGGGTGGTGCCGCATATTGCCCTCAGACATTTTTTTTGTGCAATGAAAGCTCTGTTTAAATGCCCACTGTTACCCCAGACAATGATGCTGTACCTTAAAACGGATGCTACATAAGCGTGGTAAACTGTTAGAGCGGTATTTTGATTTGTTATATTCTTTAATTTTTTCAAAACATAAACGAATTTGTTAACTTTGTTACATACTTTATCAATATGAAGTTTCCAATTAAGGTTTTTGTCTATAATAACTCCAAGAAAGTTTACATCCATAACCTCCTCGATACTTACGTTGTCGTGTGCAATATTTAATTTTTGTACAGTATTTTTCTTACAAAATTCTATATAATTTGTTTTTAATAAATTAATTTTTAGATTATTAATGTCAAGCCAATTTATTATACATTTAACCGCATTATTAATATCCGTTTCATATTCATTATTGTCAATATTTTTATCACATGTCACAATCATAGAAATATCATCCGCAAATAAAACACATTTATGTCGGGTAATTAAAGGTATATCGTTAATATAAATTAAAAATAGTATTGGTCCTAGTACTGTTCCCTGCGGAACACCTGACTTATTGTATCTGTAGTCAGATTGATATGATTCTAGGGTGTTATTTTTATTAATTTTTTCAATAACTACACATTGTTTGCGATCTTGCAAGTATGAGGTGAACCATTGTAAAGCTGGGCCTCTAATACCTATGGCTTCCAATTTTTTCAATAAAATATGATGCGATACAAAATCGAATGCTTTAGTTAAGTCAAAGAATAAAGCGGTAGCACGTTTTTTTCTATCGATATTTTGTAACACCTCATTTATAATAGATAAGATAGCTAGAGTAGTAGATTTATTCCTTTGAAATCCATATTGATCATTATTGATAATATTATACTTAGAACAGTAATCAATGAAACGATTGAGCATACATTTTTCAAATAACTTTGATAGTACTGAAATCAGGGATATAGGTCTATAGTTGGCTATATCACTTTTAGCGCCCTTTTTATAAAGTGGTTTTACTATTGATAGTTTTAAAAGATCAGGATAGTATCCACATTCAAAAGATAAGTTGATTAGAAATGTTAAAACTGGAGCCAATTCCATTATGCATGATTTTATAATTTTTGTTGATATTTCGTCAAACCCCTCTGAATTTGTGTTTTTCAATGCCATTGTTTCATTAATAACTTCATTAACAGTTAACGGTTTCAGAAATAATGAGTTACCCGTGTCATTTACGGTTCGTATCTTGCAATTATATGAAGTGTTAACTGAGGGCATGGAAGTTATGTCAATAAAGTAATTATTAAATGCATTCGCTATTTGTTTAGGGTCAATTATATTTTCGTCATTATATTTAATACTATTTATGTCATTGTTTTTTGTATTAGACGTTTCGTCTTTTATTACCTGCCAAGAAGCTTTACACATATTTTTACTATTGGCAATTAATCTAATATTGTAATTTTTTTGTGCTCTAAATATACATTGTCTATATATTTTTGAATATTGTCTGTATATATTTTTACCGTGTGGTGTTTTATTTTTATAATATTTGAAACGGAGTTCTCTTTTTTTCTTACAACTTAATTTTAGACCCTCTGTCATCCATTTTGGTTTAGATATCTTCCTATTTATTTTAATTTTATTTATTGGGAAGCAAAGTTTGTATATTAGTGTAAATATTTCGTAAAAATTGTTGTATGCTACATTAATATTCCTAGATTCCAATACATCTGAAAACGTTAATTTTTTTATATAGTTCCTAAATTTGGTAATATTTTCAATACTGTAATCTCTTTTATAAATAAAATACTCTTTTTGCTGTTGACATGTAATATTAATAGGGAAATTAAGTAACTGAGCAGTATCATGATCAGATAAATGAAGAGATAACACTAATACATTGGCATTCTTAATGTTACTCAATATGTGGTCAATACATGAAGAACCTCTAGTAGCTACATTTATATGTATTTTTAGATTATGGCTATTAGCTACGTCATATAGGTAATCAGTAGTTTTCCCCGGGTTTAGTGTATTAATATTAAAATCACCGGTTAGAATGATCTTCTTTTTCCCACATTTATCCTGTAATTCTAGCAATAAACAGTCAAGTTTTTTAAGAAAAAAATTAGCATCCGATGTCGGTGTCCTATATAAGCAAATTATGACTACATTTAAATCTGTAACCTCAATACCACAACATTCAAACAACCTAGACATAGCATGATTTTGAATGAATGGAAGTTCCTTTGACTCCCAACCCATTTTTGTCAAAATACAAACTCCACCTCTACAGCTATCCCGAGAAAAAGTAGCAGCA